TTATTATTACCTGGTATAAAAGCTAAATATATTAGCTAATATGCTTGCAGGTAAATAAAGGCTATAACTTATATTTATTAATATATTATATACTGGAACTATTTTAATAATAGTTTATATAATTATTACTAAAATAGCCTAGTATAATAATATACTTTATAAATAGCCCGTGGCCTTAGGTGTAATACCTATAAACTAAATTACCCTTAGTAAGTATGTTAATATACTATTTAATAGCAGCTTCCTAGTTAATAGGGCGGGCTATAATTTTTTTTATTATATTAGCTTTATTAATAGGCTTGCAAAGCGCGAGCTTGTGTTATAAATAATATAATTATTTATAAAGTTTATTTAAAACTACTAATTTATAGCCTAAATAATTTATTATATTAGTAATATAGGCTACTAGCGGCCAGGTTAGTAAAAAAATAAGTAAGTAAGTAAAAAAAATAACGCTATTATTACCTTTAATATTAGCTATTATAATAAAAGAAATTTAAAAAATTAAGGGTTTATAAATTATAGGTTTATATAAGCAGGCTATATATTACTTATATAATTTATTTTTTTATTATTTTTTAAACATGTTTATTAAATTTACTATTATTATGGCTATTAAAGAAAGTATTACTATTTAAAATAAGCTATTAATAAAAATATTAAATATTAAACAGGCTGTTAATAGTAGTATTTTTAATATTTTAGGCAGGATAAACTTTGTTCCGGCCTCGCGCATTACTCCCGGCATTAAAGCCTGCGCCCTAAAAATGACGGGACCTACGTACTACTGGCTCAAGTCGCGTCAACAGTGATCGGGTCAATGTACTCGTTGGGCAAAGGAAGAAACTGAACAAATGGTAGTATCATTGTAAATAATGATCGAATTGAACGCCACAACGCAGGACATAATGAGGCATCCGAGATTGTACATATAACATTTGGAGCTAATTCATAAGTGTAAGACGTGACGCTGCATTATTCAAACTGCATCGCGAACAGCCGCGATCCCTTTTCAGATGTTGCACTAAGAGCCGGGTCATCGATGTCGAGCGCAGCCTCGGTTTCAGTGTCAGGAATAGGACGGACCACCTCGAGAGACAATCTCTCGTCCTTTGAGTACACCCGTAGCCCGACCACGCACACCGCGTTCCACGGGTCAGTCGTGCTGTCAGCCTCGCTAAACGATGTCTGCGTGCTAGGCGGTCTAATCACAAGAGGCTCATCATGAGGCATATCAATATCCGAGTCGAACTCGAATCCCTCCAGCCAGTCTTGGTCACGATGGTGGGTGCTTCGGCGGCGACGGCAAAGGGAGTTGGTTGAGCGGTGGCGGCTAGATCGCGAGTATGTATCATGCGAAGACGGAGGTGTGAGCTCTGTGTGTGACTCATCAAATCTGATGCTTGGGACTGAGCCGTTGGTAGCATGCTTTGGCATGACGCCATTTGCGTGGCCGTTAATATCAGAGGGCGATTCCACGGGGCTGTCAGCGAGGACTCGCTCAGGCTCAGTTTCAGTATGCTGGTCGGAGATCTGAAGTTTAGCCGCTTTCGCTGCGAGTAGTCTTTCTTGCCTCCGCTGCTCGCGCGCCTTGAGCTTCTGATTGCGGATCCACTCGCGTTGGCGCTTCTTTTGTGTCTCATCGCGCAGCTTCTTTCGTTCCGCGACCTTGCGATGGTATTCGCGGTCCTCTCGTTCTCTCCGTTCAGCGTCAGTCTCGTGGACGATGCCTTTAGCATGTGCGAGGTCGTATGAGAGGCCAATTTGCACCAGCTTTTCACGTTGCTCAGGTGCAAGGCGTCTGACCGTTTCTTCGGTAGACACGTTGCCATGCCGGTAGGCTGTGATCTTCATGAGAACATGGTAGGATCCGGGTTCAAGGTCGACCTCCGCATTGGTGGAGCGCGAGATCAGGGAGTTGTTGACGCTTCGCACAATATAATCATCTTGACCCTCTTTCTCGAGACGGAACTTCAGAACAAAGCTATATTCACCAATGAGGCCCTTGAAATAGCGTGTGTCCAGCTGTCCCATGTTAGCCAAATCTACAGCGAGGCTTGACTAGAAAACTAACCTGAGACAGAACGATGACAACAGGACCAGCCTTAGTCACGTTCAGCCTGAATTTGGTCGTGTGGTAGTCTGCAGACCAAGGTACGTTCAGGCTCGTCCACTGCTGCGTAATCGTCCATTCGTCCCCGAACAATCGGGTGCGATCAAAATGTTGATACTTCTTGAGTAGGTCCTCGTACGAGATCCAGAAGAACTGAGGACATGTTAGTACATGCCAGTCTGCCGGAGCATTGATACGTACACCATCATTGCCAAATTTATGGTTTAGCTTCTGCATCCACTCAGGTGTCCACTGCTCGGATCCGTCGCTCCAAGCACCACTCCATTCTTTCTTTCCCCATGGGTTCCTGATTCCGTTAGCAAATTCGCGGCGCAATTTGTGGCTGTACATACCGTAGTTTTACCAAGCGCACACCGTCAATCTCCTTCACATCCATGATAGAATAGGAGTGGCCTTCGGCGATGCCCTTCCTGTCTCTTGGAGGTCCGCGATGGTTCGGAGTAAGCCAGTTCGAATATAGGCCAGTGCCACAGCCAAACAGGAACTCTTTGTTGACTTTCATAAGCTCTTCATTCCAGAACCTATCCTTGTCCAGTATATTGTTGGTGAGAAAATCAGATGTCACACCACCAGTCAAATCTTCAACTGCCTCACTATGGGATATTAGCCAAGTCCCGGTGCCAAGTACAAGGGTGACCTACCCGACGAAGCCTCCTTCGATAGCAGAGTAATCACCATGTGCCTTGGCATACGCCTTCTCCAGCAGCGGGAGCCAGGTCTCGTTTTCGTCTACACATTGTGCGAATTCCAAAGCCCGCGATCCTGTCTGGAAGACCCTGCGATATTCTTCCTCGGCATCTTTGCGGACGATGTTATCCCAAACGGGGCGCTCCTCGACCGACTCGTCATAGTCAGCAGCCCGTAAGTAAAGCTTATCATCCACAATACATTGTTGCCAGTCGCCGTCTGTACAGTGTTAGATTGCTTCAATAATCTCAAGGGACCTACTAACCTCTGTAGAACACAAACCCATAGACGCCGACCTGTTCGTCCCGATGAACACAGACCTTCTCAATTAACTCCTCCTTGTTTCCCATTGTACAAAGCGCAGCCATGAACCAGCAATCGCCGTCGCGACCCTGGCGTACATCTGAGGCTGTTGGCCCGTTAACATAGAACTGAGGTTTCTCAAAGATCTCCTGTAGTTGGACAACAGATTAGCTTATGTATGATTGTAGAACAAGGTGACTTACAGTCACTCTCTTCACTCCTTGTGGGCGCATCGCATCGTTTCGCTTGTCAAGCCCATCTAAGCAATTCCGTGTTCCCTCTTTCAAATCCATTTCGATATCAAAATGAGGGTCCGAATACTTCTGGTTGAGGCGTCTGCATTCCTTTGCAATACGAGTGACGGCCCGTTTACACTCTTCCCGAGCTTCATCGTAGGACTTGCGGGCAGCTTGTCCCTTGACGATGCCTTTGGGGACTCGTGCCGCCTTGGAGCGTGCATACGGATTGTCTGGCAGTACTGTGTACACCTTTCCAGGAAAGCTAGAGTTAAACTGCTCCCAGAATTGCTTAAGCTCTGCCTGTGGTGGCTGTTGGGGCCTTCGCAACCTGCTGTTTGAGCGAGAGCGGGTCGAGAGGGGAGGAGTGTAAACCATATCTGTGTAGTCGTCCTCGGGATCGAGATTCGCCATCGCCGTAATATTATTGCGTGTAAATAGAAACCGCCAGATCTTACTAGTAATGAAGAGGATTGCAGTATAGAAGAAAAGATAAAGCTTGACGACAAAGAGGAAAAATTGCAGCGCGCTTCCTTCGATATATAAGTTATCGGTCGTTGCGAGGAGCCCCGCATGCACGCTAGTATGGCGGCTGAGCAAAAATAATGGTTCTTGGAGAAGAGCGATCTCCTCAGAGGCTCAGACTCCAATAACGTTAAATGTCGCATTCCATGATCAGACCAATCGGCATGCGAAACACGGCTCTGGGCCCGCAGTCAGCACTCGACAGTCGGCAGTCAGGTCGCTCGATGTTTCAGATGCAAAGATGCTTGACCTGAGCAGCGCATGGCCCGCCAGGGAATGCACGCTGATCAGCCGGGGCTGAGCGCGGATGGAAAAAATAGCACCGGCACTATTACCATTATTAAACACGGGCACGCTGAGTTCCTTGAAATTTGCAGTCGTTTTCCAATAAGCTTCTTGATTTCCTGCTGACGGGCTGCGGTGTCTCGGAGGCTAAGATAAGGGGCCAAATTTCAAAAACACGTCGTGCCGGGATTTCTTCAGATGAAGAAGAAGAACCGCGCCTTGAGTAACGTAACTCGCTGCATGGCAGCGTAGGACAGCATGAGGATCGAGATTCGACAAGAATAGTCACAGTGGTCCCCGAATGACGATACGAGCTCAGCACTGGAATCCATGCAGGTGCTCAGACGCAGCGGACCACGAAGCCGTTCTCAGCTCAGCCGGTGACTGGTCCCTACTCCCTAGTCGGAGTAGAGTTTCCCAGGTTAAACTCGCATAGCTAGCGTTGCATTCCTCGAGAGTCGACGACCTTGCCTGGAATCGTTAGTCGCCTGAGGCTGTGTCGGCTGTCGAGACTCGAGCTGATGGTCTCGCAGGGCTGAACGGCCATCCACCAATGGTTAACCCCGCCGGTCGGTCTTGACCGAGCCGCTCCTCAAGTCTCTCCAGGGATGTTCTTGCAGCTGGCACAAGGATGATTAGAAACGCCTGGCGCGCTTCAACATTTCAAGTAGCGGTCAACACTGTTAGCGACATAAGAAAGATATAGTAATGCTGGAGGCTGAATTCCAGAAACTTTGAAATAGTACGGAGTAGTGGCGGATGGTTGGTCTGGGGCGGGAGGGAACCACACGTGCTAAGATGGGGCCATAACTGACGCATGATACGCACGGTCGTCTAGTCCTGGCCAACAGACTCAGAGAAGAGAAAAAACGGCCCCTGGCTGACAGGCTGTGCTGATGAAGCTGCAATCATCACCCCGATCGACACGGGCGCATCCATCTCATCATCACTTTCAAGTTTCTCACCACTTCGCTCTTCTTGCATCTATGTGCTGCTTACAACGTCAATCAACAAGGTAGCGTAGAGAATTGAACGCAATCCTTGGAATATCATAACCTAATTCTTCCCTGACAGAGCACTCCATAACAACGCCGGTGACAAAAGAAATACAAGAAGCGGCGACCGGGTAAGGCAATGTACCAAGACACCGGGACTGATGTATAAGACGAGAAACGAATCACCCCCTGTACCACCTGCAAGAGCCTCGGTCCAACCTCGATCCAACCCTCGCCCGGTCATTATTGGTATACGTACGTAGATTACATGTAAGCAGGAAACTCATGAGTCATCGAATCAGTGAAAGCCATTGCGGCGAGTGCGTCCAGAATAGTACGAGCTGCCGTGTTGGAAGTATGGGTGCATGCAAGCCTGCTTGGCTGAGATACGGCGGGCGGGATCGTATTCGAGCAAGGCTTCTAGAAGGTCAAGGCCATCATCTTCGAGGCCAGAAACCACGCTGCTGATGTCTTCGCGCTTCCACTTGGGGAAGGTCGCTTTGAAATCGGGGAAGGAGGTGACGCCCGGCCAGATGCTTTCATCCGGAGTTCCAAGGAGCCTAGGCAATATAATTAAGAACATGTATATAGAAGTCAATGTAGGGATAGCATACCGGAAGATCTTGAAGATTTCATCGATTTCCGAGTCACCGGGGAACAACGGCTTGCGAGTACACATTTCCGCGAAAATGGCACCACAAGACCACATATCAACACCGGTGGAGTACTGACGGCCACCCAACAGAATCTCAGGGGAGCGGTACCACAGAGTTACAACCTAGAGCAACATTAGTGACCAAGCCCATGCCATGAAGGGTGGAAGGAGTGCATATACCTCGTGCGTGTAGGTTCTGAGCGGAACACCAAATGCCCTCGCCAAACCAAAATCGGCCAGTTTGAGATTGCCATCGCGGTCAATCAGGAGGTTCTGAGGTTTCAGGTCACGGTGCAGAACCCTGTGGCTGTGACAGAAACGGATACCCTCAATCAATTGTGCCATAAACTTCTTGACCATCGCATCTCCCAAACCCAGGTTCCGGCTCAGAGAAGAGCCATCCGGTAAAGCCCTACCGCGTCCACCTTCACTGACCGGCAGTGCCTCCATGTACTTCTTGAGATCGAGGTCGAGATATTCGAAAACGAGGTAGAGCTTGTGTCCGTCCGCATGCACGATGTTTAGGAGTCGCACAATATTGGGATCGTTCATTTCCTTGAGCAAAGAGATCTCGCGGATTGCAGTGCTAGGTACGCCTTCATCTTCAGCCTCGAGTCGGATTTTCTTCAACGCAACGATACGGTTTGGGTGGGTGAGTTCGCGAGCCTTGTAGACGACACCATACGTTCCTATAGCCAAGGCATTGTTAGGATCAATGATAGACCTGAGACTGGCCAAAGCAGATGGATTGCGGTAAACGAGCCGCAAATGAATATGGATTCGTCACCCACCCTCGCCGATTTTCTCAATCTTTTGGTAATTGTCCATGCTGATCACTGAGCAGCCACTGCTAATCGATATGACACGGATCGGTAGAATGTACCGGGCTTAGATGCAATTGGGATGAAATGAATGCGAGGCAGAGTACAGCAAGGCCGTGGGGTGCAGACAATGACAACAGCCGTGATGTTGCCTGGGGGCCGGAGACAGAGGTGCAGGAAAACAATTGCCGGGCTGGGTTCGGGAGTTCTGCGAGGGGCTCGAACAGAGTTTATCGAATGGCGAGCAAGGGGCAAAGACCCAATTCCCAAGGGCTATCGATATCCGACAATAGCTGAACGAACTTGAACTTACCTGTTGTTGTCGAGCGATTTCTTGCTTGACTGAGGGAGAGGGAGTGGTTTTCTGGTGGGGAAGAAACGAAGGCGGTCAACCAAATGCGGCTGTAGTAAACAAATCCATCGCGTCCTGAGAAGGCGGTGGGCGCGTCCCACTCCCACTCCAGGGCTGACTTGCAAATTCAGAGACCCTATCAACAACTCAAGTTTCAACCCTCGCAATTGCTATTAGAAAAATTTGCTACAAAAGACATGGTTAGAGGGATCAGCTGCGCAGATATGCCATACGCTCTTTAACAGAAAGTTCGCTGGTCACATCGTTGGATATATTGACATCTGCCTGCCACCCACCAAACAGCATCCGAGCCGCTCAGCTTCTTCACTAACAGTATCTAGGCTGCTTTGGCCACGGCCGTTACTGACCAAGCATGGAAAACTATCCAGTTAAGCTTAATTTGTCGAGCAAGCGCTCAGCATTTCTCGAACGCCATGCATACTGTCCAATAATGGCTCGTATTCTTGGCGTGTCATTACGCGGTATGATCGGAGACGCGGACCTTGTACTTCATTTGAGGAGTTACGACAAAGGAGTATCCGAGTCCAAGCATATTGCTGGCCGCCAGCAAAGTTGCCGTAAGCAATGGCCTGTAGATGAAGCAGACCATTTGTATCAAAGGCCCATTCTGCAAAGGACGACAGATTACTCATTTCGGTTCTTTCGCGGTCTTCCGAGTGCAATAATTGCGACACCAGGTCGCAGGGTGAATTTTCGTTGCCGATGAAAGTAGCTCGAAGGTGAATCAGCCTGAGAGTATGCCCGATGTTCATAAATTGCATTCTGGGTTCCTAATGGCAGTCAACGATATGTCAAAGGGACCGGCAAGAGTGTTGAATATTCCAGAAGAAACCATACCATGAGCCAGGGTCTGGAAAACACGCTAATGCCAACAAGCTCTAAGGGCAGTCCCTGAAGGCTATACTCTAGAGCATAGTCTAGAGGGGACTGAAAGGTAAGGGCTCCATTGAAGGTCAGGAAATGACCAACCAAACGTTTGACTGTCCGAGGGATTGATTTAAAACATATCGAGGTGCGCTTTGAAAGATATAGCTCTTCCAGATTGTCGCACAACTGTAGGAAGGCCTCGACAGGATGAGTCTTATTCTCGTCAATGGGATAAACACATTCGAAACGTCGAAGGTGGAAGGGCCTGCCCGAGCCGGTTAATCCCGTTAGAAACTGTACAGTTCCGGGACATTGTCGAAGCGTAAAACTCTCCAACTCATGTAGATGGACAAAAGCATTCACATGTTTGTATGCCATTTTAGGTGTGCTATTTCCGAGCGCGATATTGGACAAGGATAGATGTCGTAAGCAGCCAAAGTCGGCTTTCCCTTTGCCTAACTCGCACCCGCGAAGGCCCGTTAATTCATTGATATGCAACTCGCTGTCATCCAACCAACTCAAATCGGGGTCACTAAGGTGTCTGGAAACGACTCCCAGTTTAAGGTGTTTGAGATGCATGGAGTTTGCTGTTAGGCATGCCACAAGATTTCCATGATCGCCATCTGGGTCTATGCCTTCCCATGTGAGCGATCGTAGATTGTTCAGCTGAGAAAGCCCAGCCATATCAGTTGAACTTTGGCATGTACCGTCGGTGATCAATGATAGGGACTGGATACAGTTCTGGTTCAACGGTATGTATCCGGTGGGACCCATCACCTCGTCAGGAACACAGCATCCTAAATGCCAACTAATCCCAGGATATGTCAGCGCAATCAAGCTCAAATCAAATGTGTATGAACGACATACGAGAAGTTCTGTAATGTTGCCTCACTGAAATGATGCATGAGGCTTCGGAAGTTGTCCGCCAATTCGTTCATGAACGCTGGGTGATTTAAGATCTTCTTGAATGCATCTGGTTCTGTCTCGCAGCACCTGCTGTACCGCGGGTACTGGGTGAATGCGATGAGATGTAGGTGTTTGACGAACTCGCCGGCATCAAAACTGACTTTTGAGCCGTCGGAGTTAAACCAGGTCTTCTCTGAGGAGATGCGCAGGTCTCGCAATCTATGCTCCAGGATTGGAATAACGCACTCCTCGTATAAATGAGGAGAAGTAAGCTGGTGCATGTGTCGAGATGTTTGGGAAAGAATTTTTCGATCCTCGAGGCGGGGAATCTTACCATGGTCAATCATTTAAACTGGTAAAAGAGGGCAGAATCCCGAGACTCACATAATGCAGAATCAAGAGGAAGAGCTCAAGTGGTAGCGTTTCAAGCACACTTGGTATGCGGATCTCGGCCATGGTCGAGCGTCTGGGTACCGTAGAAGCCGTACTACCCTGCGCGAGTTGACGATAGCCTCAACTGCAAAAAAGGGCTCCAGAGAAGTCAACACAGGGTATGGTACGTGGATAAGTTGTGCTCAACTATGACTGGAGATTGTGATTTAAAAAGGAAAGAGCAAAGGATCCCGCCTTGACTGGAGGAAAAAGTAAGATCAATCAACGGGAGAGGATGACAAGCGAGGGGTTTCCACACAAGCAAACAAAGCCAAAGAAAGAGCTCTCAAAGATCTTGAAGATTTTCTAGGAAATAGTCCGTAGGACTCTATGCCTGCAGTTTGGCTCAAGGGGCCTGTGAGAGATAATGTCTTCGGCAGTCTTCAACATGATTATTGCAGCATAAACTAGCTAGCACGCTACTGCTGTCTTCTATCCGACAAATTGCATAGGCTATCGAATGCTGTAGACATGACCAAATCCACTAGAGCAAGTCCACCTCGACGCAATGACACACGAGTTTTGGTAGTGAACGTTCTAACCTAGGTGCTTGATAACCAGGTTAACATGATCTACAACTTGAGATAAGATCAGTCGGCAATATACCTGGTCATAATTGCCAGGCTCAAGCGCGACGCAAAAATGAAGATGCGTCAAGAAACGATGTGTACATGTCACCTGTTTCAGTTTGCATCATTATCTTTCGCATCTCGGCCCCAGGCTGCCCACCAGGCCCTCGACCGCAAATTTGTTCCGAAAGCATCCTCATCTGCATTGGCATTTGGTGGTCTCCATAGTGTTCAATGATATCGCCCTTTTCGACTGCGTTGGCCAATGAACTCCATCCTCCACGCAGACCCGTTGCCAGACACTCCTTGGCCTTTTCAGGGGACCACCAAGATGGAAGTAGACCGCGCTTGCGTTCAGCGAGGCGCAAGAACCGATGGAAGCCGTCACGGCTGTCAGGTTGTCCTCCATAGATGCTGTCCACATCGGCGTCCCCGTCGAAGACATACTGATCCTCAAGGTGAAGACGATAAGCATCTATGAGAAGCTTATAGACGTCTTCTTCAGGGCGATTGTGAAGCCAGGTTTCCTTGTCGAGCTCGTGCAAAGGCTTGGCGATAAAGGCAGAAAGGCCTTTAGGGGTACGACGAGAGTTGTCTCCTGTGTTGGCTTCGCTGGCGTCCTTGGAACATGTCTTTTTATGGGCTTTCCAGTCTGTCTTTTGGCACTCACGGGAGCAGTACCATTGGGTCTTGCACTTGGCGCAGCGCTTCAGAGTGACCTCGTCCGATGCTTTCTTCGCGCAGGTGTTACAGGCAGGGTCAGACTCAGCCATTGTGTTGTTTGTTCGCTGGCTAATTGTTTCAGAAATGATATCTAGATGATTGAGAAAGATCAAGAGTAATGAAGTACTCTTAGGAAGTGAGTTAAAACAAGTGGAAATGAGTAGAAGTGTTTGAGTGAGAACCTTAGGTTGAAGTCAGGTCTGGTCTCTGTTTTCTGGTTCTGTAGAAACCACCCGAAATGCACATGTGATCGCTCAAAAGCCACCAGGACAATGTTTGACATTGAAACTGATACATCAATTTTCTATTTGACTCTTGCACTATCCAAGAGAGTGCATATACAGCTGCTAACCACCTATAGGCTCATTCCCCGGACCCCATGAGCCCAGGTGATACGAAGTTTGCATTGCTCAATGAAACCAACTCCATCTCAACAATGATCATGAGACTTCTTTCCCCGCAAGGATTCATCAATATGCTCCTACAGACTTTACAGGCTTTACAGGCAAAGCGCTCTGTATGCCATGTCAGCATTTTTGTCAGGACTCAGGCCATCCTATCATCGTTATTATGCGAAGCACAGTGGCCTTGTATAGCACAGTACCTACAACGCAATTGAGGACTGTGAACTGCTACCTTGATGGCAATATAGCATTTCAGTGGCGCAGAACCCAGGTTATCCCTCGCAACTTCCTCTAAAGACATTTTATCTTTCACAGTTTACTACTAGTCCAACTTTTGACCCTGGCTAACTTTTGGGTGATATGTAGGTCCAATGGTCCATCCTTGACACCAATATAATCATTATAATGCCAGGCCGTAGTCATCAAAGTGTTATTTGTGGCCTCCTTTTGGATTAACAGTCCCTTTGGATTGCACCATCACTTACACCTGTCATCGCATGATATATATATTGTCTTGGTCCCAGCAAACCGGACGCGTCCAGATCCCATGAGCCTTTTCTTTATCCAGCTGTCCAGTCTTAGACTACGCTGAATACGAACAGGAAATCAAGACTCGGGCACACAAGCGCCAATCTCGGATTATCGGGCAAGGGCTTTATGGCACGGCTTTAACCCTATTCGGATGTCCCTCAGTCTCAGCCTTGCGGTCCCCAGCATATACCAATCACACAATGCGGGGCGCTCTAGCGGATCTACTCAGGAACCTAGACCATTTCGAACTCTATAAATATTCAGCCTTTCCCAATCTTCTGGTGGTACAGGCTCATAATTACGGAATACTGTCACTGGCATCTCTCAGACAGCCGTCCTTCGAATTAATAATCCCCCTTTTGCCGACAGGTTTCACACCGCCGCAATGTATTAGGTCCACGATTCCTGGCGGACTTGCAATCCCGTCGATGTCAAGATTAATCAATGTGCTGAATTTTGCCGTTGTTCAGTACGTCGCCGACGAGTTCTTGGCGCTGTTGTCTGTCTTTCACATCATGAAGCCGATTTTCAGCGGAGTCAATGATGGGAAAAGCAGATGGAAACAATGGACCTCGAACACTGTCAGAGTCTCTTCTCTGTCCATACCGGCAATCTGACATCAATTCTAGATGTCAAGCGTCAAAACATCAGCAGTTGGAGAGACTGGTTTAGTCAGCGCCACTTTCCCAAGCCATTTTGGGGGCCATGGTCGAAACCAATCCAAGCTCTCGATGATGTCTAACTCCACCCCCTCAACCAGGCTTTCGACGCCGAATCAAACCCCAGATGCGACCAAAGTTACCTTTCCGAAAGCCTAGATCTCGCGCCAAAGCTGGCCCGGCTTTTGTTTTCGTCGATGCCGCCGAGGGGCTTGCGGGTGGGCCACGGGATGAAGAAGCGAGGATTTTAATCAGACGGCAGGCTGCACGATCAGGTCGCAAACACCAACGGACGCAGAGCGCAAGGCAGTCCCCCTCAAGTATTTCGGGAGAGGGACCATTGCTAGTTACCGACGGATGTCTCATTGAACCAGATGAAGTTGACAGCGTCGATCACTCCATTGCCCCGCAGCCCTCATTTACGGGCTATGAGGCACTGAGAGCAACTTACAACTTTGACATTACCTATCTGGCGAGCTTTACTGACGTGGACCTTGGGAAAGCAGCTGCACTCCCTCTACAAAGCCAACCAAGCCTCCTCTCCAGCCTTCTGCAGCAACGATCAACATCCTTTCTCAGCTATCTCCCTAGCCGGTATGGCTCGAGCCGTTGCCTCGATGATGCTATACACTGCGTCGCCGCAAGAGCCGGTCAGATGTTCGGTTACTCGACGAGAGCCGCAACAATATCAAAACTGTACGGCAAAGCTTTAAGAAGCCTACAGCATGCCCTCAGTGATTCGGAGTTGTGCATGGGTGTCGATGTTTACTGTGCGACGCGGCTGTTGACACTATACGAGGTAGACTCTGTTCGATCTATTCAAGACGTCGGTTATAACAGGCCTTAGTTCATCAGCCCTCCTGAAGAGAATCACTGGGTTCTTCACAACCGGGGTGGAATTAAGCTGCTTGAGTTGAGAGGACCTGAGAACCACAAAACGAAATTTGACTGGATGCTTCTCAAAAGTGTTGCGCCCTCTATTGTGAGTTCTCTCTTCAACCACTTCTGTCATATTTCTGCTAGGCGTGATAATCCCTCCATGAATGACAGCCAGCTTCAGATGCGAACAATGGTCTACGGACTAACACCCTCTAGCTGTTAGACGAGATGTACAGATTACGAAGCGTGGGCATCTTCGAAGCACCGTCGTGGCAGGATCTTTTTGCATATGCATCCGAAAGCGAAATGGATCGCGACTCAAGTCTCTGGTGGGAGTTCTTCAGACTAACCTGCCACGTTACAGGTGTTGTATCTAATATGCGAGACACGTTTACGACGTCAACAGACCCATCCGAGTACTGTGAACGGACCTCAAAGATCCTTGAAAGAGCAAGATGGGTGCGTCAAATGCTTCACGATGGCCACGTCCGCTACCAAACTCGGGAACCCTACCCATCCTCTCTTTTCGATCTCCCTTCTACGCCCGAGTCACCCGACCGCATCAGACTCCGCGGGTTCTACTTTCATCCGCGCATGCAAATATGCAGGGTTATTACAACACTCTCGCCAGACGAGATGGAGCGCGCCTCTGCGGAAGTGGAGGCGCAGACTCTAGCTGCGCAGGCACTCCTGATCCAACAGGCGACTGTCAAGCTGGACCCAGCTATGTCGTGGTACTTTGAGCAGAAGAACCCGTTTGCGCATTCTATTATACGCACGAGAGAGAAGTGGGTTTCGCAGAGCGAGCTCCCGTGGGGTGAGCTGCGTGATGTGTTGGCGCAGCGGTGGTTGAAGTGGCATTATTCTTGGAGGGGATCGCATCTTTCGCAGTCATTGGAGGAGAAGTCTAGTTAACTCTTCAGGAAATGATCTAGCAATCTAGCTCTGTAGGCTGCGATTATAGCTAATAAATGCAATATGGCTTGCCTTAGGACGGTGTTCATCCAAAAGCCTTTTTTGCTTGGCAGAAACTGAGTACTCCAGCCCTATGATGAAACAGAGAATGCTGACCAAATATTGCTAGGCTAAAGTACTCGCATGCGAAGTAGAAGTGCATGTCTTCAAATTGTTTAGTGCTTACGAATTCTTTTTGAAATGACCTGTTAAGCTAATGCAATCCCGAAAGTGTCCTCAAAACCAGCAATGCAAGGAAAAGAAACTTGCGCTTCTCAAACCTCCTCCCTCCCCTTTTCATTCCCACCTCCATTCCCATCCTCTCTCTCAACGGAGCGCCTCTCGGGCGTCAAAACCTGACTAGTCGTCTCTGAAGAGTCCGCACTTTTCTCCCTCGCCTCAATCTCCCTCCTCCTCTCCTCCTCCAACTCCGCAGCATCCTTCGGCCTCTCCAACCCATGATCCCTAATCAACAAACAAGCCAAGAAGCAAACCCCGATTAATGGCACCTGCAAGATAAACACCGCCTTGCTTGCAGCCGTATACGCATCCACAATTCCACCCCACGCAGCCTCTGGCACCGACGACTGGGACGGCAACGAGTACGTCGAATCCGACAGGTTTTTATACCCGGCTGGCAAGTGCGAGCGGAGCGTTGCTTGCAATACAGCACCGGAGATGGCGAGACCACACGCACCGCCCATGCAGCGGAAGAAATTCCGGTCTGAGATTACGACGGCACGCTGGCGCTTCGTGCAGTGTGCTTGGAAGGCTACCAGGGTTGGTTGGAAGGTGCAGCCCACTCCGGTGCCAGTGATGGCGACAATTACTGCTATTGCAGCGGGGTGGGTGGATGTGTTGAAGAGGAGGGTTAGGCCGGCGCCGCTGGGTTGGGAAAGTTAGTTTATACGTCTACTGCGCACGTCGTTTTGGGAATACTTACAGTGTCCACATGCCGAAGCCAAACCAGATGACCTCACCGTATCGTTTTTGGCGTGAAATATATTGACCTGAGAGCACGGACGAGATGGATTGACAGGCGACCATCGGACATGTTAGGGCTGCCGAGACGATTGGGGACCAGCCACGGGCGTTTTGGTAGTAGAGTGGGAGGTAGTAGAGGTATGCTTGGTAAACAGCTCCTAACAGAAAGCTCTGCAGGAAGAGCGCAACGATGACCTTGTTCTTGAAAAACTCCACTGCTGACTGTTAGTATCACAACTGGTATATATAGGCTTGAAATAGACATACTCGGCAACATGGGCAACACTGCGATCTTCCATTCGATGAAGAAGAAGGTGATCAACGACAATCCTCCAATAACAAGCATGCTGATGACCATGGGCGAATCCCACACGAAGTATGAACCACCCCCAGAGATCGGAATCAACAGGAAGATGATGCCAATCGAGGAGGCAATGATACCGAAATAATCAATCTTCTTCAGATTCGTCCGGAAACTGCCCTTGGCCGCGGTATCAGGAATGAGGAAGTATCCCACAACAATTGAGCAAGCAGCCAGCGGCGCAAGCATCCAGAAGAACCCACGCCATGTCGCTCGGAGAATGAACGCCGCCGCGATGAACGGACCAACAACATTGGCAATACCCAACGCCGCTCCCAGAATTCCCTGATACTTGCCCCTCTGCTCGAGGGTCACAACGTCCGACACGATGATCATAGCCAAAGAGCTAATACCGCCCCCGGCAACACCGGCCAGGCCGCGGAAGACATAAAACATGGCTGCATTCTGAGACAACCCGCAGAGCAAGTCCGCGATACATAGCAATGCCAATGCGCACAAGTACACAATCTTCCGCCCAAAGATGTCTGATAACCGCCCGTACAACACGCTGAACATGGTGTTGGCGATGAGTGATGATGTGCCCGCCCATGATATCGTATCTTTCCCGTTCAGATCCTCTGCGATTGACGGTAATGTCACGGTGATTCCATTTTGGTCGACGAAAGAAATAAACAGCGAGATCGCGAGACCGGCAAAGACAACAAGAAGCCGTCCTCGTGGGAGTATATTCGTTTGATCATGCAGGGCCTTTTCCGCTGCCTGTTGCCGATTGCCTGCCATGTCTATATCTTGACCCGAATCTATATCTAGACTGACAACGCAGTGATACAGAATTCATCGAATCGAGTTCAATTCAGCACATTCAGATCAATTCAATGCGCTGTCAACCGTTCGAGCACTGACTCTTCAAACGTATGCGCAAGCGACTTCGTGACATGACATGATTATGGAAATTTTCCTGCTTTATCTACAATACTGACACTACGGAGAAATAGTACTTCGGAAAAGGTGCCGACGCAATCCTCCAAGAGGCCCATAATATGGACCCTGTTATTGGCGGCAGAAGACTTAGCTATAGCCGCTGTCGAGCATGACTGGATGACGTGGACGGAATGGATCTCTTGCTAAACGATCAAAATCTGCAGTCAAAGTGGCGATCGGAACTGGTGTGGAGCTGGTATGTCGGATGTCCGATGTTCTCGGAGACAGTCCGATGCTCCGATGATGCCTGGATAATGGTAATCGATAAGATGGAGCACTACGACGCAATATATGTGCTTGATGTCTGTTATCATTCGTGGTGCATGTTCGATAAGAATTATATAGCATCGCGGTAGATTGAAGGAGGCATGAGAAACCCTAAATGCACTGGAAAGCTAGCCTCCTTAACAGCGAGCAAAATACTCCATATAACTGCCTAAATAGACATATACAAAAGATCTTTTTACAGTTCATCAATATCTTTCAATCTTATATCAATCAATGCTCTGTCCCGTACACCTTAGGGCTATGGCCGGTTTGTCATGTGACAGCAGCCTCGGCAGATGCGGAGGGGCGGTTAACGGCGGCGCCAATTCCGGGGAAATGGATCTGAGGAGATCATCAACGGAGCGTCTTCAACATCTCTTCATCTCCTTGACATCCAAGATACCCGCACTCTTATCAACAGTCCATCTGCCTTTATCGTTGTTTCTCCGTTCAAATGGCCATCCAATCTTCAACTGGGCTCACTGCCCGCCTCCTCAAGCGCACAGCCTTCCCCGCATCTCACCAGTGGCGAAGGCAATTCAGCGCTGCCCGCCCAACTTTCAAGGAGATTCAGGATGCATACATCATTAGTGCAGCTCGAACGCCAACTGCAAAGGTATTACAAATATCTCTGTCTCGCGCCCGGTGTTAACGAGATTAGTTCAACGGCTCCTTCGTCTCCGTAACCGCTCCCCAACTCGGTGCTGTCGCTATCAAGTCCGCCATCGAAAAGTCCAGCGTTCCCCTCGAGAAAATCACAGATGTTTACATGGGCAATGTCCTGCAAGGCTCAGTCGGGCAGGCCCCGGCTCGCCAAGCCTCGATCTTCGCCGGACTCTCGCCAAACGTCGAGTCCGTAACTGTGAACAAAGTTTGCGCATCCGGCTTAAAGGCTGTCGTGTTCGCGGCGCAGAATATTCAACTCGGTCTTGCCGAGGCCCAGATTGCGGGTGGCATGGAGAGCATGTCTCGCGTGCCGTACTACCTTCCTCGCTCTAGCCAGCTGCCTCCGTTCGGAGAGATCAAGCTGGAAGACGGACTTATCAAGGATGGACTCTGGGATGTCTACAACCAGTTCCACATGGGTATCTGCGCGGAGACTACGGCTAAGAAGTATGAGATTTCGCGGGAGGCTCAGGATGAGTATGCCATTGCATCATATGAGCGGGCGCAGAAGGCATGGAAGGAAAACAAGTTTGTTGAAGAGATTGCGCCTGTGACTGTCAAGAGCAAGAAGGGCGATACCGTTGTTGAGCGTGACGAGGGCTACGAGAACCTGCGAGCTGATAAGCTGAGAACTCTCAAGCCTGCGTTCCTCAGGGATGGCACCGGTACTGTGACGGCTGGAAATGCTTCAACTATGAACGATGGCGCATCCGCTCTGGTTCTGGCGAACAGGGACCTCGCCCGCGAGTTTGGTGCCGGAAAGCGCGCCCTCGCACGCATTGTCTCCTCTGCTGATGCCGCAGTCGACCCGGTCGACTTCCCCGTCGCGCCGGCCAAGGCTGTTCCCATTGCGCTCGAGCGCGCGGGTATCACCAAGGACCAGGTCGCTGTGTGGGAGTTCAACGAGGCGTTTGCTGCTGTCATTGAGGCCAACAAAAAGGTGATACTCATTCTTGTCAAGCTCACTGAATGCTTGCTAACTATTTTAGATTCTCGGCCTGGAAGGTGCTCGCGTTAACGAGCTCGGAGGTGCCATTTCTCTCGGGCATGCGCTTGGTAGCTCAGGCTCTCGTATCCTGACAACGCTTCTGCACCAGCTGCAGCCCGGCGAGTATGGTGTTGCTGCTATCTGCAATGGTGGCGGCGCTGCGACCGCAGTTGTTGTGCAGAAATTGGATCGTGTCGATTAACTGATGATCTAAGCGTTATAACCTATTAGCATTGGCGCACATTGTATATATATATGGAATATTGAATAATCGCATGCTTCCGCACTTTGTATTTGTATAGAGCGGGGATCCCCGCATGCATGCTAAGCGTTTATCCGGACCCGCGTCGGCTTCAAAGTCGGCAGTCGTTGCCACAACCATTCCCGTTCCCCGATGACTTCAAGAAGACCATGGAGGGGCAATTCCTTCAACGAATTCAATTCATCCTTCTCTACAGTTAACCCTACCAGCAAACCTGCGAGATGGCGACCTCCGGCCTCCTGTACGTGACGATGCAGCCTCGTCCCTCCCTCCCGGCTGCCCAGTTCCACGACTGGTACAACTCCGAACACGGTCCTCTACGGCTTCGTCTCCCCTTTATCACAAATGGCTTCCGCTACCGAGCCGTCGACGGCGCCGAGCCCGAATGGGTGGCCCTCTACGATATCACCGACATGGACGAGCTCACGCGCGAGACGTACCTGTCCCTCCGCGGGGACACAATCAAGACCCCGCGCGAAAAGGCGACCATGGCCCAGATTGATGTGGGCCGGAAACTCTACGACCTCCTGCAGGACGAAAAGGCGCCCGACTTCAAACCGCTTGAAGACCAAGCCGATACCACTGCCGCTGGCCACATCCTCATCTCGAACACTTCAACCCTCCCCGCCGACAAGGAAGACGATCTGAAGGCTTGGTACAAGGAGGAACACATCCCCATGCTTGCGCGCGTGCCGGGCTGGCGCCGCAGCCGCATCTTCGTCACGGCATCAATTGACCCTAAGGCCCCTCGCGAATTCGTTGCCCTGCACGAATTCACACCTCAGAATGGCCTCGGCGGGCCTGAGCACAAGGCGTCCATGGAGACTCCCTGGCGCGCCCGCGTTTCCGACTACCTGACGTCTAAAACCCGCCGTGTCTACAACTGGGCATACACATTCGGGCCGGCGCCACGCGAGCTCTCCTCCCTTGCGTCGCCCGATACCATCGGCCCCTGGTCCTCGAACGACGGCCGCACCCGTACCCTCCCCGACCAGTCTAACCCCGCCGTCGAATCCTACATCACTACCCCCGACGGCGTCGAGATCCCCTACCGTCTGGAAGGCTCGACGGACCCTCACGCCCCCGTCATAGTCCTCAGCAATTCCATCCTAGTGGACTACAGCATCTGGGACTCGTTTGTGAAGACATTCCTCGCCGACGAGCGGAACAAACAGTTCCGTATCCTCCGCTACAACACGCGCGGCAGGTCCGCTGCTGCGGGCGAAAACCCCATCAACATTGACGTTTTGGCAGGCGATATTATCGCTCTTCTGGACGCCCTGCGCATCCCTCAGGCTATCCTGATCGGCGTGTCTCTCGGCGGTGTCACAGTCCTCAACGCTTCTCTCCTCTACCCGAACCGCGTAAAGACCTTCATCTCCTGCGACACGAACAGCTCCGCCCCCGAGACAAACAGGAAGGCATGGAACGACCGCGCCGCGATTGCGGAATCCGAGGGCGCCACGCACCCCGAGACCAAGGAGCCCGTTATCGGCGAGGAATTGTCCGAGGTCACGGTGCGCCGGTGGTTCACGGAGAAGTCCTACGAGACGCAGCCTGATGTTCCCGCCAAGGTGAAGGAGGTTGTTCGCGCGAACAGCCTTGTTGGGTTCAAGAAGGCGATGCAGGCGCTTTGCGCGTATGATGTGCGCGAGAGGATGCAGAAGGCGACTGTCAAGGGACTGTTTGTCGCGGGTGACAGCGACGGCGTCCTGCCCAAAACGATGAAGCAGATGGCGGAGGATTTGAAGGTCGAAGGGGGTGCCGAGTTGAAGCTTGTTCCTGGCGCTGGACATTTGCCTATGGTTGAGCAGCCGGAGGCATTTAAGGGTATTGTTAATGAGTTCTTGCATCAATAGATGTATCATGCCGTAATGTATATAAATAGAATATGCTGATGTTTCATGAATCGATTGAGTTTTGAATTAACCAACTTTTATACAGCATTTACTCCAAAGCCTTAGCAGCCATAGCAAACGCCCCCTCCCTCGTCTTGTGCCCACCAATAAACCCACTGGCGTGAACAAACACAGCCCCCTCCGGAATCCCCGCATTCTCACCGGCAAGAACACCATCGAGATCCGCATCGCGCACACCGCGCCACTTCTCCGGCAGAGGCTTCCGGGAGACAAAGCTACCCTCGTTCACGGAGACAGCCTGCACACGCCACTTGGACCCCTCGGTCGCGCTCTCCGGGTACAGCACATAGCTCACCTCGGCGTCCTCCGCATTCGCCGCCTTGGCCTCCTTCTCAAAGTTATACAGGTGCTCCTTCCAGGGGACCCCACCCTGCGGGAGAACCATGATCTTCCCGCTGGGGTGGACAGCCTTGCGGCCACTGTACGCAGCCTGCACGGTTTCGCGCGCCGGAAGCCAGCTGTTCACGGCGTGTCGGAGCTTGCGGCTAAACACGGAACCAACGAACTGGCTCGCCTGCAAGAATAATCCATCCTCGTCGACACCCGCGGCCTCGTCTTCAGGCGACGCGGTGTTCATATCGTTGACGATCGAAGCGATCGTTACGCCGCCATCCTTAAAGCGCTTCTCGATCCCGGCCTCGGAGATCTTCTCGGGGTCGTAGACGCCCACGCCGTTATCGTTTGCGTCGATTGCCTCGATGAAGTCTGCGTATAGCTTGTTGAAGATCAGCGAGACGTTGCTGTGCTCGGTAGGCAGGGACGCCTGGTTCGCGATGATGTTCTGGCCGAAGTGCAGGTAGACCAGGCCCGCGGAGGAGAGTTTCGTCTTGTAGCCGGGGAATGTGCTGTTGAAGGTGCGCTGGTGGTGGTCGTAGCGGTTTGTGGAGGCGTCGTATTCGCCGCCTACGTCGACGACCGTGTGGCAGGTTTGTAGGAGGGCAGGGTCGCGGGTGCGGATTAGGGGGGACTGCGAGTAGGTGGGTAGGAGGCGGAGGAGGTAGACGGCTAGGGCTTCGTCGGCGTGAAAGTGGCCGCTGGATTGGTTTTTTTGTTAGCTGGGAGATTGGGAGAGGGAGAGGGGACAGGCGTACTTGTGAGTCCCGATGGAGGGGGAGTCGATGCGGGGCTTCTTGGAGACAGATTCGGAGGCCATTTTGAGGAATTGACGGAACATGCAAGAGGGTTTTTTCTGAACGATGCTAAAGTTGGGATTGTAGTGCCTGGATTCCAGAGCTTCTCGTGGAGTTTTTTGACGGTGTGGGGTGTTTGGTTGGTTTGCACGAGATGTCCAGATCGATTTGCAAGCGGCGACTGCTGATTGGTCGATGACGATCTATATCTCGAAGGTTGGAGTGAGCAGCATCATACTTTGAAATATTAGTAGTATCAGTATAAGAATTCTCTTCCCAGACTATATCTCTGTCTAGCTGCTGCGAGTTTATGTGTTTGTGAAGCAACTTCAGCCATGAGCGTAGCTAATGCACGAAGTTCCTCGGATTCTGATTGCAGTTTTGACCAGGGGCACAAGAATGGGCGTTTGGCTTGGACATATCTTGGTACTATCATTAGTACTATAGCTTGACGTATAGACAGAATTTATGCAGGCGGTTGCAATCAGAAATCACCCTTCAACCGCTCTGCAGGTGGAAGAATACCCTCTTTCTCGAGCGTCTCAAAGACATCCACCAATTCATCCCAAGTATCCGCATACCCAGTCCACCCCAGCTTCCTAGCCTTACTCATAGTACCCACACAGCTCCAGTCCCTCCCCAGAGCAAAAGTCAAGAAGTCCCAGGTTGCCTTCTCCCAAGCCTTCTGGTCAAGGCCATACTTGTCCCGTACCTGTGCCCAGGTCTTATTGACATCATCCCGCGCGGCCCACTTCTCCGGGTTAATTTGGCAGAAGAGTGTCGGAGATTCCTCCTTTGAGGGGTCGGAGGAAACACCCAGGTCTGCGGCGCGGGCAGTTAGAGGGTGTTTGTTGGGCATGCGCGTTGTAGAGGGCTCGAAATCTTTGTAGCCTTTACTATCTGCGGTCCCGCCGTTAGGGAACATTGGATTGGGAATCTTGCAGCCAAAGCGCTTAGCGAGGCGCGGCCAGAGATCCTGCCAGGATTCTGTGTCGCCGTTTATGACGTTGAAGATGTTGTTTCCTGCACCCTTGGCTGTTGACGCCCAGAGACAGAACTTGGCGTGCAGGTTTGCGGATGTCCATGTGTTGAATGCGAAGTAACCTGCCTTGCAGCCGGGGAAGGGAAGCTCAGAACCTGGAAGGGCCTTTGAGACAGTACAATACAGGCCCAGGGCGGTGGCTTCATTCATGAAGTTTCCGCGAGCGAATCCCAGAACGTCTTGCGGAAGGGTGACAACCCAGTCCCACTGGTTTTTGCTGCGGGCTGCGGCCTCAGCCAGAATACGTTGCTGGGTGAGATAGAAGTTGGGGGGCCACGTTTCTCCGCCGACCTCGCCCTCTAAAACAGGGTCGCTTTCGAGGAATGGCTGCTTAGCATTGCCGAGGTGCACGCTATACTGCTTAAAGCCGCAGGTCAAGACAAATCGTTTGAGGCTGTTGATGGCGCCTGTCTTCTCAAGAGCTTGGATAAAGTTCGAGATCATGGTTCCGTTGATGCGGCATAGTTCCTGGGGGTCGTCATGCGCCATGTAGGCGCAGAAATAGACGTATTCTGCAGAAATCCCCGAGAGTGTCTTTGTCATATCGTCTGCGGAGCCCTGGAGGTCGATTGCTGCATGTTGAAGCTTGGGGTCCTTGTAGCCAGGGTCGCTCCTGGAAAGCGCGTAGACTTTCTTATACGAGGAGTCCTTCTGGAGGTGATGCACAATGGCACTGCCGGTGATGCCTAAAAAGTAAGCAGGGCACGACACAAACGACGCGAGAACAATTACCTGTGGCGCCGGTAACAATTGCGGAAGCCATTTCTAGTATCTCAATTCAGGTTATTCTCGAAATTTGGTGTTGACTTGGAGCCGTCAAAGGGGAGATTTATATCTGGGTCCACGGAAGACGTATGGATAACGTCATGACAGCTCTCACAATCAGGTCCGGAACCTTCGGATAGTGGAACAGTCCACAAGGCCATAAACAAAGCAATCAGAGTTTGGACAGTATCAGCTCAGTATTGGGCTTGTTGGGAGGTTGTATGCAGTATACCCATGCTCCCATAGATCGGTGGCCGACGCCGACGCCGACGCCGACTGAATCCGGCCAATCCCAAGCTCTAGCTCTTGCTTCGGCTGTCTGACCCCGCTCGGGCTTTATTGATGTATTTCCGGTAGGGTCTAGTGCTGCAATGCAAGGTCGATGCCAAAGGAGGACAGTGAGAGTCTGGTCGGGTGCGGGGAAGTTGTGACAGTCAAAGAACCTCAACCTCTCCAATCAACTCATAACCCCATTATTACCAACACATGCACTATTACTTTGCCTGCCACATGTAAATTTACAGTTCGTCCCCATATGCACTCGTACCAACAACTCCAGCAGCCTCGTGCCCGTTCGCATGTCCGGTCCCTTCCATCCTAGGATCCCACCAAGGCTCTATATCCGCCAAGCTCGGTAGCCCAATCTCAACATCATCTACCTCACCATTCGGATTAGGGTTCGGATTCGCCCCGCTCATTCGAAAGGCCGATGCAGCGGCGGTTGTCGTGTCGGTGATATTATCAGGGAGGATACCTAGATCTGAGTCGCGGATCCAGGAGTCGATATCGTTAGGTTGAGCGTGGCTTTGGCTTTGGCTCTGGTTTTGGCTGTCCAAATTGATAGGCCTGGGATCGAGAGAAGGGAGGAATGTACTTGTTGCGCTGGGCCCTAGCCCTGTTACTGTCCCTTTTGTATGATGTTGGTTCGTATGCGTATGGGGCGGCGACGAAGACAGTGAGAAGAGCGACGAGGTATGGGCGTGCGCCTGCGGCTGTGTGGATATGCTCGTCCGACTCTTCTTCCGTGTTGACGATTCATCCCTATGGATTGTCGATCCTTTATTACCGCCAATGTCCTTCTTAGAACCCGCCGGTAGCCGCTGGCTACTCTGCGCCCTCTTCAAGGCGCCGGACCTCCTCATCCGCGCTTGCCACCGTCTCTGCAGACTAACCAGGAAGTCCCTCGTCCGCTTTGCATTCTCGAAGCTCTGTCCCAACTCATCCAGTGCCCGAAAACAAAGGTTTAGATACGCCGTCATCTCACTTCTATTCCCCTCGAGTGTTTCGAGGCCTGTCTGGCTCGCTAATGGCGTCGTCGAGATAGTCACGTAGAGTAGTATCAGTGCTGCGCTGAAGATCATTGACACGACCTGGTTGTTCATGCGTCGGAATGTGTAGTGTTTTTCGTAGATATGGAGGAGTCGCGCGATGGCAATCGACGATTCGATGCACATCTTGCGTGCATGGTGGTAGCCTGCCCCTTGCCTCGGAGCACGGGGTTGGATATATGATTTTGAGACCCAGGGGCGGTGCGTGAAGATGACGATTTGGTGGTATTGAAGGCTACAATATGTTAGTCTGCACTGCCCGTAAATGTTGGCTTGAAATTAGTGACATACTGAAGCATCAAAAGATGCGGTAGTCGAGGCGTTGTGTCGTCTGCGAGGTCGATATCCAGGATTGAGGGTAGGTTCGCTTTCCACGCGAAGAGATCGTCTGTTATTCTGCTGGAGTAGCGCTGGAGTTCGTGGCGGGGGATGTCGGAGCACCCGTATCTGTAGTGCATGTTAGCTGTCTTCTGGTGTTGATCTTGTTGTTCAGAGGTGATGTTGTAATAGACATACAGAACATGTCCAAGAGGGGAGATGATCTCCCAGAGCACAGCGAATTGTCTGCTTATCAGTTCATTGGGATTCTTCAATGCGCCATTAAATGCCTCTTGATTTGCATTTGCCGGTAGGCCATAGGGCCGCCATGTCCCTTCTTTGCCAACCGTCAAACCAGATGCAGGCTTCGGTACCGTGATATCGCCCGCATTCATTCTGAACGGTCGACCAAGGTAGAAGCCCCAAAAGCTAGATATGACAGTCAGAACCATCCAAGCAACAATGAGAAAGAAGACCTTACTGATCCGCCACATAACTCCCCCAAAACGCAATACGCCTTACATCCGCCTCAAACGCACTCATATCACCTCTTTCCACATACGGCGTCATATCGAGATGCAGACCCAGGTCAAACGCAAGACGCATGCTCATCCCACTATACAGCCAACCGCGGGCATCGCGGTTCGACGCGCCCTCATGGCAGCTTAGGATGACGAGGGCCTGCACTGTCGCGACGCAGGGACTATCCAGCTCGATTTCGAGGAGTGCTTTTGCGCGATCGGCAAAGAATTCACTTAGTGATTTCGGGAATGTTATGAAGGTCGGGTGGTAGCGGGCTTCGAAGGCGGAGCCGATGGAGCACCTGTAATACAGGTTAGATGGTGGGTTGATTGTTGGTAAGGGGAATTTGCCGCTTACATAGCGTTCGTGAGGACCTCAGAGTAGAACGGTGTATCGTCGAACTCCTCGCGCCATTTCTGGCGCGCGGTGTAGTACATCTCCTTATCGACGACGTATGTGCTGGTGTTCTGCCACGTGAAGTATAGCTCTAGCAGATGGTCCTCGAGAGCCTGGTCGACCGACTGTCCGACACGCAGGTGGTTGAGGATATCTTGGCCGTCGTGGCGGACGGTTCGTGCATCAGGACGCTGCCGCTGTTGTGTCGCAGAGACATCGACAAGGTTGAGGTTTGATGTGGCACCAAAGAAGCGCAGGTGGCCGTCGCCTGCGATTTTTAGCGTTCCGATCCGGTGGCTGATCTGCTCGATCACGTCTTTCTCGGCTTCATCCTCTTCACCGCTGTCACTGTCGTTGTCTTCATATTTGGTGTTCAGGGCCTGTGCTTGTTCGAGGAGGACGCCGGGTTGCTGCGCTATGTCTTGCGACAGCTGAAGGCTGTCTGGGCTGCAGCTGTTCCCGTTCTCGGGGGAGACTTGGTAGCCGCCATTCAGGTTTGCGTAAAGAGAGTCTAGACTTTCTGCGGTCGGGAGAGCGAATTCCCAGTTTGTGGATGGGAAGTGAAAGCCAAACGGGCTGAAAGAGTCCTGGCTGTTGGCTCCAGAATTTGCGGTGTGCGAGGTGGCGAGATTGTTCTGTAATGGCAAGCCTGAAGAGTCGGGTTTTGCATTCGTTGCGGTATTTCCGTTATATAGAGGGACAGGAAGCGGACTATGAGCCGGCTGCGATGGAGGTGATGGTTGCGTATGTGTATTCAGTCCCTCAGACAATGGGGAGTCCTTTCTCTTTGGTACTCCACGGTGAATCTGTAGCGTATCAAGAACGCGGTTGATGCCTGCTTCATCTTCGGGCTTCATGGATGGAGGCTCGAGGCCATTGTCGTAGATAAACTGGATCAGCTGGTCAATCCTGGCGGAAAATAGCTCTGTCGCTGCTCGTAAGGAGACTCTGGTAGGAGGTCAGCCCTGGGACGTTTCAGTGGGCATCTCGGCATTCCATGAGACCATTGGGTCTCTCTACCGCAGATGTCGTGCGTTGTATGGGCTTCCTAGTAAGACATAACGTACTTCCGTTTATCGTCTCCATGTTGGTATTTGCATTGTCTCTTTTTTCTCTCGCAGTTCTTGCAATGCGGGGAAGCGCCGTCGCACTAGAACGATGATATCAGCGATGATTCTCTTGGATGAGAAGAACAGGAAGCGCACCCTGATCTTACTCTCCCGACAAGGCACACAAGCAGTCGTGACGTGCTTCCTGGGAGGTCTTTTCGGCTTTTCCGACTCGGACATTCTGAGATCGTCTCAACCGAAGCCCTCCGGAAAATGCCAAATGAGCAAAAGAAACGATAGAAAGAATCAATCAGCCAAAGTCAACAGAGCACTGATCGAACGTAAGCATGTCCAGGGTCGTAGTCATGGATGAAGGTAAATATGACAACTCCAGGTTGCAGAATGTTGTTAGACGGTCCAAGGCCGAGGCGGGGGAGGTCCGGGGAAGAAATTATATAGGTAGAGAAGAAACACTCGGAATGGCTCCCTGAAAGATCGGTCCGACCGGGGGAATCTTGCCCTGCTAGATAAGCTCCACATTCTTGCCCAATTAGCGGGGGAGTACCCCTCCCCCACGCCTCGAACAGGGCAATAAACCCCGCTGCTGCGTCACCTGACTGTGTCATGCTGAACAATGGCCTTGCATCATACTTGAATGGGCAATGATTAGAAACTCTAGACCCTAATTGGGGCCGTGGATCGAGATGCCGAACTCTGGTGTATATCTTGGTTGGCGATGAATAGTTACACTGGGTGATTACTTAGACTGCATGTCGAGACTCGGAGAGGAGTACAGTACATGTGATACATCCCATTTCAATTTGGAAAACTTAGAGAATGAATGCTAACATGATACAGAATCAGACCTATATTTTGATGGTCTGATCCAGCTCAACATGCTCAACATGGGGATGCTCCTCGACAAACGACATCGAAGTGACTTGTTCGGGCATTTCCACCCTGCAGAGAAATAATGCATTAGTATGCTTCACCACATAATCATCGCCTGCGCAGGGATAACATGTCCGAGAGGTCAGAGCACATACGCAAATCCCTTGATCAACTTGTACTCGTGGGTTATGGTGCCTCCGTTGGATACGGCTTTGTCCTTGACACTGGAGCTGTATTAGCCAACAGGACCTTCAGCGTTCTTCGAAAAGGTCGGTGATGCATACGCCTTGATGTCGTCGTCTGTCGCGGTGGGCTTGAGCTTAATCTAATCACGGTCGCCGGTTAGTCCCTGGACCTGTATTGGGGGACTGAAACGAACCATATAGGTAGGCATGGTGCTTGCAGGACTTGGTTATATAGGTATGGGTATGCTTCGAGGTGCAGATTTGTGAGAAGTAGATGCACTTTTCGTGGGAAAGGCGTTGTTTATATATCCCGGGTTCTTCAAGAAGGTGGACTTGCTTAAGACTCAGGCCAGGGTCCACGGGAGGTATGCGGGGGAGCCCAATACGTCATTCTGCATGCCGGATAGCGTTTCTTTAGCCTGAGATCGGAGGATGATCCCGCACCATTCTTGGGCAGGAACGAAACTGAGATGGAATACAAGATGGCTTTGCTATGTCATTTTCTCTCTGACTCAAAGGGGGGCAATGGCTGTCCTACAGTTCAGAAATTGTGTGTAGTGGAAGAACTGCAGGTACATAGATATTGAGTTATGTACTTATGTATTTGTGCAAGGACATATAGCCCTAGCTCACCAGTTACTCGTGCGCTTCAAAGCCTCGTTCTGAATAACCTCAATCCAGTATCCATCGGGGTCAAGAACAAACGCAACGTTCTTCATCCGGCCATCCGTTAGGCGCTTCTTCCAGTTGACGTTGAGCGACTCGAATCGCTCGCAGGCGGCGTTCAGGTCATCGACGGAGACACCTATCCTTGTTAGTTACGAATCGAGAAAGAATAAAAAAGTGGAAAACATACAAATATGTCCAAAGCCCTGCGGCTCATCATTACCATTGTGGTAAACCTTGCCCTCCTGCTTCTCAGTGCCGTAGTTCCACGTCAACTCAAGCAAGCCCTCCCACTCAGCAACGGGGTTCCTAGCCCCCTCAGCAGCCTGTGGGTTCGACGCAGGGTACCCCAAGAAGTAAAGGTTGAAGCCAGCCTCCTTGTTCTCAATCGTCCTAACAAGCTTCATGCCCATTACCTCCTGGTAGTACTTAAGACTCGCCTCGGCGTCCTTAACACGCAGCATAGTATGGTTCAAGCGGTAGGACGCGGGATCCGTAGTCGTGCTAATCGACTCATCCTGGCGCTTAATGATCTCAACCCAGTATCCATCGGGATCCTTAACGAAAGCGATGTGCTTCATGCGGCCCTCCGTGAGCTTCTTCTGGAAAACGTGCCCGGCATCTTCGAGTCGCTGGCAGGCGGCCTCGATGTTGTCGACGGAGATGGCGATGTGACCGTAGCCGCGGTGCGGCTCTGTGTTGCCGTTTGTGATGCTGTAGTTGGGGTCGTTCTCGGTGCCGTGGTTGTGAGTGAGTTCGAGCACGGCGTTGCGGTCTGTCCAGTGGCGGTCGCCCTGGAGGGAGTGCGGGCCGTTGTAGGCGAGGAAGTAGAGGGAGAATTTGTTATCCGGGAAATCAAGCTGTTGGATTTGGTTTAGGCCGAGAAATTTGTAGAATTCAACTGCATGGTAGATTTCTTCGTTAGTATGCCCTGCACTAGCTAATGGAGCTGAACCTCGGTTTGAGCTAACCCGATTTCTTAGGGTCTTTGACCCGAATCATGGTATCTGGAGAACGACGCCCATTGTCAGTTGAGCTATATATAGTAACGGATAATATTGAAGCATCACTAACGGTTGAGCTTGTAGGTGGAGGTGTCGGTCGCCATTGTCGCGAGAGATCTGCTAGCTGTGTCATTTGTCAGCTGCAAACAGTCTCGAGTGGGGAGCTGTGGCGAATGAAGAATAGATGACGGACCTGGTAGGATGGAAAATCTGGGGTTGAGGACCCTGAGGAAGACAGGAGAGAAGAAAGAGCGCTTTCCCAACATGGAGGGGCAGGTCGGGGTTTTAGTGAGAGGTTGCAGGCCAGTTGGAGAAAAGCTGCCGGGGTGGAAGAAAAGGTGGGGTGCACAAGCTATGACGCTATTCCGCCCACAGCAATCTACTCCGACAGGGCTCGAGACGAGGTTCATTATTAATGATGTGGAGATTTACCCTCAGCTAAAACCCGTCAAGCCGAGCTCTGCAGCTTGTATCACATTCATGGAGCCGCCACACCCAAGGGTCTTCGCATTCGGGTCCCAGAACGGCTTCTCCATACCGTAAGCCGCCGTCCTCTCTTTCCTCTGTGTTGTAAACACCGGAATTGCACGGTGAGCGACAACTCGGTTATCCCAGAATGTGACGCTACCGGCTTCCCAATCCATCGAACGCTCGGATCATCTGCTGTATGAAGATGGTCGCGGAGGAAGATGAGAATGCACAGTGCTTCGCTGCCTTTCAGTTCTTTGATGTTGACCACGAAGGCTGGGTTGTAGAAGAGAGACTCCACGCCAGTTACTGGGCGGGTTGGACCTAGGACTGTCAGTTTCTGGCCATCAGACAGGCAAACAAGCATAAAAGAGGATGTTCTAGTCGTACTGGGGGTCTGAACGTTGTGCCTTCACTGTTGATGCTTCTGATATAAGCGTGCTGCCAGATATCTCCACCTGTCATACTGCGAACCATGCCTCGTAGCTATGGTTTCCATGAGGTTCTTGCAGAGTATTTTGAAAGGTTGGCCTCAACCTATCGAACAGCGCGGCTTGACCAATGAAAATCGTATCACCAGCTGAATCGATAAGCTTCTGCAATCCTTGAGGGCCGAGGAAAATACCATATTCCGGAGTCTTCAAACCATTATGAGCATGGTGTAAGATGGTGGGTTCACCTCGAACGAATGATCGGAATGAAACTCCGCAAGAACACTGCTAGAGTGCTCGAAGGAGCGAATATCACTGGGAGAATGAACCACTGATGAAGACATCAAATTTCGCCAAGGCCTTGCCCTCCACATCCCAGCATGTATAGATGACGGGGATTGACTTGATTGGGATCTCGTTCTTGCTCAAGGAATCAAGTCAGCCATTGCCCGAGCAAAAGATGAGAAGAACATACAATCCCGTAATGTCGCGTAGACTCGTGCTGCCCTTCAAGGGTAAGGTCCTGGTCTCGAAAAAAGACAACTCCTCTCTATCACTCTTGGTATCAGCTGAGTTCCAGCAAGCTGGAGTTGTCATACTTCAGCTACCAACAAGGTAAGTTCATTTTTCTGCATCTTATTGAGTTTACTGAGTTGAATGCCTTGCAACTCGCCATGTATGGTGTCAAGTGCTTCACCTTCGTAGCGGCTGATAAGAGCGACTTCCTCGCAGGACCAGCAAAGGATGCGCGATCCTTTGGGGGCTGAATCCCCTCTACAGGAGATTCAGTAGGCATGTAGGAGAGGACCTTCTCCGTGAGGCCTGTGCGAGCGGTTGGTGTAGGTATGCTCAGGCAAGTAAGGTCCATCGCTCCTTCCCCATCAGAATCCGCGTGGAAAATCTCGCAACCGGCTGCAAGCGATGGACATGGACATCAAACCAACTATCCCATTCTCTCGCTATACTTATTCAAGATGCCGGATAACTTCAATGATCAGATGCAGGTCCCTTGGCAAGTCGCCATCATGCTTGGATACGCCTTTGTCTACGGCCTGTTTGCCACGCTGAGGGACATCCTATCGCTCATGACCGGGATCAGATTCGTCATATTCGAGTAATAAACGCCCGTTCGACGCATTAGGTTGGACAAACGAACTGCGAACCCTGGTTTATCTGCCTCATCTACATTCTTTCTGTCCCGCTTACACTCACTTATCATATCACCTTATTTCACCATGTCGTTCGTTCCGAAAGTTCAAGCAGTTATCGAGTCGGGGCCGGGCGATATCCATGCGCCGACAGTGGAGGTTGAAAGTGGCCTGCAGAGGGAGTTGGCGACGATAGACGAAGTGTTGGCCCGGAAGATGGCGCTGGTCAATGGCGCGATCGACGAGATTGGAATGACTCCTTTTCAGTGGAAACTATTCATTCTGAATGGCTTCGGGTATGCGGTGGACTCGGTATATCCCCCATCCCGAAATATCAAAGAGGTTGATATTGATTTGCTACCTAGCTTCTTGTCGTCTGCCAGTCTATTTCTCAGCCCGCCGTGACCCAGGAATTCGGTAATCCAAGCAAGCAAATCGCCGGAGTAGCCCTTGCATCCCAGATCGGCCTTCTAGTCGGCGCTGCAGTCTGGGGTTTCTCTGCCGATGTCATTGGCCGAAAACTGGCGTTCAACTCGAGTCTGTTCATTTGTGCCACATTCGTGCTCATCGCTGCCGGAATGCCGAACTACATCTCTTTCTGTGCCATGTTTGTCAGACCCCTCTCTTCTCTTAGACCTCGGACTAATTGTTTAGGGTTGCAATATATTCAGCCGGGGCAGGAGGAAACTATATCCTGGACGCAACAAACTTCCTTGAATTCCTTCCAGTATCTCATGCCTGGGTTGTCACCTTCTTAGCCGTGTGGTGGGCCGTTGGATACACGATCACCGGTCTGTTGGCATGGGCATTCATGAGCAACTACAGCTGCGACCCTGACGCCACTGTCGCCGAATGCGCCCGTGCGGATAATATGGGTTGGCGGTACCTCCATATTACTTGCGGCGGTCTTGTTCTTGTTGCGAGTATTCTGCGTCTTGTTTTGATCCGCATGGCAGAAACGCCAAAGTGGCTAGTGAGCCAGAATCGGGACCAGGAGCTAATCGGAATTTTGTCCGGTATATCCAAGAGATACAATCGCCCGTTCCATCTTACTTTGGAGGATTTAAGCTCCCAGGGTCGTGTCCAGGGCACAGAGAAGTCAGTCTTTTCAGCTCTTCGCCTAGCAAGTCATTTCACCGGGTTGTTTAGTACCAAAAGACTGACATACTCTACTATAATGATTATTATCAACTGGCTACTCATTGGAACCGTGTCACCACTTTACACCATCTTCTTACCTTACTATCTCCAATCTCGCGGTGCAGATACTGGTGACAACTCCAACTACACTACCTGGAGGAACTATGCCATCAACCAGGCAGCGGGCCTCGTCGGGCCCGTGATTGCCGCTGTTCTCGTTGAGCATCGACTACTTGGGCGCCGAAGGACCTTAGCTATTGGCGCAGCAATTACCACTGCCCTGCAGTTTGGCTATACTCAGGTCAAAACGCCGGCACAGAATGTTGGCGTCTCGGCAGCCATTACGGCAGCGTCAAACATCTATTACGGGACCATTTACGCTTATACGCCGGAGATTTTACCTAGTGCTCATCGCGCAACAGGGTATGGGCTTTGCGTTGTGCTCAATCGAGTCGGTGGGATTGTTGGTGTGCTGGTCGGAAGTTATGCGAATGTACGCACGACCGTGCCGTTGTTTATATGTGCTGGATTATATGCTGCGTTAATCGTCACGAGTCTATTATTACCTTTTGAAAGTCGGGGGAAGCGGACTGTTTAGTCATAGGTAGTTATGGTAGTTATCGATCTGGTCGATTTGAGGACACCGTGCTGTACAGTTGTGCGGAGAGACCGCTAGAAGCTCTATTACGGGCAGCGTTATGAATTTACTTGTTACTTTGACCTGATGGCCGGATTCTGGCGTCGGTTAACGATTAGAAGCCAATCGGCAGATCGTGAGAATATTTAAACGTCTCGGATTCTCTTTGTAGTCTAGCAGGGGGTAGGTATACCTATAGTCTAACACCTACTGACCCGTTTCTGGCCTGGCACTCGTTTCTAATTAGTCTTCTACAGGACGAAAATTGTGTAGAAGAAACCGGGGATCTACTTGTCTTTCACCTTCAATATTTTGACAGTAAAAAGGTTCAATTTATAAGCCACGTCGAGTCTGCTCCCGATAGCTGTCACTTCGTTTTGACTTGAAAGTAGTTCTCATTCGAGTTCTGCTAGTGTATGGAATTGAAATTGTTCTCATTCGCGCTCTGCGAGCGCGCGAACATGCAGTTTTTCAAGCAGTGTATGCACCTGAATAAGCAAGAGATCTTCAGCCAAAAGGGCAGATGGATGTTAAACGCTGTCTACAAGTCAAGTCTGCATACCCTTAGTCGCCTCGCTTTCCATCAATACCACTGCACGAGCCTACAGCCAGCTGTGACGCTCTTCAACGTACCTGAGTAGGTAGGACGTTCAGTTAACGACAGACTCGACCCGCCGGCGCCATGCCTCACGCATCAGGTACCACACATTGCCTGCCTGGATTCTTATACACTAGCGAGTCACATGCGGATCCCTTGCGCCGCAGGCAGTTGATGCTGGTTTGTCGCTAGGGTAGATCTACAACTGCCACTGAGATTGACACTGACATAGGGAATGCGCCCTTGCTGTGCGTGGATAACACAGCATACAATTCGAGACCCTAGGGCCAGCGACCCATTCGGTGAGTAGGTACAAGATACGTCGTACGTGACGGATGTCGTTTCTAAGCTCTTCTTGAGCCCTGAGCCCACGTGCGCCCAGATCGGCCGAAAAGGGAAATGGAGGTGGAGTGACAACAAGCGTTCAGGCTTGCAGCCTTGCAGGATCGGGGTCCATAGGTACCCCACGCACGCTTTGCCAGATCGAGAAACTTATAAGAGAGGGAAATCCGTAGAGCCTTGTAGGCACTTGCTGCTGCGCCGCCGGTCGGTCTGGACTCTGTATTCTGTCTACTTCTGTCTGCGCGTCAGGGGAGGCAGGTCTGGAAAACCGTTGTCGCAACTGCAGCCTGCAAGGAGCGCACTGTAAAATTTCAGCATCAGCTGGATGCAAGCTTAGGGTTCTCTCAACTCCTGTCGGGTGACGTCCCACATAGTCCCATCGGGAATCGTTGAACGGCCTTGCATAGTGCAGATGGCGATGCTGCTCCGTACGGAGTAGACTGACTGCAGAGTGACTGCAGACCTGAGACCGCTAATGCTTGGGACTGCCGGACTGACGACTGGTCCAGGACTTTGGTCGAGCAGCGTGATTTTTGGAAGAGCTGTCAGCAAGAACAACATCTTTCTCGCATTATTCCGAGCCCCGGATCCTTCAGCAAGCCAAGTCTCTTGGACGCCAAGATCCATGGTCCATCGTGCATGCGGAAATCTGACATCCCAGCGCGGAAACTGGCTATCCCAGGATGAGAAAAGACTGGCGTGACCCTTTTGGGCCTGGCGAGACGGAGGACGGCAGGGGGGGGCCGGCGAGTTGCGAATCGCAAGTCGCGAGTCACTCAGTCAATAAAGCAAAACGGGAGAAAAAAGAAAGCATAGCGCCTGGCGACTGAGAAAAATGTCTCATGGGTACTCCGTATCGACTCCGCATCTGACATCCGACCTGCAACAGTTCTGTCTTGTCGGTCGCGGCTGGTAGTAAAATGCGGTACGGCAGGCCTCATTGGACGAGGAATGTTCCGGGCAAAGACAACAGTCATCGCTTTAGCCCAGTGAGTAATACGACGCTTAGCTCGGCTGTCGTAAAATATCTCCAATTCGGCTGGGTGCCCAAAGGACAAAGAACTGATCGAGGTATGGCAACTGAGGCGATCATATGATGACCGTGTTGGATGTTCATGCATGGAGGAGCGGCAATGGAGTTGGAGATGGAGATACGATTGGGCTGGTGGATTGCAAGATCTGGGGATGAGTAAAAGCGGCCCTGTGCTAGGCCGAAGGCGGCTAGTGGATTGTAGGCAGCTCCAGGACCAGCGCCAGTCTGACTCCGAACAGCTTCAGCCTTCCAGTAACATTACTAGACAGCTTCACGCACATACGTACGCTTCTGATCCGACATTGCCATCGCTGCAGCCGCCTGCAATAATTCTGCCTGTATTGCTGCGCAGCTCTGGCTCTGACAGGTTGCAAGGTTCGTGGATCTTTCTCTGCTCTTACATTCCACCCTCCTGCCTGACTGCACATCAATTTCGCCCTTTTGACTTTCACATTGGCTGTCTATCTCCTGGCGCTTCTTTTCTTTTTCTGCTCATGGGTCCGGATCTGGCCCTTTCTTTCCTCTCATTCGATGCCTTCAGACATGATGCTGCGACAGCTGTATGTAGCCTTCGGCTTCCTAGCTTCGCCCCCCCACTCGACCTCTCCCCACGTTCTTAAACAACTCACTCTTTGAGTCTACCTTGCAACCCAGTCGTCCTTGACTGGCAGATCTGACTGGGAGATCATGAGCCCCGTCTTGCGTGGCGTCCCCTGCTTGTTCCCTGGTGGGAGGGGAGAAAAAGGCCATGTTCCCCTTCTTGTGTACCCTGCGTGCCACTGTCGACTGTTGACTCTCATCATTTGTTTTGAGGCTCCATTCCTGCCTATCCTCAATGTCAAGCTCTATAATATCCTAATCATCCCCTCATATCATTTTCTTCTCTGCTCTTACTGCACCACTCCACGACAAAATGGCTGAATTCAAGCATCCAGTTCATACTGGTTTCTCTAAACCTGGGGCCTTCACCAACTGTCCCTTCTGGGCGCGCAGTCAGGTCAAATACGCCCAGGACCTTCTCGACTACTCGACAGATCCCATAGAATACGAGCACGACGACGAAGACTACTGGGACAACCACTTTTTCTTTCCAGAAGACTGCTCTTGGTCCCCACCCAAAGATTGGGCTTTGGACGACGACGACAACTCTGAAGAAGACATCGCAGTCGGCGAGTGCTACGATCACGACAACACCATGATACCTGGACTGCCCGACATCAAAATGCTGGACGCGGAGGCCCTCTCCGATCTCCTAGAGGATAACCTCTCGCCACCAGAGATCACTTCCATATTGTACGTCCCCTTGCATGCGTCTCTCAATTCAACTACTGACAGCACATGCAGTGTCTTCGCCACAAACGGCGCCATCTTCGCTTACGCCTCCTCTCTCCCATCCCGTCAGCTACGTAATCTGAGCGCGACTTACGGCGCCGCGTATACGTGCTACGCAAAGAACGCCTCCAGCGGCAATCTCACCGGCGTCAACCCCGCCAGTCATCCGTCATCATATGTCACAGCCCAATCCGTCTCCCTAGGCGACGTCGGCTCGATCGTCTTCGAGCTTGACGACCTCGTCGCCGTCGTGACCAGAATCGCCGACAAGGTCCTCCTTGCCGCCGTCGGGCCGTCGAAAATCGCCGACGTCGCTCCGGATAGCCACATCCTGGGAACGTCAGCTTCTAAACCCGAGTCCCCGCGATCCGCAGCCTCGTCACATACTGAGCCCGCGCAAGCATCAGGCACAGCCTCCGGCACGACAAACAACAGCGCAACGCCGACCGCAGCATCAACGCCCCAACCCCAATCCGCTTCCCACACCAACGGCACAACGCCTCACACAGCCATCAACTCCGCCCCCACCGCCGACGCCAGCGGCTACTTGACAGATGCGCAACTCCAGTCGCAATACGAAGTCGACCGCACCAAGGACCTCGAGCGGCTCGCGAGCCTCAACCTCTCGACGCCACCCTCGATCCTCCTCGCACTAGAATCCAAGTCCGCGGCACTAGGCCGGTTCCTGTCGCAGAAGCTCGAAGATCTGGCGAGCCCGGATGACTTTTAGGCCCGTAGCCGCTCCTTTCAGCATAGCGCTTGTTTGGTTTCTGTTGGGATTCGGAAATAGCGCGTATAGTGTACTGTATATCCCTGCTTGATAGCGTATTAGCAGCCCCCGCTGTACTACCACCCCAAGTAAATACGAGACTCCATCCTTCCAAATCCACCTACGTCACCGCACGTTAGACTAGACACTACTTTGTACTCTGGAGAACCTAGTAGGTAGACTAATTCCCCGCATTTTCAATTAATCAATCATGTGGATGAGCTATATATGCACAGTGCTGTAAGGGTCTACTTCCGAATCAGCGTTCGATGGCGACGAACGGTCTAGATTTCTATTGCCTCTCAAAAGTAGGGCAATCAGCTAGCCGAGGCACAATCAGGTCGAATCAGATGACTATCCAAGTCGATTACATCTAAATACACTATAGCGGGGAGAAGTTAAGACCAGAAGGACAAGAGAACCAAATCCAATCAGGACCAAATGGAATAAAAAATCATATATAAACAAAATATGTCATAAAGAAAGATAGATTTGTGTTTTAGATCATGAGGCGTAGATGGATGGTTGGAACGATTTGATCTGGATTTCTAGGCGAAATCCTTTTCAGCCCCAGCTGCTGATGCCGGCCCAGTGCCAGCGCCAGTGGCGGTGGCCTCCGTCTTCTCGGCAACAGGCGAGGTTACCTTCTCACCTAAGCTGCCTGTCGTAGTGGTGGTGTTAGTGCGGCTCACGGCCGGTGGGCTGCCAGCGGAAGATTCCTTCTCGTATGCCGGGGGTTGAGCGGCACCGGGAGCGGTTGCGGATGCAGCGCCAGGGCTAGTCGGGGAGGTAGCGGACGACGGGCTAACAGCGGCGGCAGTAGCAGCGGTGGTGGTAGCGATGGGTGTGTTTGCGGCTTCCTTGAGGATGTTCACCCATTCCTTCGCGTCGGCTGCGGAGCTGGCCTTGAAAACGAACTCGGAGTTCGTGTGGAAGGCATTGCCGACGGCGTTGCTGGAGACGTCTTTGCCCTTGATGGTGAAGGTCTGCTTGACTTCGTCGATCGAGACAATATGGCTGTCTGGGAGGAATAGGGAGATTTCGGGGGCAGGGTCTCGGTTGAAGTCGTCGTTGTCCTTGAACTCGTGCAGGTATCGGGCAGGAGTAACGACATAGAAGAAGCTGCTGAAGCCCTTGAGCGCCATGCGTGACTTGCGCTGCAGGGTTCCTGAAATCAGCGGCTGCGTTGTGGGGTGGTCCTGGTTGGCAAAGGAGATGTTCGAGATTGACCTCGGCGGAGCGTCTGGGTCGACAAGCGCGGCCGCGTTCCTGGTCATAAAGTTCACCCATTCGAACTCGGCAGGGATTCTCTGCAGGTTGCCAAGAATATCGCTGTACATGGTCCTGTGGCGCTCGGACTGTCCCGTAATGAAGACGACCAGCTGTTCCATGGCAGCCTGGATGGTCTGCAGCACATGAGCTTCGAACTGCTGGAAGTTGTTCTGCACCGTGATAGTTTCCTGTCGGTTGTTGTTTTCTTCAATTACCTGCTTGTTCAGTCGGTGGGTAATGCCCCGACGAACAATGTAAGGATCATGCGAGGTGTTGAGCTTGTTCCCGGCAGCCGAGTCCAGCGCGGCCGTTTGCTGGGCAAGAAGGTCGATGTGTTTTTGAGTGATGTTACGAGCCTTCTCGACTGCCTTTGCGCCCTTCGAAGCGCCAGTTTGCAGTTCCTTCGCCTTGGCCTTGATCTCCTTGTGCAGTTTCTCCAACGTCGGAAGCACAGAGCTCTTGAGGTTCTTCTCTCCTTCGGCATACAGGTTGATCATTCCCTACATTTCGAGTTAGCGCCTGTTAGGCCAACACTTACAAACATCATACCTGGGTATTGGCGCGAATGTTCTCAAAGAACGACGAGACACCGCCTGCACTCTGAGAGAAATGGTGACCCTCCTTTAGCGGCTCGTTGACCGTCTACAAATCCTCCTAATCAGTATCCCAGAAGGACAAAGATGTACCATAAATCACTGACGGATCAGCAGACCTTCAGAACTTTCTCATAATCCTTCGACATCCCTCTCTGCACCTTGGCGGTAACAGAGACATAATCCTCTAGGTATCCGCACATGTGCTTCCAGGCGCGAAGTCGCTCGACAAGGAGGTTGGTGGTCTATTGACACTCATCGTTAGCCTTTAATTCAAGAGTCCAGAATCAAAAGCTGGTTCAAGTTGTAGCTCGTACCTCATTGCTATCGCCGCCAGGAATAGCCTCGTCATCGCTCACGGATGCCCGGCGTTCCGTGCCCGTGCTCACGGTCCGCATGGTGTTGGACCGCGTCGGGAGCCTGGCCTCCACCGGACTAGACGTAGCCGACATACTGGGAAATTATCGACGAAGCGTGGCTATCTCGAAGATGTTGATCGGAGCGATGGGTGCGATGGTAAGAATTGAGCCACAATCAATGCCTAGTAACAGATCGGTGGTGCCTGGGGAAAAGGGGGAAGCGCCGGAGCCACAGTAATCTAGCTAGCAGCTAAGCAGCTTGAGGTCTGGCCGGGTCAAGGCTTCTTATGATGGCACAGCCAAGTGGACAGGTGGGTCTCCGGCCCGGTAGGTAAAGTGAGGGGTGCAAAGGATGAATATAGCAAGTAAATCAACACCAAGAAGCTCAAGATCATAGAAGCTGTAAATTTATCTCGCCAGAAAAGTGCAAAGTTCAGCTTGAAGCCGCGGCGAGGGCATTTTAAGGAATTCTGTAAAGATGATGCAAACAGGGAGATTGTGATCAGGAGGGGCAGTTCACCGCCTTAGCCAGTGACGACATGATCGCCGTCTCTTTGCCAGATCTGGTGTTGATACAGCTGGGAACTCGGCATTGGCCAATGCCCCTTCTCCGGGGTCCATCAAGGTGTGGCTGTGTCATCTGATCGACGCTCTTTCGCTTCGGAAATCGAGTCGTCAGGTACGAGGCTCGGGATCGTTTGGTTCTGATACTCTTCGGCCCAGGAGATGTGGCTTCGCAAAGTGAACCGTGCGGAGATCTTCAGATCTGCTGAATATTGTCAATAATAACTACCAAGGGGTGTCTACTATCTAGACGAATAGGCCAACTAGGGAGAGTTGTATCGACAGTGACCCTGCAGCAGTCTCGGCCTGCAGTGCCCTACCACAAGCTACTAGTCCTCATCGTTATTACTTAGAAGCATATTGAGTTGAAATGTAAGGGGTCGTTATTATCTATGTCATCGCTTTTATTGTCATGATTCCATGTCTGTAGCCCAGTCCGTCTATATGAAACGCCAGTCGACCTTCCTTGGTCTCAGAGCATTCGTCTTCGCAGAGCGATGCTAGTATAAAACAAAGATGTATAGCCGCGGGGCTAGATTGTTCCGTGAAGAAATTAGGAGAGTCTATAATCATATGCAAACAGCGTCCTGCGCTGATAAAGTATGTCGTTCGAATAAAGATGTGAGGTGAAATCTCGGCTTCGGTTGAGACAGCGGTGTGATGGCTTCAATAACAGGCCGCGAAAGAGAAAAGGCGGCGGGTATATGTCGCTGAGGTACGTAGGATCGTGAAAAGTATTGTAGTCGTTCACCATTATGAGTCGAGGGAAAGAAAGTTGACTAGGCCCTGCCCCGTGCTTGATTCAGGCGGACCCTGCGCTCGTCATCGGCATGACTATGAGAGCGGGAGTGGAGAAAAGCAGGTCGGTGGAAGAAGTCCATGGGCGCGCTGAAATATGAGTCGGTTCCACGACCAGTGCCGGTACCTCGTATATGTGCTTGCTGCGGGGACTGAGGGGCTGACATGCTAACAGTTTCGGCCACCACAGCGTCGTAATCCGGCAAGCCGCTATCATGCGGACGGACAGACGAGCGCACAGCGGTGGTATAACTCGGAACGCGACTGAGAGTCTCCAGTTCCGCAGAGTGGGGGTGGAAGGGTGTTGCCATTCCAGAGGGAATGTGGTCATGGACATCTTCGTCCGAGGCTCTTCGCGAAAGGTCGGGGCTCCCGGGTGCGTGAGTGTTTGAGCCATGAGTGTTAGATCCCGAGGGCGGGCCGTGGTCTGAAGTGACTCCTTGATGATCGTGTTCTGACGGCGAGAGACGACTGGGGCCGCGCATATCAAGATTGATCAATCGGTGATGCAAGGCGGTAGCGGAGATATCGGTGTTGGCCATTGCATTCATGGACGCGAGGTTCTCGGTGGAGAGGTTGCGGCTGAGCGTACCGAAGGGTGTCCCCGGGCCACTTCCAGGACCGGGAGTGCGGTAACCGGAAGGATCGACTTCACTGTACAGCTGATCGAATTGGTGTTCTCCATACAAGGGAGGTGCTTGTTGAGCAAGATCATTGACTGCTCTTTGGGTCGTCTGAGGGCTGGTATCGACAAGGTTGTTGTTGTCGTCGATCGCAAGGTTTGGCGAGATAAATATCGAGACCGGGAGCGTCGCTCGTAACTCACTGATATGTCCATCAGGGTTGAGAAGCTGTACTCGGAACTTCAACTTGTGCCGCACTTTGATACCCCTTGTGTCCGTATCCTGCAGACATCTCGTCAAGGTCTTGGGCAAATCGAGCGTGCGCGAGAACTGGTATCCCTCTGCCGCCTCATCTATGATCTCTACACCGTTCTCCTCGTCTATTGTGTGTTCGTCGTTAATGATCGTGCGGTTGGTTTTGTAGGTGTTGCGGATCGCATCCGGGTCTTCGGGGTTAAGGGTGAGGTCGTGGGTTTCAACGAGTTGCGAGATGATTTGACCGATTCCGAGCCCCTTCAGGAGAGGGATCAGCTTAAAATCGACTCGGATACTTGTGCCGAAGATGACGGCTTTGGTAGGCGTGCTGATTGAGTACTCGATTTTGTTTGGCCAGATGTTCTCGACCGACTGCGGGTTATAATGTCAGCGCATGTGATCAACATACCGAGGATCATTCCACATACCATAGCGTGTGAAAGCTCCAGCGCGCTAGATTCCAGGGTGCGGATAATGCGGAGAGGCCTTCGGACGATGATGTCCTTCGCATACTTGCGGCCTATTTCAGCCTTGAAGCGGTAGGTGACGTAGGTGTCCGAAAGGCCCTCGACGCTCTCCGGCATGGAGCCTTCTAGGATGATGTCGAAAGGGTATTCATAGTTGCCCGCAGGGAGGATCTCCGTCTTGCTCTTGCCCGCGTCTCTGAATCTCCAGGTCTTCTCGTAGAATACGCGCTCCCTCCAATTTTTGCGCCCGCCGCCAGCCGAACTCGAGGGGAGATGCCAACTAGTGGAATCCATTGTCAGCAGGCCGATTGCCCGATTGCCCTGCCAAGAGGTGCCACTCACCAGACGCGCGAAATGCCAGTGAGATGCAGACGAATATGCTTGATAGAAATCGGCTCCGACACACAGAGGATGAGTTTCCCACTCAAATGGGCACTGGCAGACTCTTGTTCACCACCACGGAAGACAATGTAGTCCTCGTCGAGTCTGGCAGAGAGGGGTGGCCGGATTAGCAAGGTTCGGACAAAGGGCCGAGATCCCGGGACGGCAGAAACTCACCGGATATCAAAGTACTTTGCGTGACTTGCACTGCCGCCTCCGCTGAAGAAACTGAGCGCCATGGCGGACTCGAGGCAGCGACAAGGATAAGAGTATGAGCACCAGCAGGAAAGGTGCAGAGAAAGCGATGGCAATCGCAATCCAGGGGGGTGGGCCAGCTAAAATATAAAAACCAGGGCCCAGCGGGAAAAAGCGAAAAAAAGGAAAAAAAAGTATGACACAGATAGGGCACTCAGCACCGATCTTCGGGTCCCACTTGAATATGAACCAAGTGGGGAGGGTCCAAAACAGCCGTTTCCGTCACTCTGCGATGGGCCTTTTATCGGCGCGGGCTGTGGCGATTGGGATGGACTGAGAATGTTCGCTGGCGGGGCCGGGAATGATGCGATTCAGTTGACTAAGGTGGGACTGGGAGGTCAAAAAGATAACTGTTTTGCGGCGGAATCATCAGCCGATGTCCTGAAGATATAGACCGAGTGGTCAGACTGCGCAAAGCGCGGCGCTGAGTCTGACAGAAAGCGGCACAACGACGAACCTTGTCAAAGCAAAGCCTCAACCGGACAAGGGTGATAAGCAGGAACAAGGCGCTGGGCACGGAGACCAGAGTACTCGGCAACGGTCTTCCGAAGGGTATAGAACAACTCAAAACGGCTGTAAACAGGGACCAAATGCAAGATGGAACCGAAGAATGATCGAGGGCAGGGCAATATATTTATCTATCTGGATGATTGCGAATTATTTGGCGATTATCTTAGTCCTGGATATTATTTTCCCGGCCATGGATCGTCCGGCTTTATCTTCCACGTTCTCGTGCGCCTAGTCTAGATCGGCTGGCCCTACCGTCCTACGGGAACACCGCTGCCAGCCTAGCTTATCACGATGGCTTGATGTCGCTGCGCAGCCTGCGCTGTCATGAGACTGCGCCATATATCTCATCATCCCTGGCGCCTGAATCAGCCTGGTCTCAGCTCGGGAACATCGTCTGTTTGATCTACCGAGGGGTGCACTGTACCTAGCACTATATGTAAACACATAGTTGGTGACCGCATAAATGATAAGGGCAGTGGCAAGCTGTCAGGCAACATTGTGTGCATATGCAGAGCGGATAATTGCTGTGCGACCCCCAGACTGTACGTATCTGGAGGTTACACCAGCCCCAGTTTAAACTTTCCGCTTGACCTTGGTCTTAAGACACGACTGTATCCAAATATAATACTCTTTCTAGAACCACGGTCCAGCTTCCGGGGCAGGTACAACTGGCACATGTCTACACTCCATGCCGCGTCTGCAGAATTGCCTGATGATCGTCTGGCGTGGCATGATCGCCATGCTCGAAAGTACCACACCTCCATGAAACAACACATCCGTACAGCTGATGCATGGCCAAGATGATCAACCGGAGAATGGGATATTATTCAAATGGTTAAAGCTAAGCTCATCTCTGCAAACCCACGGTGGGGGCGCGTAGATCATTCGGTGCTCGGTGAACCTACCTGACTGACTCCTGACCCCTCGAAGTCCTAGACTCGTCATCGCTTCGATCTCCACCCAGTATACATGCATGCACTGATCTTCCAGATATCGATCTATGCAGCAGCGAAGGGGAAAATCGACTCTTTGAGCCTGATGAAACTGCCATCAAGCCGAGCGCCTGAGCCGAGGCACTGAGATGACAGGGATATCGAGACAGCTGAAGGCCTGGACCTGCATTTGCAGGGATCTGAGCTTATCCCCATGAACTATGAGGACTAGGAGACCAGGGCCAGGATTGTTTTTCCGGCGGTGGTGCGGTTGATCGACGCCATATCAATCCGCTCTGGAGTAGAGTTACGCAATGACTCCTGTATCACATTCACAGAGCACTGCTGCTCCTGGCAACGAAGGGTCAAGACTCGAGCTAGATTATGATCGCACCGCTAGCTCACTAGCTAGCAATATCAAATTGTTAGCACGATCTCAATTTCCGATCATTATCGTCCCCTTGTGGCCATATCTATATGATCGGAATCTTTCGGAACGTAACATGTGATCCGGAGCCATTTCACATTTCCGGCACCGCAGCCCACCGCAAGGACCGTCGCATACGGCATCAAACGCTCGGAAAATTCCAATTTAGGAGCTACGGTGTATCAACTATCAAACAAAACAATTGACTGGATAGGTAACCATGACGCTTGAGCCAACTTCCGGAGCGCTGTCAACCAGCGCCGCATCCACAAGCGGATTCTCCATGCTGATATCTGACGCAAAGCATGATATCATGACCGATATCTAACAAATAACAAGCCAGCAATGAATCCTATTGTCTATAGAACCAGCTAAATATAGAGCGCTTCAGTGAACCGCGCAATCGATGAGCTCAACCAAGATGTCAGTGTCAACCGCCCGTCCAGAACAAGGCTCGGTTCTTTACCAAGGTTCATGCTGCAGGGTCAACCAGCCTCAAGCGGTCCAATCACCGGGTAAACCCGCCATGCGAGTGGGTCACAGGAAGGGACTTCGACACTTCACTGCGTGGCTGGGTGGAGCTGTCATGGCGCGATTACATTTGCGATAGCCAAGTTGTTGGACCTTCCTACGTTAAGGAGGGTGGCCAACCGAGCACATTTCGCTCTTTGCTGAGTATGAATGTATGACAGCTTCAGCCTATGAGATAGTCATGAGGTTGCGATATCAAAGCTCAACGTCAAAACCTGCAGCCTGTCCCACTTTCATGGGACAGTCGTACGCAAGACGAACCGGGCCTAGATCGCCTCCGGAGCACGGATTGCCGACCGCGCTCGGCATGCCGAACCTTGACTCAACTCTTACTCACCAGTCACCACCAACTTTACTCACCGTCGCAAGAAAATATCTGCAGGCCAGGCACGGTGTCCCATCCCGAACCCGCCCGACCTGGGAATTTCGAGACTCGTGCCTTGAGCCAGCGATCCCGTTGGATGATGCGGAAAAAATTGGTTTCAGGTTTCAGCCCAGCCCACGAGTCACGGCTCCCGAATATGATGCGATTTCGCGATAAGGAGAGCCGCGTTGGCATGCAAGAAAAAGAGTGGATAGGCATAGGTACCCGCGCTTATCGGTTTCCTGCGGCGGATTCTACCGTGGTCCCACTTGGCGTTCAGGTTTTTCTACGGTGTAGTATACCCGCCGGGTCCTCACCTCCTTATCCCTGACCGTCAGACCTTGATCAGGATTTTTGATGTTGGGCAGGGGCTGGAGGCAAAACCGTATCCGGTTAACCGTCACCGGCAGCCAGAAAGGGCGGGAGGTTGGAATTGGATTTTGGCGCTCGGGTTCATTTCGGGTTCCTGAATCAGAACCTGGCAGAGATGCAGATCGTGGTTTTTAGTAGGTCTTCTGCTGAAGTCTGGAACGACAGTCCACTTTTCTCGGGCATTTCGTCCCTTATCGACTTATCGCTACTATCAGCTCTTGGGCACAGATCCCTATCGGCATCAGTATCAGTCAGACTGTCAGTCTATCAGATCGGGCTTCCCGAGTCTCGGCATACATAATTTGTACTCTGTCAAGGCCTCAAGGGCTGAAAATGGCGTGCCAGCCCTCAGCTGCATTCTTACTCGTTAACATACAAGCGTACAGTGCAGAACCTTTGCCGATGTATGCGAGCCAAACTCGGAGATGGCCCGATCTCAAGAGACCGAATCTCGGGCCAGCCCGATTGCCTGAGTATAGGGCTCAGGAGTCGGCATCGAGGATTGAACTGACCGGGCCATCTCTTTCCTTCATATCTCTTATTGAGAACTTGTATCATCGTGAGGATGGATAACCTTCGCTTGTTGGGCTACCCGGGTTCTGTGTAACTATGATGGCGTTACAAGTTGCGAAAATATATATCTGTCCCGAACTTTCACACACGGGTCGTCGTTGACGCATCGCTTACATTAGCCACTAACCAAACAAGTCCCTTTCAATCTATAGTCTATCTCAATCTATAGTTGTGTTTATAGATTGAGGATGGGAAAAAGTCAGGACTAGGGCTGTAATATGGACGAGCAGATAGACCGAGAAGATAATTCCGTACAACCTTCGTCTCCAACGCAGCCAACCAGCAAAACAATGCTCACTTCAAATATGCCAAAGGAAGAGCTTGCTATAATACATATTAAGTCCAGATTTGGTTATTGGAAGAAAGACCAGCAATCTATACCTCATTACCTCTCGATAGCTATGTATGTGCATCCCGCCGCCCCCAGTTCAACGGGAGCTCGACCCGTCACCCCAGACAGCCCTACGGAGTATGGAGATGGGCCCGACCAAATCAAGTCTCCGCAAGACCGAAGCTAAGCCAAGTCAAACGCCTAGACAAGCTTAACAACGACCGAAATCCCATATTAGGAAGCATAGCACAAGGCCCACCAAGCACCCATCTCGCCAGCAAGATCAGGTGCTACCCGCCCCCGGCTACTCGGTGTTTTTCCAAGCATATCTTCACGTATATACATACGTGGCCGGTTCATCTCGCCTTCTCAATGTCCGAAACCTAACCCCTCATTTCGCGACACTCCTTCAGAAAATCCACCCGAGCAACAACCAAAGGAATATCCCCGCGCAGATCACAATCCCCGCAACCTTCAGCACAGCAACCGTATCGCCCTGGCGCGCCATCCGCGTAAGCCGGCTCGCGCTTCCTTTGAGATTCGTGGAGAGGGAGGAGAAGACTTGGTTCTAGTATTCGAGCTTGCGGTTAGTATAGTGTGCTCGATGTAAAACAGTCGAGAACCGAAGGTAGGTATGCAGCGCACCGAGTGGTCGAGTGTATCCTGGTCCCGAGCATTATCGTAGATATCGATTGTGACGTTCTTGAGGGCGGAGACTTTGCCGGAGAGGGAGTTTAGTAGGTCGTTGTTTTGTCTATCGGGATGAAGACAGTTAGCTGAACTGGAGCATAACGTTTCCCTAACTAGCGAGCGCAAGTTTATCTGAGAGGATTGGGTTCGAGGTCATACTGTTCACGTTCGTAGGCGTCCGCCATTTTTGAGCTTCGGTGACGATGGTGTCACCTGGTTATGCGAGAAGGGGTAGCCGGGTGTAAGTATATCTAGAATAGATTTCGAGGCGATTTCGAAGTAGACGAGTTCTTATGTGCGTTGGGTCAAATCAGAGAGCCGGTGCAGAAAAGGAGCGATATGTTCAGGAGTTCTGTTCGCCGTCCGGGGTTGGCGATCTACCCCAAGCCGATGACGAATTGACGATACCTAAATCGCCAACCACGTGATGGCACAGCCACACTTCCACGATCAACGCTGAGATGACAGCAGGGTTGGGAATCATATGTTGTATGAATGATATGATGTTGCGACGAGGAAAATTTTAGTATATTCCCCGTACTCATGTTGTGTCAATACAAGTATCCACGCAGCAGGGAATCAAGAAGATAATTACTGTAATTCAGTGATCCTGTCTACTATTATACAGCCTCCTATAATGGCCAACATCAAGAAACCGCCGTATCTCAGGTGTGCTACCTGAAGAAGTAAAGACAGCGCTGAGCGAAAGTTGCAAACATGCTTCAACTGGCAGTCCATGGCGTAATAACAATGTTTGAAAGCGCAAATGAAAACGAGAGAATGAAACCAATGAATAGAACCCCAGACGCTATGCGAACAAATCAAACCAAAGTAACGGGTCATGTCGTGCGCTGCCTTCTGTTATAAAATACTGGACAAGCGCTATATAGTCACAGAATAGAGTATAGGCACCAGGCAGCCCATTCCGTGTTGATGTTACCCCACGCAAGAAGAGCATAGCCAATCAGCTATAAAGGCAAGGAGATGTGAGTATGGACGGATTCATGGAAGAAGAAGGAAGCAGCGCGAAGGGTATTTGCGAGCCGTGGAAACGATATTAGTAAACAGAATGATGACAAATTGTCACCACATATCATCATCCTCATCGTCGTCCAGCTGCACATCATCTCCAAACGACATATGCCCATATTGATTGTGTCCCGGGCCGTATGCATTACTGTTGTCGTAGGTCTGATGTTTGTTGGTTTGTGGTCGCTGCTGATGGTTATGTTGTCCCTCGCTGTAATCGTACATTTGGGGATCATCGTATGAGCTGTCATCGTAGTGTTGATCCTGGGACTGTATACAGTTAGACGTTGAAGGGTAAGTATTTGCAAGGTAAGGTGTAAGGCGTACCTCTTGGTACCTCTGGTACTGTGAGTACTCATCTGATTGACCCCGGCTCTTTTGCTGACGTTGTGACGGTGAAGACTGCATCATCATGTGCGGATGCATTTGCTGGACTTTTGCGAGGTATGAATACATAAAGTTGCTGAGAAGGACCTGAGAATATAGAGCACGCCGAGGGTTTGCAAGCTTGATATGAGCCATTCTGTAGATGGCTCGCTCTTCCAGTATCGAAAATCTAGTCCAGGGATAATCGACATCCGGCTGAAGTATGCGGACAGGAGGATCTGGAGACAACGTTCTTGAGAGGCTCTTCTTGTGGTGATGTTCAGTATTCTTCTTCCTGCCACCGCCGAAGATCGAAGAGAACAAGCCCGACTCTTTCTCCTTTTTCGTTTCAGCTGACGATCTTCGAACATTGTCTTTCTTGCGTTCCTCTTCGAGTTTCGCATCGTGCCGATCAAAGACAGCGCTCTCACGCCGTTGGTTGCTTTCGGTGGAAACTGGAGGAACATTTGTGGTATCATGCACTTTGTCGGCGATCTTTGTCTTAGTCTTTTTGGAATCTCCGTCTTTTTTCTTCTCCTTGTCTTTATCCTCAGATCCCAGAAACCAATGCCAGCTCGATTTGCGACCACCTTCGGAATCCTTTTTATCCTTGGATTTTTTGGATTCGGATTTCCGGTCTTCTGGCAAAGTTGGAATGAAGGAAAGATTATCTGTCCGCGTGGTGTTGCCCGGTAGTGCCTGAGGATTACTAGCGAATTCACTCAATGTCGACGCGGATTCTTTGGGATGTGATGAGTGAGTGCGAGAAACTGGGGGACGTTTGTCATGTTTGGGAGGGTCATGGCTCGAGACACGAATCGGGATGTTGCTCTTCTGTGAACTTTGTGGTAGAGTCGCATGAATCTGAACCTCGGGCGGAGGAGTTTCAACAAGCTCTGGAACCTTCTGGTCCTGTATCGGACGGATAGATTGTTCGTTCGAATCGGTGCGGGAGTTCCACTGGCGAGGTTGGTGGGAGGCGTTCACGCGATTTCCAGAGTCTGTCAACGGCTGTCCTGTAGATCCTTCTTTTGCAGGTTGTGAGTCTTCCAATAGCGAGTCAAATGCAGCGCCCGCGTCCAAGCCCTGAGACTTAGCCAAGGCTTGGGAGCGCGTAGCGCTAGGTGTTGGGTCAGTTGACACTCGAGTCAAGCCTAATGTCGGTTCCTTGCTAGACGGGCCAACAAGCGAGTCCACCGCATCGTTCGATTCGGAGGCCCGACCGGTTCTTCTCGCGTAGGATGGCCGTTCACCCTTTCTTAAGCTACCTGCTTTCCGATATTGAGTCCTCGTGGATCGTCTGAGACTGTGACCTGGCGGCGCGGGGGGTAGAATCGGCCGATCATCCTCGGGCGAGATGTTGAGTGCCTGAACGGTTTCCAATAGAGAGGCGGCACTCGGAGATTTTGGCGTCGACTCGCCCACTATATGCTCAATTTCTTGCAGATTCGGGAGCTGAGGGTCTCGACTCTGGGACCGCTTCCGCTCCAGCCGCTCCGCACCGTCTGTGTACCCTTGTCCGTTGTCAATTTGCTTGGATAGCATAGATCGTTTCCGAGTAAGCGAGCTGTTCGAATTCTGACGTTCAGGGCTCAACGACGAAAATTCGCCTGACCTGCGCTTTATGTGTTCCGATTTGCTCTCAAGAAATGATTTGAACTCCTTCGGAGCCAGCTCCGGGTGTAGGCGGGCAGGAACCCAAAATAATCGCGAAGTATCGTTTTCATCGGCTGATGGTGAGGGCGCTATTGATGGAACAGGAAAGTTGAAACTCGGTAGGTCAGGATCGCCAGTAGCAGTAACGTCCATTGACATCCGCCGGATGGCAGCAAGGTTGTTGAGTTCCTGTGCCACCGCTGCCGGGTCGGATTCATAATCGATGTCGTTCAGGGGAAAGGACGTAGTTGCAGTGTCCGCAGCTCCTGGAGACGTCGGGCCTTCATCCGATGATTTCGTCCGGGCCTTTGAAGCCGAGTGGCCATTGGGCAGCCGGGGATTACCACCATCAGAATCATCTGGAACCCGCAATGACTGTGGGGACGTTGGTTCGCCTGCCCTGTTCTGAGGAACAATCGATATGGCTTCGCTCAACGGAGAAGAGATGTAACTGAGACGTCGAGATTCCCGCTTATCGTAATCGTCCTCGTACATGTGCCCGATGGCCTCCGTGACATGGTGGCTTGGATCGCTAATCGACAGCTGAGGCACATGGCCTCGTCGGGCCGCAAATCCACTGCCGGCCTCCGGAGGGCTCACTGAAGCCTATGATGCAAACGCGACAAATATTAGAACAGCTCCTTAGTAAGAGAATGAAACACAAAGGCATAAATCTCGCCGGCCCCCCTTGACTGAGGGGTAAATTTTCCTGGGCTTTGGCAAGGCGGGAAGACCAGAGACAAGTTTTGAGACAGGCATGGTAACTCAGAGAGACAACGACAGGAACGATGGGATCCCCGACAGAAGAGGGACAGAAACACGAAGTATGACATACCTGCATGGGACCAGATTATCCGGTGGTTCGACAATATAAACCAGAAATCGACGTAGACCAGGAGGCGACGGGATTACCGCCTGGTGGAAAGGAAGTCAAAGTACCACCACGGCCGAGAAGCAGCAAAGGTTGTTGGCGGTCATGGACACATAGACGCGGGGGTTAACCATTCGGCGAGGTGATTGCGAGGAACGAGTGGACGGGGACGGCTGATCACCCGGCGACCGATGAGTGTGGTGTAAGTTATGAGAGCAAAAAAGTAGTAGAGATACGGCGACAGAAGCGAAGGCGAAGATGACGAACAAGAGAATATGGCGGGAAAACAAATGACGGAGGAGGGTCGAGCAAAGTCGGCAAGGGAAAGAGTCGATGGTGGTTGCTGCCGGTGGAAGCAAAGAGCGGACGAAGAGATGCGGCCGGAAATAACAAGAAGGTCCAGGTTGGGGCGCTGTGGTTGGCCAGTCGGTCCCAGCGGAGACGAGCTCTCTCTTTTATTCTGTAACGGCCAGGTGTTTATTCGTTTCGATGAGCCAGGAGTAAAGCTGCGACACTGAAATATATGGAGTAAGGATCCAGTGATGCAAGGCCGATATTCTGGAGTCGAGGGAGCGATCGACAGAATCTCCATCGTCCATCGTTCATGCTACGGAGTACAGGGCACTACTCCAGCTACTACTCTCCGCGTGCTCGCTCCAAACCACCCACCCACTTCCCTGTCCACAACATCAGACTTTGCTCATCACGGCAGCACAAGCCAGATTCCAGCAATAAGCAACCAGATGGAACTTCTACTTTTTTCCCCTCGTCTTACGAACACAGGGATCGTCACCATCCTCTCCACGTATTGAGGCTTAGATTGTCTGCCAAGGGTCTTCCAGGACAAGGACACTGGGAGGATGAGGTCATGACGCGGTTCAAGACCAGGGACTCGGCGGCTGAATATCGATGCGGTTTCAGATTATATACACCAGAACAGGGTGTCAATTTCCATTGTTGGAGGACCTCTGTTGACCCTTATCCAACTCGGTCATACTACACAACCTATATCAAGACAGAGAACTTCAGTGCTCAGCACTTTGGATATACCAGCTGACTCGAGCCTGTTCCGTTATGACTCTTGGCTCCTAGTAGTTGGTGTCCTCATCCATTCCCATTCCACGCGAGCCTGGGATAAACGAGTTGATGGACCATGAACTCATACTCCGCAGAGGCCAACTCAACCCAGCCCAGTTCATAGGAATGGAATGCCACCATTTTTGTGCTTTTTATCGCGTGGCTATCAAAGGCCCAACCTCCCCATCTGCTAGTGGCTTATCGGAGCATTTCTTGTTCTCGTGCCCCTTGATTCGTGACCTTCATTGGCGCGGACCTGCGGAAACCCTCAGGTTGAAGGGTTATCACCTGGGATAACTTTAAGGGCTTTTCCAAGTTCGGAGCTCAGCCCGAAGCCATATTTCATCTGCCAGTGGTGCTGCAGGTCTAGCCTGGGTGCCTGATTGTTGTGTTCGTGTACTTTTTTCCGAAGAATGCGCGGCTGTATAAACATCTTGCAGAGTCCCTCTGCTTTGCGCAATGAACAGACCTCGGGCAGCTAGCTTCAATCTCACCCCCACCTTGCAGAGGACGGGTCCTAGCCTCGACAGACGCAATGATACACATGTAGATGACGCTTGTTTGCATTTTGACGTCTATTTCTTCAGAGACAAACAGAAGCATGGAAGCCTTTGTGTTGGACAGTAACGATAACGACAAGATTGATAAAGAGTTGCTAGTAAGACGGACAATAAGTGACGAGGAGGGAGATTTGAACTCGATATTGCCAAATGCGCCGAATTCTCTTTCATCCGAACGTGCTGGTAAAGCCACCCTCAAACTCCGATGCTTACGCGAGAGCTGAAAAGAGAATATCGGGCCAAATGAAAGAAAATGCCCAAGGATTCCAAACACAACTGAAACGCACTCGACTCGGTATAAATAGATATGGCCAAAGAAAAGGTATAAACGAGAAAGGGGTCGAGGTCATGAATTTCGTTGCACATAAACCAATGCCCCGGACTCTTAAGCTGCGTCAACGTAGTTACTAATGCCATAAAGTTAGCAAGCAGTTCATCCCTCTATAAGCATCAGAGGTATCTTACGCTGGGAAGATGCCGACTCGGTCACCGATGCGCCCTGTCCACCAGTCCTCTTTCTTCTCGGTGCGCTTCACAATTGTGATGATCTCCCCCTTCTTGAAGCCCAAGTCACCGTCCTGATCCGCATCGAACGTGTATAGCGCAATAGCCTGGTCCTCGCGTAGTGGGGCGGCCTGCCCAGTGCGCTGCCCAAAAACGGGCTTGGGTGCTGTAGGACGACTAGGTTTACGGTCGGAGTACACGTAGTCATCGTCGTAGGTGTTGCTCCGAGGGCGATTGTAGGTATCAAACGTGTCGTTGCGGCTGCTGAAGCGACCGGTGGACGAGCGGCTTAGGCCTCCAGTGGGCCGGTCATATACATCATCAGCCCATGTGGTCGCACGGCGCGGTCGATCACGGTATTCGTATTCATCTGAAGGCCCATTGTACCCGGTGCGATCACGCCTGACCCCCTCACCATATGCGTCCCCTCGGCGGCCCTCCCAGACCACGTCGTCATGACGATCGTCATAAACGGGGATATCGTTGTACATGGAGTCACCATTTGCGCGCACGCCGTAAAAAGCGCGGGAGTTCAACACGCGCATGAGTGGCTCCGCGGCGGGCGGAGGTGGGATTGTACCACTGAGAAGCTGGCGAGCAGACACTCGGCTGTTGTAGAGCTTCTCATTGGCGTCCCTACGTTCGACGAGCATGCTTCCTTCTAAACTGACACCAGCAAAGAGACCCTTGGTCTTGGAGTATGAAAAGACAGCCGCCACACCCTTCGTGCTAGCAGCACCAGCAGCTTCTGCGTTTCGACCAACCGGTCCAGCGGCGATTGAGACGTTACCTCCCAGCGTTAGCGTTCCAGCTTGAGAGAATGTGCGAACAGCGGCGGCATCGTTCAGAATGAAGACGAAATCGGTCAATTCAAACCCAATTTGACCTCCGAATCCCGCGCCTGCGGTTGCGATCGCGGATGGCGCGGACCATGATCCATCGCCCAGTCGAGCGACGACGACCCCGGAACCAAATCGCCCAGAACCTAAGAAGCCTGCCTTTAGGACGGTCAAGATAGCGAGACCCTTGAGACCAGACAGTCAGCCATAATTCCGCTATGGGTTCCACGAGTATCCTTGTTGTACCTTAGCGCCAGCTAATACCTCGGGCGGGATAACTTTGTCCGGACCAAATGCTTGTCGTGGATCAACAAACGATGCGAGAATCTTGCCAGCCTTCTTGCATTCGCCTATCGAGGGAGTGAGATCAGCACGTTGTCGCCTGCGGGTAACTGCGGGGAAGCCTGGCCGGAGACAGCAAAGACTTACTCGACATAGACGAAGGCAGAGGGTTGTGGATTCCGAGAGGCATCTTGGGCACGCTCGTCGGATGCTTGAGGGAGGGCTTTTCGAGAGAGGTGAAGATGGCTGGGGAGAGAAGTTGAACGTTGTCGTAATATATTCGACGAGACCTTCGTCAAATGGGAGGGTCCGGAAGTGGAGCTAGCGATGGGCTGGGCTGAGCCGCTATCTTCCCCGATCACTTAGTCCTGCGCTTCAGAATCCAAGGTGATATACTCGGTAGTCTTCAGTTAACTAGTATATAGGGACAGCGAATAGCGCGCTGTATAAGAGATGGTCAACATGGCTCTTGTACGAGGCGGAGTCGCCCAGGTTGTGGCTGAGTCGTTCGGTATGTAGTACTGACTACCTCGCTTTACATCATCCTTGGACAGCGCCATGTGGTAGAGATGATTTCTCTAGGACTTGCTCCATGCTCAAGAAACTAGATTAGTGATATATATCCCGATCTCTACTAGGGGACCGTGTTGGTCTGGCCATACTGTTGGGAAAAGGTTGTTGATATTGGAAGCCTGAGGCTGAAATAATCGCATAGCCACGGAACCGCGGCCGATCGCCCAAGCTTCCGCCGGGGCAGTCCCTCAACTGTGACATACCAGCCTTTCGGCCTCCTGGCGGTGTGAACTGTTCTCCAAATCCACCAGCAATGATTTGAGAGGGGCCTCGGGCCTTTTTCCCTTCAAAGTGCCTATATTGTTGCTGAGATGGCTACAGGTTAGAGTGCCCCTCGATAGGCCGCCCCCAAAAGAGCGGAAAAAACTGACGTCTTCTAGTCCGGATTTGTGTTTGCGGGGATGAGGGAACCGGAAAATCCAGCCTCATCACCTCCCTCGTGAAGGGTGTCTTCGTGACAAACAAGATCCAACCCATTCTACCCCAGATCACCATTCCCCCTACGATAGGGACCCCGGAGAATGTCACGACAACGACGGTGGTTGATACCTCTGCCGTGCCGCAGGAAAGGAGCAACTTGGCTAGGGAGATTCGGAAGTCAAATGTGATACTGCTTGTCTACTCAGACCACTACAGCTATGAGAGGGTGGCTCTCTTCTGGCTACCGTACTTCCGCTCTCTCGGCGTGAATGTACCGGTCGTGCTCTGTGCCAACAAGTCCGATCTCGCTGCTGATCACACCGAGACCCAAGTCATCGAGGACGAGATGTTGCCGTTGATGTCGGAGTTCAAGGAGATTGATTCGTGCATTCGGACTAGCGCCCGCGAGCATCGTAATGTCAACGAGGCCTTTTTTCTCTGCCAGAAAGCGGTTACACACCCCATTGCGCCTCTGTTCGATGCAAAGGAGTCAGCCCTGAAACCGGCGGCTGTCGCGGCGCTACAGCGCATCTTCTACCTCAGCGATAAAGACCGCGACGGCTATTTATCAGATAAGGAGATAAAAGATTTTCAGATGAGGTGTTTTGAGAAACCGCTGAGCGGCGAGGACTTGGTACACATCAAAGAGACGATACAGAAAACGCACCCCGACTCTGTGACGCCGTCCGGGATAGATTGCCGAGGATTCATCCACTTAAACAAGATGTATGCCGAGAAAGGACGTCACGAAACGGTCTGGATCATACTCCGCGCATTTCAATACACCGATAGCCTTTCCTTGCAGGAGAGCTATCTTCACCCAAGGTTCGAAGTGCCCCCTTTTGCATCTGCGGAACTCTCGCCTGAAGGCTATCGGTTTTTTGTCAATCTCTTCCTTCTCTCAGACAAAGACAACGATGGCGGGCTGAACGATGCCGAATTAGCATCATTGTTTGCACCGACCCCGGGGTTGCCTTCCTCTTGGGCTGACGGCTCGTTCCCTTCCTGCACTGTCCGAAATGAAGCCGGTCACGTCACTCTTCAGGGATGGCTGGCACAGTGGAGTATGACAACCTTCACCTCTCCCAAGACAACGTTAGAATATCTAGCGTACCTGGGATTCGAGTCTTCAGATCGAAGCAACCCCTCCACAACCGCGGCTCTCAAGGTGACACGTCCTCGAAAGCGAAGGAAGCGCCCTGGGCGCGTGGGCCGCAATGTGGTCCTCGGTCACATAGTTGGAGCTCCAGGGTCAGGCAAATCTGCCCTGCTTGATGCTTTCCTGTCACGCGGGTTTAGTACCACCTACCATCCGACAATCCAACCGCGCACCGCGGTCAACACTGTTGAGCTTCCGGGTGGTAAACAATGCTACTTGATCATGGACGAGCTTGGAGAGCTAGAGCCTGCTATTCTCGAGAATCAAGCCAAGCTACTTGATCAGTGCGATGTGATTGTATACACCTATGATTCGTCAGACCCCGATTCGTTTGCATATATTCCCTCGCTCAGGGCGAAATACCCACATCTGGAGGAGCTTCCGAGTGTCTACATCGCACTCAAGGCCGATCTAGACCGCACAACCCAGCGCGCGGAACATCAACCCCACGAGTACACGGCTCTCTTGAACATGTCTGGGCCACCACTCCACGTGAGCGTCACCTGGAATTCAATCCAGGAAGTGTTTGTTCATATTGCGGAAGCCGCCATGGAGCCGAGCACGGCATTTCCGCGAAGCGAAGAAGACGTCGAGGGCAAGTGGATGTCGTGGGGAATAGCCCTAGGAGCGGTGGTTTGTGCCGGAGCAGCAGCAGTAATGATCTGGCGACGAGTAAGTGGTAGTGGAGTCTAACACCGGGCGAGGGCTTGAATGTTAGTTTAATGACGGAGTTCGATACCCGGAGAATTATTCCTTACGTTGCTTTGGATAGATTTGTTTCCAATACGCGGGCATTGTATATGAATCATACGCAGTGCTGAGCTGCAAGCAATCTGTTTATATAGAATGGCCATCAAGCTCACGTCAACCTCAAACAGCCATTAAATTGAGATAGAAGAAGATAGAAAATATAAACAAAGGTGTATAAGCCTCGCCTGCTGACGGCCTGTCATGTCGGTGTACTCCATAGGCGCCTCGGTAGCTCGCCCCACGCCCAAGTTCCACCAACCAGCCACACCAAAGTTCCCCGGAATTCCACCGGTCGTTGGCTTGGATCTCGATAGCACGCTCCTCTCCGGTAACCGGTTCCTGTCGTCCCGATCTCCTCTCGCTCCTCGCCTCCTCTCCCGCAGCTGTTCTGTCTTCTTCTGTTGCCCATCGGTATCGCACCTAGCATCAGCGCTTTCAATCCTTTTCTAGGCTCACTCTGAGCCTCTCGCGTGCCGTTTCGCGAACAGTCGGCGAACTCGTCAGGCCCGGCCGCCGCCCGTCCTCCGGTCGCCAGCGGACGCTGTCGCATTTGCTCAATCCGTCGAGAACGAGCTCTCCTCGCTCAAAGATAGTGGGATCTCGAAAAGGCTTGTTCCTTGGCAAATACGGCCAGTTTAGATAGTTCGGTCTATTTACTCTACGCGAACTGGGACGCCTATCACGCCACAATGTTGTAAGTACCTAGTGACCAGGAATGCTTATCTTGCAGACCCTTGATCCGTGTCGCGAACCGTCAGCGCTACGGTACAGCATGTGCTCGTTGGACTGGCCGCTTTTATCGCGAATTCCCTGCAACTCTCAGCTAGCTGTCTGCTGACGCAGTGCTTATAGCGTCCTCCCCCCACCTCCCCCTCGCTATACGGTCCCAGTTGCATATGCAGCTGGGGCATCGAATGGCATGGCAGTCCCTATCGTGGAGACAAACAACATAATCAGCCACCCGGAGAAAGGCTGTCCGCTTCAAGTCGGAGAAGGTACGTTTGGACTTGCGATAGACCGAAGGTTTAGGTCTGCGGTGACCGTTTGCAATCATGAATTCGCCCGAGTCTCCGATGCTGTTGCTTACTTATCCTTGGTACCTGTATAGGAACATATCAGCTCCAAGACGACCTGCATCTAGCTACCCCTCCCCCGCATCCCTCTGAAGCGCCGATCATAAACCCGAACCCACTCGCAACCGTCCCTATCCCTCCCACCTCCGGCGTCAAGCTGTCGTTAGTTAGCCTTGGACCTCGAAACAAGACTACTTTTCCATCGAAGGTGAAAGTTACCGCAAGACCTTTTGGAGATGGAAATAGTGCTTTGGCGGCCCCTCCTGTCAAGGACCCCTCGAAAAAGCGGAAACCGAAAAACAACATCATCAAGAGCAGCTCATCATTTGTATCACGGGTGATTATCCACGAGGCTACGACGAAGCGTTTGAACGACCGCGATCCGGAAGGGCTTTTTGCATTTGCGAACATCAATCGCGCGTTTCAATGGCTAGATCTCAGTTCGAAGCATAAAGACGAGCCACTGTCCAAGATCCTCTTTACCAAGGCCCACATGATAAGCCACGATGTCAATGAAGCAACCAAAAGCGCGGCACATATTGATGTCATCATGGGATCGTCGGCCGGAGACATTTTCTGGTATGAGCCCATATCGCAAAAGTATGCGCGAATCAACAAAAATGGGATCATCAACAACTCCCCGGTCACACATACCAAATGGATCCCGGGCTCAGAAGGTCTGTTCATAGCAGCGCATGAGAATGGACAGCTGGTGGTGTACGATAAGGAAAAAGACGACGCTCTTTTTACACCGGAACTCCCCGAACAGTCAACAGAATCTGTCAAACCATCGAGTTGGTCCCTGCAAGTGTTGAAGTCGGTCAACTCCAAAAATCAAAAAACAAATCCAGTTGCAGTCTGGAGGTTGGCTAACCAGAAGATTACACAATTTGCCTTTTCCCCGGACCACAAGCATCTTGCTGTAGTGCTGGAAGATGGAACGTTGCGTCTGATGGATTATCTCCACGAAGAGTACGTCACCCAGCATCTATGCTAATGCGTTCTACGAGGCTAACTGGACGCTTAGAGTCTTGGATGTCTTCCGAAGCTACTACGGCGGGTTTACTTGCGTTTGCTGGTCACCGGATGGAAAGTATATTGTTACTGGTGGGCAAGATGACTTGGTAACTATTTGGTCCTTACCGGAGCGCAAGATCGTTGCACGGTGTCAAGGCCATGATTCGTGGGTCTCTGCCGTCGCATTCGACCCATGGCGATGTGATGAGCGGACATACAGGATTGGCAGTGTGGGTGATGATTGCAACCTATTGCTCTGGGACTTCAGCGTGGGTATGCTGCACCGACCGAAAGTGGTATGTCTTCAAAGTCTGCAATATTTAGAGGGCAACTCAGTCATCTAACCTCACTGGATGCTGTAGCATCACCAAGCTAGCGCACGCCATCGAACAAGCTTGATTGCGTCGAGCTCACAACAACTTAGCCGTCATAGAGCCGACAGTTCAGGAAACCGAATGAGGTCGGATTCTCAACGGACTGCTGCTGACAGCGAAACCGCACCCGATCAACCTGTCCAACACCCGGTTGAATCTAGGGCACGCACGGCTCTGTTGCCACCAATCTTAGTCTGTCTCCGCCTTTGATGGTTGTTGCGCAAATCAACTGACGTTTTTATAGTCCAAAGCTGTGGGTGAAGACCCTATCTGTTGGCTAGGTTTCCAGGAGGATACAATGATGACATCCTCGCTAGAAGGTACGTTAGTTTATTGACTTGACGCTACGGTTGCTAATAAGGGACATGAAGGCCACATTCGCACCTGGGACCGTCCTCGAGAAAACATTGGTGACAACTATGGCGATCAGAAGTCGTCCGAGGCAGGCAAACCCACCTCGTCCACGGGATCATTGTGATAGCTGATACCCAGCCTATCAGTGACATACTGTAATTATGTACATACTTGTTTCAATCATACCCATTTCGAGCCTCTAGAGCTGCGTGGAAACATAGTATCATAGGTCATGCTGATTCTGTTCCCTTTGTTGACGAGTTCCAGTCCGAAAGCCGAAATATGGCATAACTAGCAATCTACATACTCGTAAAGCCGCCCAGCAAGAAGAACAATAAGATAATGAGCAAACTAATCACGATTCTCTCCATTGACTTGCACAATGTCAGTGGAGTTGATGTATATGCGACTCGGAATAATATTGTGCCGGCCCCCAGGACGCGGCGTGGCATCAATTATCGGACCGCCGCAATGTGTACGGAGTCTACGGACAGCTTTCAATCGGACTCAGCTATCTTAGACCCGTCGGCCAACCTACCACCAATTCCCACTCCACAATGGGGTCCTCTCGACTGACGATGAGGTCGGCCCTCGGGCTTCTCTTCCTCCTTTTCGTGCAAATCTCCTCCGCGCTCAAGTTCGATATCGTTGCTGGGAAGGGCGAGCGATGTATCCGCAACTTTGTCCTCAAAGACCAGCTTGTCGTCGTGACGGCCATTGTGAGCGGCGAGAAGGGCGATGGGCAAATGGTCAACATGCATGTACGTGAGATGTCAACAATGGCGATGAACAATTGGATCCGGCGGACCGGATGCGGACCTCGTCCTCGATAGATTTATGGACCGCACCACGGTTTCTAGAGCAGCGATGCTGACGCGGTCATTTCTCAACAGATCAAGGATTCAATGGGTAACGACCACGGTAGGCCGAAGGACATTGTTGGCGAGACTCGCCAGGCATTCACGTCTGCTGGCGACACCACCTTCGACGTTTGCTTCGAGAACGTGCTTGTTTCCCGCCGTACGTTCACCATCCGGCTCTCGAACCTCCAGGTCCTCCCCCGTGCTAATTTTCGTCAATCTAGGTGGCGTCTCTAACCCCCACCGATCAATCGAGCTGGACGTCGACATCGGTGCCGATGCTCGTGACTGGTCAAGCATCCAGGCCCAGGAGAAGCTCAAGCCTATCGAGACAGACCTCCGCCGCATCGAAGAGATCGTTGCTGAAGTTGTTAGTGAGATGGAATACCTCCGCGCCCGTGAGCAGAAGCTTCGGGACACCAACGAGAGCACGAATGAACGTGTTAAGTGGTTCGCTTTCGGCACCATGGGCATGCTGGTTGGGCTTGGTGTCTGGCAGGTTATCTACCTGCGGGCTTACTTCCGGTATGTTCTTCGGTTGGGATCTTACCACTTACTCGTTACTGATTGCTTCTTTGCTTTAGTTCCAAACATCTCATTTAGTCTTTCTTCAGCGTCCTGCATCATGGTAGGAAACAGACGCGATGTGTGGTTTCGTTATTTTATGACAAAGATGGAGTCTCAATGCATTTGTTGCGTGATTTCCACCTCACGCAGCCTCGGATATTTCACTGTTCAGATACTCATGATCATTATTATGACCCGATATATATGGAGATCGTAGGTTTATACTAGTCCACATGCATCTATAGGTCCCAAGTATCGTAGGTAGTCACAACCGCCTCATATTTCTATACAATCAAACCATTTGACCTTCACAACTTTGACCTGTCACCAGAGCGTACCTTATATACTATATGAGCTTGAGCACCTGCAATGTTTTGAAATCCGTCTCTGCGGTTGGCCCTCGAATGCTGCAAACACGGCAAACTGAATGGAGCGGGAGCCTCGGATGATGTCAGTCCGCATAATTGTCTAGCTCATACAGCTCGACCCGATCGACCCCATACTCGTCACTTTAGATTTTTAGAGACTACCGATACAAACCCAAGAAATCAGAATGTCTACAGTTCGCTTTGTTCAGCGCCTTCCGCGGCCTTCAACGTCGCTTCTCTCATTCACGAGGCTCGCGACTCGTTCATTTGGAAGCTCGGCAGTTCGCCCGCAAGAGAGCAAGAAGGATGGAGTTCACTCGACAACACCGCAGCACCGTGTACACCAGACGGAGAAGTCTCCCAACCCAGCTCTGTCGCACGATAGCTCAACGATGACGAAGGATTTCCCGAAGGTCGGGAAGGACAATGCACCGCCGGAGCTCCTGAACTCGGTGGACCCAAACTACAAGCCTGAGGGCACATACCCCGGAAAGGTCGAGCACTATACGGGAGGCAGACAGCAGCCTGGCGCGCAGAAGCCAGAGCTTGAGGTCGGCGAGATGGAGGGCATTACGTTCAAGGTTGAGCCGCTGAAGCGAACTGGGGAGGATGTGTCGACTATGAGGGCTCGGTTGCTGTGTGAGTTATTCTCGGCTCCTTTTCTTGCCCTTCCTGCCTGGAACATCATTGAGGTGGACGCTAACTCCTTAACATAGACCAAAGCCGGAAGCGAGGAATTCTCGAGTCCGACCTGCTCCTGTCTACTTTTGCCGATGTCTATCTGGGCGAAATGAATCAGGAGCAGCTGCAGGAATACGACCGGTTCCTGGACGAGAATGACTGGGACATTTACTACTGGGCGACCCAGGACCCCCCCACTGAGGGAGAAGCCAAGTCAGAAGTCTCCAAGGACACCCCAACCGAAACGTGGCAACGCACAGGTGCAAAGAGCGGCGAGTGGGTGCAGACTGTTGGTGCCTTCAAGGCTGCGTACCGGCCAGTGCCATCGCGATGGGCCGACTCTGATGTCTTGAGACTGTTGAGACAGCATGTCCGGGATAACAGTGCGAACGGTTTCCACGCAGCTAAAAACAGGAAAACCGGTGCAGGCGGCTTGAACAGGATGCCCAACATCCAAATCTTCAACAACTGAGCCACTGATCCTGGTGATTAGCGGCTGAGCGTGATACTTTGTACGATATAGTTTCCTATTTTGCGTCAACGCGGCATCGTAAAGTGCCGGCGTTTGAAAAGCGTTGTATAAAAGAGCTTTTAGAATTGAATATGATGCTACACAAGCAATATAAGCTTCATCGCGATATCTGGTTGATATGCATAAACATCGTACAGATGCTTCTATATATAGTCACGTGACTCGCTTATTTTAGGGTTTGCGGCCCACACAGCCAGCGGCTGCGGTAAGCTCGTTACGTTAGGGCTCTCCTCCAACTTCGAACGCCGTGATTTTATCTCCAGCGCAGAGTCTACGACAATTGCTCCGCCCGCGTTCATTCTCACCTCTCCTCTCGCGGTCCCTTTCCATCGTCCTCCCAGACTCCGATCATGGCTGAGCAGCTGGTCCTTCGCGGCACCCTTGAGGGTCACAATGGCTGGGTTACTTCCCTGGCTACCTCTCTGGAGAAGTAAGGGCACCGAATCGCACATGGATGGAATATGTATATGGATCTACATGCGGCACCGTGTGTGTATCCGTATATCTATCGCAGACATGTTTTGTCTTGGTTGAAAATGGACATTGGTTCTGACTTGAGATCTTTTTTTTTCGATAGCCCCAACATGCTGCTTTCTGGCAGTCGCGACAAGACCCTGATCATCTGGAACCTTACCCGCGACGAGCAGGCCTACGGTTACCCCAAGCGCAGCCTTGAGGGCCACTCCCACATCGTCTCCGACTGTGTATGCCTCCGATATCCCCAATTTCCGAAACCCGAGTCCCGAGGAATGTGCGAGAGCGGGGTCTAGATGGAACGGAAGAAGTGTTGATTAGGATCAGTTTGGCTGATGCGAGCGCTTGGATTTATAGGTGATCTCCTCCGACGGTGCCTACGCTCTGTCCGCCTCTTGGGACAAGTCCCTCCGCCTCTGGGAGCTCTCCTCCGGCCAGACCACCCGCACTTTCGTCGGCCACACCAACGATGTCCTCTCCGTTTCCTTCTCCGCCGACAACCGCCAGATCGTCTCCGGTTCTCGTGACCGCACCATCAAGCTCTGGAACACCCTCGGCGACTGCAAGTACACCATCACCGACAAGGGCCACACCGAGTGGGTTTCCTGCGTGCGCTTCAGCCCCAACCCCCAGAACCCCGTCATCGTCTCCGCTGGTTGGGACAAGCTCGTCAAGGTACGTTTTCGACGCTTTTTCGTTGCCTTGCTGCTTTCGATCGGTCCAATGATGTTTGCATTTTCTACGTATTTGCTACTTCAGAGCCTTATGGCCATGAGACAAAAATTCACCCTATGCCTGATGGACACGCCAATCTCTATTTCGTTATCCTTTTCTACTATAAATCTGCTACGAACGTGGAAAGGGCTCGACTAACGAAATCAATAGGTTTGGGAGCTCGCTTCCTGCCGCCTCCAGACCGACCACATTGGTCACTCCGGCTACATCAACACCGTCACCATCTCCCCCGATGGATCCCTCTGCGCCTCCGGTGGCAAGGACGGTGTCACCATGCTCTGGGACCTCAACGAGTCCAAGCACCTCTACTCCCTCCACGCCGGTGACGAGATCCACGCCCTCGTCTTCTCCCCCAACCGCTACTGGCTGTGCGCTGCCACCGCTAGCAGCATCACCATCTTCGACCTCGAGAAGAAGAGCAAGGTCGACGAGCTCAAGCCCGAGTACATCGAGAAGGGCAAGAAGAGCCGCGAGCCCGAGTGTGTCTCTCTCGCCTGGTCCGCTGATGGCCAGACTCTCTTCGCTGGTTACACTGACAACAAGATCCGCGCTTGGGGTGTCATGTCGAGGGCGTAGATTGGTGTGAGTGAGCATGGAGAGGGGAAATGAAACAAAATAATAGCGAATTGAGTGGGTTGAGTTTGGCAGCCAAACGAAACGAAACAAGATTAAAGCCTAAAGCTTTTGTTTGATATCAAATCTTTTTTATCATCTTCACCCACTATCTCCCTTCTTTCCCCTCTGGGGAGGGACCCTTCCATATCCTCAAAAATCGGGCAGGCATTTGGATGGGATTGTATGAGCCATGAGCAATGAAGTACCTCACTCTACGCGGGTTTCTTGTAAAAGGACCCGTCCGGGGGTTCTCAAACTTGTTTTCTCCACTTTATATGCGTAGACGGTAAATCTTGTACGTAGTCCGGGGTTCTACGAAGGGCAGCATGGGGTGTTCTAGAATTACTCAAAGAATACCCAGATTTTGGGGCTTCGACTTAGATGCTGCGGCTATTGCATCCCGATGTATCTCGTAGGGAACCCCATATCAAGCAAAAGCATTTCTGGACAATGACACACTAAAGGAGTTCGGTTATAAGAAATGGTTTGATCATTGTTGATCCTACGTCCCGATTCATTACAGAAAGTGTTCTCCAAAACAGAAGGAGGGTGGGACGTCCATAAATATATTTTCTACAAGCCTACAACACCCGCGTAGAGAACCCAGATCAGCCCGCCTCATCCCATACCTATTTTTTCTTGGACACTCCCCGGATATTCTTTTCCATATGCTCAATCATGGCCTCCCGGGCCCTGGGCTCGTCTAGCTCATTAGCAACAGCTAGTGCCGTTCTGAAGTGTTTTTCAGCCTCTTCCAAATTGCCCTGGACTTGTGCAAGATGGCCCAGCATATACTTTGCAGTCATACAGGCTTCTTTGCAATGTTCATTCCTCTTGTTTGCAGGGACTTTACTCTGCACTTCATCACCCCTCATTGCCCACTCTTCTGCATGCTTGATCAAGTGGTCGCGCGCAGCCTCGGAGCCCTCGTTCTTCGTCGGCCCCATAGACTGCACAGCAGCTGCGGCTTTAACAGACTGCATCGTGAGTATGCTCGCAATATCGCCTATCATTCGCGCCTGGCTGCAGGTCGGTACAGGGCCTTCCTCCGCGCGCAGCAGATCCAAAGCACGCATGTAGCACGCGACGGCAAGCCCTGATTCGTCACGGTTCCGGTATATCTGGGCTAAGCTGGAAAGGGCCATTGCGGCCTCTCGTTGGGTTATATAGGGCGTTTTATGTTCTTCCGCGTCGGGATCGGCCTTGCAGACGGGTAGCCCGGCGTTCTCCCGGTATTGAAGCTCTTTCATACTCAGATCGACGGCGGCTTCGGCGGCTTCCTCCGACTTCTTTGAATCCTGCATGTGGTCGCTGTCGTAGAGGTCTGCGAGCTTCAGTGAGATCCCAACAGCTTTCTTGATGCACTTGTCTTGTTGTTGCTTGAGATTCTCTTCACCCGCTTGAATCTGCTCAAACGTATCGAGGATCTGGGGGTTGTTGATTTCAAGTTTCGTGTCTAGTTTGGCGTGGCTCTTCGATTCCTTCTCGACCATCTTCATCTGCTCATCTAGTAACTTCTGCCTCTCCGCTGCGTTCTCCCGCCCCTTTTGAACCCACTCCACCATCTCCTTCTTAGTCATCTCGAACACATTGATTGCCGGTTTCACGTTGCCGGAGCGCTCCAGCACATCCGCTACCTGTAATTTGATCCCGATCACCTCATCGGAGAACGGATCCATGCCAACTGCAGCCGCGGCTTTCAAGGCCTCTTTATAATATTTGACCGCAAGTTGCGGCTGGAGCATCACATCAGTGTAGTATACCGCCTTGCGCAGAGGCTTCACGACCTCCAGAGGGAATTTGTGGTACTGAGGTGCGTTGTGGAACAGTTCGACGTAGACAATGTATGCGAAGGCTAGAGTGGATCCAATAACTCCGAGGATCGCGAAAGGCAGCAAAAATGGATACTTGCGCCATATCCCCTTTGATGCTTGTTTGAGGCCGAGCCGAGTGCGGTCGAGGTAGGAGAGGGATCGCGTTTGATGCGAGAAGCTAGGGACATGGCGGAGGATGGGAGATGGTGAAGATCGAGGTTCGCTGTACAGGTTCGAAGCTTTTGTTTTCGGCAAGTGTTGCAATGGTCGTGGGTGGGAGAATGCAATGGTTCGAGAGAGCGTGGCGGGTGTTCGGGGGTTGCGAATGAAGGCGCAGCTTGTGCGGCGAGCTGCGCTGAGCATCATTGAGGAAATAAACTGTTATTAATAAATGTATATCGGGTCATGTGGGAGTTTGGCCAAAAGATTGATAGTGGCGATTTGGGTTGTGCTCAATGGATGAATGGAGAACGATTGGTGTTGAGGAAGGAATTTATGTGAGCGGAGCCAATTGCTCATGACGTCTAAGGCACCAGAAGCTCTACCTTACATGAACATCTTATCTATTTCTCCACCTTCTTCTGCTTACAACTCTTAAATTGTCTATATTTTTTAGTGCACTACCATCTTAAGTCAGCCTTCAAGCAGATCAAGTCTTTTTTTATCTGGCCTGGAATCATGTGCGGTCGGTACGCCCTAGGTGTAGTATGTTCCCCCAGGCTCCGCAAGATCATCAAATAACGAAGGTAGCGAATGAATTTCATCCGTCGTCGGCTTCAGGAACAAGGCATGCCAGTCGATGAAGCGCCTGAAGATGATGAAATAAGGGAGACTTACAACTTCGCGCCGGGGAATATCGGTGCCATTTATCGCGCCGACATTCCCAATTACAACCACGGCACAGAGCGTCCAACGGATCAGGAACAAACCGATCTAATTGAGCCTGCTTCATCAGAGGCGGAGGCAAACGTCCCAGCCACCTACAAACTTCAAGGCATGAAATGGGGCCTGGTGCCCTTCTGGACGAAGCGGCAGCCGGACTATGGATCGCTGATGAAAACCATCAACTGCCGGGATGATTCGCTGATTGAAGACCGCGGAATGTGGACGTCCATGAAACGAAAAAAGCGCTGTGCAGTTGTTTGTCAGGGATATTATGAGTGGCTGAAAAGGGGGACCGGAGGCAAGGACAGGATACCGCACTTTACGCGGCGCAAGGATGGGGATTTGATGTATCTCGCCGGACTGTGGGACAGTGTCACCTATGAGGGTGGGTATAAAGTCTGGTTTACTTTTGAGCGCGGCTGACGAAAGGTAGGGACCGAGGAGAGGCTCTATACATTTACTGTTATCACGACCTCGGCACGTCCATCATTGAGCTGGCTTCATGATCGTATGCCGGTAATCCTGGAGCCAAACACCGAGGCCTGGAATGCCTGGCTAGATCCGAAGCGGACGACCTGGTCAAAGGAGCTCCAGGCAGCCCTGAAGCCTTACGAGGGCGAGCTTGATTGTTATCAGGTGCCGAAGGAGGTGGGCAAGGTTGGGAACAACTCGCCGGATTTCATAGTTCCCGTCGACAGCAAAGAGAATAAGAGCAACATCGCGAATTTCTTTGCGAATGCGAAGAAGAAGAGCGAGCCGACAGAGAATGAAAGAAAAGACGCTGTCGCGGTTAAAGAAGAGGATGCTGCGCAATCTGCGTCAGGGGTCAAGAGAGAACATCCGGACACCGCGAATAATGGGGCAGGAGAGGACGCAAAGAAACGTAAGACACTTTCACCTGCCCCTTCTCCAGTCAAGCCGTCGACACCGGGCTCTGCCGTGAAGTCGAAGCAAATGCACAGCGCGACGCACAACCAGAAATCGCTGAAGAAATCACAGCCAAAGAAGGCGAGTGCTGGGACCCCACAGATAACCAACTTCTTCTCCAAATAGGAGTTGAATTTCATGGCAAAATGATATTATGAGATGTCCTTGTTCGTGGGAAGGTAGTTTGCTGTATTTATTTCCAACTGTCCAGCAGCGCGGAATATGGTACATTTCATAATAGTGTACAAGCGCAGCCCGTGAAGGCTGTTTCATTGTGACTCTTTTTCGCGGAGCTTCTGGACCAGCTTTTCCCTTAAGAATGGGCTCAACCCGAGACTGCAAGTTGTTAGCGTTGAGTGAGTCAAGAGATGCGGGCTGCCTACATTCCATCGCGCGTGACGATTCGATAAGTCCCTGTCCAGGTCAGTAGCGAGTTCCATTCGTTCTGAGACAAAATTTATACCGCTTGGTGAATAATTCCCAGTACCGCCCACGAACTTCCCTTCGCCGTCAACTTCTAAGCTCCCGAAAATGTCCTCGGGCCTGCTATATCAGCGCTTTTCCTTGTTCCAGTCACTGGGGGTATTTACCATGCAATCCTTCCGTACTCCGGTGGCCGTCGGTTGTCCGAGATATGTATCCAGCCCCCTCTCCCAGCAGATCCAGCACCACCTTGGCCGCTAGCCCCGCTGGTCATGTCCACATCACCGCGTCGTCGTCGAGTGCGCGAGCCAGGCATGAGCACGCCGCCCGAAGCGATGTTAGCGCCAGACGTGGATACCATTACCTGGGCCTGTGAAATTGCGTCGGGGTCTTCGTGCCCATGCTTCGCGACGACTTCCTGAAGAACTTGAAGAAACTTGGGGTTCTCGCGGAAAGAGTCAGTGGTGGGAGGGAGCTTCAAGGTGATACCAATGGACAGGTCGTCGTTCGGAGGCTCAGTCGGTAGAAGTGATAGGAGGTGCGCTCCATTGCTTGGGAAGACATACTGCAGCTGTATCAGTAAGAGAGCACTTTGTCCGTAGCTAGCTACTCACAATATGAGGATGTCCGTCCAATGTTGATAGAGACCGTATTTGGGTCCATCTCGGAACCTGACGGGTGAAACCTCTGATAGAGCACATCATGAGCCGAATTGAATTGCGAAACTCAGCAACGATTCCAGAATCAATGAATGATTGCGGAGTATGTTGTCTGGAGCTCAACTATTTTTGATGACGTAGAATCAAACAGGACAAACTCCGGCTCATGTGACTCCACTTTCTTTTCGGCTTTGACATTCGGATGGGACTGTTTCGTCCATTGATTCGGGACGACGAGCGGTCTCCTCGATTTGAACAGGCGCTATGTACTTTATGGGATCACTTCTGCTTTAGTTTGCATCCAGCGTGTTTGGCTGGCGTTCTGGCCCGTTATCGAAAGCTTCGGTGTTTAATCCTCCCCGCTCGGCGGTACCTGAGATGAGCTCGCTCTGCCCCAGTTAGTGAGGTCCTTGCTAGTGAGACTACTCATTGTTGTTCTTCCTCGCCCTTTGAATTGTCAGGATTGCTATTCACTTATATACCGCGGTTCGACACTGCATATCCCAGCGCAATGGCGACTCCATCTTCCAAACCGAACCCAGGAGCAACACCGACGCACCTGACCTCCTCACCTCGTCCGTCTGGCGGACCTATGCATCGAACGATATCGCTCAAGTCCCCGTCTACGAGAACACCCTCCGCTTCAGGTCACGGCCATCCGAATCAGCCCCCCTCGACGCAACAGTACGCCACGCCCCTAGCCGTCACCGCGGAGAACGATAACGCCATCTCATTTAGTTCGCCCTCTGCTCTACTACTCGGAGCGTATCCCGGGATCAGTCCGTCCCCGGCCGTCCACGATGCACTGGTTGGTACAGGGATGAATGATAGCGACATCCAGGCTCTAGGAATGCCAGGCTTGAAGCTAGGGACAGCTCGGGACAATGACGAGGAGCGCCGAAGGCATATTATTGAGGTAGTCCAGAAGCTGCGAGAACGGGTAGCAGGTCGGGGCGTGAGTAGGGAAGGCATTGAGCGGCTAAGCCATCTCGAGCGCTTCGAGTCAATCTGGCAAGACGATAATCTGAACATTGCGGGCAACTTTGTCGACCTTGAGATCGATTTCTATCGCGGACAAAACGTGGTCAGGGATGTTAGTTTGGCCTATGTGACGCCGGATGCCGCCGACGGAGGACGTCGCGAGGAGGCCACGGCTGTTCTAAAGCGAGACCTTGTACAGACGCCGGAGGATGGCGCGCGGGGTACATGGAAGGGCTTGGACAACTTTCACAGAAACCTACAATGGCTTGCCCGGCATGACAAGCTTAGTGAAGAGGTGAATTGCTTTGAGGCTATTGAGGGTCTCCACGAAAGTCTGAAACGACTGTGGATTGAAGAGAGCTCTCAGCGCAAGTTCGGAGGCGACTATGAACATCTTTGCAGCGGCGGAATTGGCAGGCCGAGTCTTCACAAAGGTAGTCGAGTTGGTCTCTGGTTAGACTACTGGGTGCCGCGCGCCCGGGTCATGGATGCGAAGCAGCGAAGATCGCCGGATGCAATGATCGTTGATCAGCCTGAACACTCTACCGCTGACGAACCGACCAATGCTGATGGCGACTGGAGGGTTGCGATCGAATGTGAAGAGGGCTATCCGTCCCTTCGTGTGTCGAAAGACTGGCTTGGGCCTGAGGCTTTTACGACGGTCGAGAACGATGCAGAGGCGCCAGCACCAGAGGAACAGCCATCCACTGTCACGGTAGTCAACTGGGCCGAGCCGCCGCCCACTCTAAACGGAAACCAAGGGTCTTCGGAGAACATGGATCTTAACTCGAACATGCTGGGCTCGACTTCCCCCAATCGTCGGTTCGTTGCTAGATTGGAACCGGCTCTCGACATCCCGTTCCTGGTAGCCACCGAAATATACCGACACCTGGGCATTCAAATGCCACAGGACTTTAGAGCCTCGACTTACGATGGACTGCTGGCGCCGGGATGGGCTCTGGGCCCGGAAGACTCTCATATCGACAGGAAGAGAAGCAAGATATCTGTTCAATCATTCGATGAAGGGGATAAACCATGCATCAAACAGCACAGTTACACCTTCCAGACATTTGAACCTACCAGTGGAAAGACAATTAGAGACCTTCCGTTCTCCCACCCCCGGCAGCTTGCAGATATGCTTCCGGTAAGTAGAAGCCCTCCCCTCGCTTCTTCACTCGCTGACTGTGCTTTCTATAGACTCTTCGCCAGTATGCCTTCCTGACAAACATGATTCGCAGTACATTCCCTCTCCAGGTTAAGACGAAACCGGCAGAAGAAAAACCAAAGTCGATTGAACAATCGCAAGAGAACCAGAAGACGAAGAGCACTATAACCATCTTGACCAATGAGAACCCGAACGAGAGGAAACTCAACCTGTTACTCGGTCTGAGTGATGCAGATACAGTGAAACCCGAAGACGAGGCTCAAGAGTCGGCCAGTGACGAGCTCAAAGTAGATGTGACGCTGCGGACGCAACTGGGACAGGCCCCCATGATCATGCTGCTTTTTACTGTGAATCGCGCTAAGCCGTCGGGGCGAACCATCGAGGATCTCGTTACCAAGGTGTCGATCAGTTTCGAAATTGGACTGAACGGTCGTGTTTCGGTGGTTGAAGTGACCGGATTGCTGGATGACGAGAACAGCTCTACCGATGACGCTAGCTCGGACGCGCTGACGCCGAAAGAGCCGACTCGCGCGCTGCAGACCAAGTTGGCCCAAGTGCTTGAGACATCGCAAGACATTGGCATCCTAGTGGAATGGGTCCTTCGATGGGTACGTCAGCGGAAGAGCCGCGGATGAACGTTGTCCGGGGTATTCCGTTTGTCCCCGGATTGGTTCAAAGACCCTTGCAGAACTGCGCCGGAGTGGGGAGACCCAGCTGGCCAGCCTTTCGGTTGACAGCCGGTCTAAATGGTCTCAGTTCCTCGAGGCAGGGCTTGTGATACGCCCATGGCGCACGTGGGGGTAGTTGTCGTACTTGAGCTTGCCATCCTGGACGGCAACTCCTGGCAGCGAGGGTCCAGATGATCAGCGCACCCTCGGTACCTGCATGAAGTCGGACAGGGTCTCGAACATGAGGTACACGGTGAGCCTTAGGACTGTGGCACAAAACCATGCCGAGCTGTCGCAAGGCCATGGATGTCTCTTTGCTGGTTTCTATTCTCAAATACTCCGTGCTCCATACAGCTGGGGACATGTAAATCGATGGGAGCAGCAGCAGTGGCACTATGAAACGGCAAAGCATAGCTTTGATACAGCGATACCTCCATTGATACAACTGAATTTTACTCCGTGGATCTCAATGAAACGGCACATTCCAAGCGTAGAGCAACAATATCCCTCGTCAAGAAATTGAGCATGAGATATTTAACCAGCGAGTAGCAGCATGAAGATCAGGAACAAATATTGATGCTCGCAAGGGGGCCCGGCCCGGCCAATTCCCCGGGCGTTCTCAATTCCTCACAAAAAGCCGCGGCGGACAAAGTCTCCTAAAAACCGCATATTTCATCGACCGGATCAGCTGCGCGAATTACTCTTCTGCGCCTTGATGCATTTGGGCATCTATCGATTCCGTTTTCTACACCGTACTTGCTCTCCTCGAGGTCTAGATACTCAGGAGGCGCCGCGGCATGCATGCTTTCCTTTTCCTGCGTGCGGTATTTTCTCTAACCCGTGACTCAAGAGACTCCATATGCGGTGCTATTTTTACGTGAGACCTTGCCCCTGCCCTGCCACGGCCCTGTGAGAACTGGAGCTCAGGTCCACGGTTTCCCCAGGGATTGCCTAGTAGCGTATTTTACGAGCGTGAAATTTGCATTTAGCGATTTTTATCAGTGATCCTGCTGATAAGGATGACTCTAAGGGAACTTTGGAGTTTGAAGCGCTGCTGCCACCGATAGCTCTAACCAGTAACCGATCACCCGGACCGGGACCGGTCGACGACCGCGACTAAATCAAACCCACTGGCAATTTCTGCTATCTATCTTTCAATCTATCGATGCTAAGAGTTCCAACTCTGTCGAAAATCGCGATCGTATGACCTCCCCTAGATATCTCTCCCTCTGTCACTCAGGCAATTATTCTCCTTATTCTCCTAGAGCAACTCTAACCACCGCCATCGAGTAAATCTAAAAACCTTCACGTCCATCGGTCCGGTTGCAGTCAGCGCGGTTTGTCATGAAGACCGGCAATCAACCAATGAGCGGGCGGTGATAAGGGATCGGGAGATCTGCCTATCAGAGGCGTTAGGCGGGTCCTGATTATCTGGATGCAGTCCAATTTCAACTGGAGTTATCCACGGCGACGCGTCTTGGCTTGCTGGCCACTGGATGACGGCGGTTTGTAAAGTTGGATCTGTGAGTGAGCGATTTGAGTGATTTATGCAGGATCTTCGCTTCTTCGACGAGTTTTCTTCTGGTGAGGCGCGTACGGAGTTGACTCGGTGACTCGGTGTGGCTCAGTTTGTGTGCGGAGAATGGAGAACTATACTGAGCTCAGACTGATATCATTACATCAGTAGGCTGCGAGGCCAAGGCACAACGATTCACCGCAACGAAAACAAGGCTGTATGACGGAGGAATTATTCCAGAATTCAGATGACTTGGAGCGTCAAAGGATGCCGACGACATATCTTCCATGGGCATGATGCTTATCCGGCGGCCTTAGTGTTGCGTAGTGCTCTTGGCGGGCTGGATATCTTACACTCTATGTCTAGTCAGAGTCTCGACATCTGATGGGCGGTCTTCGAGATTCCAGATGCTGTGCTTGGTTACACAAAAAAGCCATGCCGCTCAGCTTCAGCCTTCGATTTCGTCTCGGCTCAAGGTCTGGCTTCAGGCCTCAGTATGGGGTAGAGGATAGAGGGAAAACCCGGGGAAGCGGAAGTGCCTTATGGCCGACGTCAGGCGCGACAGCCACTTGGATTGAGTCTGATTCCTGAAACTCCCGACTTGTCCTTGCTGCCATTTGCTGCCACACTCCAGGCCGGGGAAACCATAGATCGACGTTGCCGCTTACTGCCATCTCCAGAATCTTACTCCGGATGAAGTCGTTCTTGTCCTCATACTCTGTAACAACCTGAACCTTAAGGCTTCCAGCGTACAATGAGCGCGACTCCGGTGTCGGGCCATTGCTCTGGTTTTCCAGAACGCGAGCGGTTTGCCACGCCCCACTTGCGCCCTTCCGGTTCTTGTGTGGTTGGGAGTGTAAATCATTTACTGTAACTTTCATTTCTTATTGGAGCTGGGTTGGAGTGTGACATCTCATAGAAGAGAAGCGAGGAAATGGTTTCTTTTTCCGTGCGCAGGATCCGACATGATATCAAAGTGCCCTATTCTATCGGCAGGCGCGCTCTCTGCCCAGGCTTCCACGCGACTATGGCGGGGTGGAGGGGCAGCGATAAGAGCGCGATAGTCGATATCAGGCGGCGCAGTCAGTTTCCCTCGGGCAAGCTATACTACGGAGTATGCCTACCATAGAGCGCCTCCAATATGCTCCAACAGATAAGCGGCAGGGCAAATATCCCATTGGCAGCCTCTTGATATGTAAAACCTAGGATCTCGGCCGTTCGACTGTAGTCACACTACCCCTGTCCTGCTATAGCCGTGCAAGCATACCTAGTATAGCACATGCTCAAGCTCCAAGCCTCCAACCATTAGCCGCGATATGCAGCACCGACAAGGATCAGAGTTAGATTGATAATGGCATTACGCACGGCTTGGAATCGATTATCTCTGTCCTCTCGCATTGCTCTACAGTTACTGTCGCAAATTATGTTCTGTAGATGGTCAGCAGGTACCGATGTCTGGGGTAGGACTGCCGGGTGAGTTCGATTTCGATCACCGTCGCGTGGGGTGGGATCTGGGGAAACACCGCGCATTATTTCGATATTCGAATGAGAAGGTCGTGATTAATATTCAGTCTTATCAAGTTCTATCTGTTCGGAGCTGGGCCCTTTGATCCGTGCAGTGCTTTACAATAGTAGTCGGCGTGGACTTGGAGTACCTGGCCCTGGAGTAGTTCTTGCAGTCTTAGCGTTTCGTGCCTTACATGACTGCCGGGCGTGTATTTTGCCGAACACTAATTTATCCAGTACCACACTACCAGTCCACCACCAGGCTTCAAGACATCGCCTATAGAGCAGCTCTAAATACGAGGCCAAAGATAGAATACTGGACAGAGGCGCAGTAAGGCGAGAACGTGGCGGTACAAGCCCCTGGTATACTTTTGCTGCTCAACAAAGCTGCGCCTTTTTCCTGAAACAAAGAATGGATCGAATTCGCGGCTGCCAAAATGTACCGAAAATAGTGGGCAGGAACGGGGCTGGCCGTATTTTTCACTGTAAGTTACCGGCAGGAGGCAAAAAAAGAAGGCGCAACTGATTTAAATGACCCCCCACCCACAGAACACTTACCTCTTCACTCTTAATCTCCATCCCCTCCATCTTCTCTCTCTTGTTTCTACTTAATCTCCATTCCATCCTCCCGTTAACGATCTTGTTATCAAAACCAGCAGACTTTCAACTTGTGTCGTGCGCATCTGTCTATCGTTGACCACACATTCATCACAATCACATCGTTCCAACATCACAACTACACAGCTACACATTATGGTGAGTCATTCTTCGGATGGTCCTACAGAAACTACTGGGTTTCTTTTGCTTTTATTATTGCCTCCGGGCATTCTCTCCGTCGATGATTGCTAAGCGACGGATGCTTCTTTTTACTTTGTCATTGCATCCGGCCATTCTCTCCGTCGATGATTGCTAATCGATGGATGCTTCCAGGCTGAATCAACTACTGTCTCCAATACGGAGAATGTGCGTGTTTACCACGATCGACTTGAGGACTTTATGTCTCGATAGTCGGACTCTATACTAATTTTACCTGCAGCTCATGAAGTACATGACCCTCGACCAGCGAGGTTCCGTCATGGCCGAGTACATCTGGATTGATGCCAACGGCGGCACTCGCAGCAAGACCAAGGTACGCTCTTCACTTCTGGATCTCCTTCAGTTCCTTCGACGGATGCGGCCGGCGGTCCTCGAAACCGTTCGCCAAGTCCACCCGCATTAGGCATCGCTGCCTGCGTCTACCCGCTCCACGTGCCATCTTGCTTCCGCTCAGAAGACTAACTGGCTCTCGTTTAGACTCTCTCCAAGGCCCCCTCCGGCGTCGACGAGCTCCCAGAATGGAACTTTGACGGTTCATCAACGTCCCAGGCTCCCGGTGACAACTCAGATGTCTACCTTCGCCCCGTTGCTATGTACCCCGATCCTTTCCGTCGCGGTGACAATATCCTCGTCCTTTGCGAGACCTGGGACTCCGATGGATCTCCCAACAAGTTCAACTACCGCCACGACTGCAACCGTCTGATGGAGACACACGCCAAGGAGGAGTTTTGGTTTGGTCTTGAGCAGGAGTACACCCTCCTCGGCCCCGACGGCTGGCCTTACGGATGGCCCAAGGGAGGTTTCCCCGGTGCCCAGGGTCCTTACTACTGTGGTGTCGGTACCGGCAAGGTCTACTGCCGTGACATCGTCGAGGCTCACTACCGTGCCTGTCTTTACGCTGGTGTCAAGATCTCCGGTATCAACGCTGAGGTCATGCCTTCCCAATGGGAGTACCAGGTCGGCCCTTGCGAGGGTATCGAGATGGGTGACCACCTCTGGCTCTCCCGTTTCCTCCTGCACCGCGTTGCTGAGGAGTTCGGCGTCAAGATCTCTTTCGACCCCAAGCCCATCAAGGGTGACTGGAACGGTGCCGGTCTGCACACCAACGTCTCCACCACCTCAACACGTGCCGAGGGTGGTATGAAGGCCATCGAGGCTTACATGAAGAAGCTCGAGGCCCGCCACGTCGAGCACATCGCCGTCTACGGTGAGGGTAACGAGGAGCGTCTTACCGGTCGTCACGAGACTGGCAACATCGACAAGTTCTCTTACGGTGTCGCCGACCGTGGTGGCTCCATTCGTATCCCCCGCCAGGTCGCCAAGGATGGCAAGGGCTACTTTGAGGATCGCCGTCCCGCTTCCAACGCTGATCCTTACCAGATTACTGGTATCATCGCCGAGACTGTAAGTTCTTTGATTTGATCCTTTGCTTGAACCATGCTAACGGTCCTAGCTCTGCGGTGGTCTGTAAATTTGTCAAAACTTTCGATTTAGCGCTCGTATACCCGCCGGCGTGAGGGTACGAGAACAAAAGAGCAGCTAGGCCGTTTGGGGAGCAGCATAGAATTGTCTTGTCCTTCTTTCTTTTCGGTGGAGTTGGTTTTTGACGCCACGGCTTGCCTTTTGCTTTCTTTACCCCCCTGCTGGTTTTGCATGCAAATTCTTTCATTTGTTAATGGGGTTATGTGTTACGTATAGCATAGATCCGGCATGGCTACGGATAATAGGACGATATCCAAGGGAACAATATCCAGCATTGTTCAACCCACTTTTATCCTCATCGTTTTTTGGTAGGCCTCTCATCCAATACGTACTCGTTTGGCCGAAGGTTCAGCGGAGTGACAAGTAGCTGAACTTGGTATCCTTCCGTCATTGGTCAAGCTGTTGAGACAGCCGTAGATTTGGGGTTGTCACCTTCCACCTCCGTTCTTCCAGTCACCAGAAAGTTGAGTGTCACACAGATCCACTTTGTTGGCTTTGTTTAGGGTTGGGTATACTCTGTTATGATATATAGTTGCAGGACAATCTGCCAATATGAGTTACGATTCTATTCCTTTGGATCACGCCTGTCTCTACGGCTGCGGTTACAAATTGCCCCACAGGCTTGCTATACAATGCTGTCCGTCCTAGTCTTCTGACCATGGTCAAACATGATATGTCCAGGTTGGCTGTTCACTGAGATCGAGTCACTTGAAGCCTCAATGGGCGAGGTAGGTATCCCGTCAACCACTGTAGGCAAGTTAACATCGCTTCACCAAGTAGTTGTCGCTGATCAGACCATATTCTCCAAGCAGGGCGAAACTGAGCTACCTATACCCTTCATTATCAATTCACAATGACCCTGGAAGGTTCCGTTGCTTGTTAATCAGGAGTAGAAGATGGCGAAGCAGCTCGGAGGAGTGTCCGATAGGCGGACGCCAGTGCCGAAGTTTACAAAGCTCAATGGAAACATCTAGGCAAAGTTCTTGCTCGTCTGTTGGATTTAGAAATCTACAGCATGCAGACGAAGATAATTGCTCATATTGTCGACAGTTGCTTCGCCGGTGTACAGCTAGACCCGCCCTTCAAACCCCTGTATCAAGGATGTCTTCGCTATGAAGGTCATCAGGAAAATCTGCAGTAAGTAAGTAAAGTAAAGCAAGCAAAATCTAGCATTACCGGCATCAATCTCGGACGCTCGCTACCCAATATATCCTACAATCTATTTGTAAAACCCCCCTACCTAGAAATCATGCGTCCGACTTTAAAGCTCCGATTTGTCGAATGATTGCTACTTCAATCTGACAGTCGGCGGTTGGTTGCGGTTGAAGATGCAATAACGATAGTATTCAGTGTGTTTGAAATGACTGACTTCTAACATTGAGGCTCCGACAGAACTCGGTAGAGATGCTTTTGCTCATCGTGACTGGCTTAGAAATCATAAAGGCATGCATTACGAATTTGACCCTGGAAGGTTCGATGTCGGGCACATTGTCCGGATGAAGACCGGAGTTAAGGGCTTTGTTGTTCGGGAGCTGCACCTACCACGAATCCGAGCATCGTTCTCTAGATGGGCTCAATAAGTACTATATTACATTCCCATCCATGTTCAGCGCATGTATATATCTCTCCCGAGGTCGTATAGAATCGGGATTCTTCCGAACGAGACCCACAACGTAGGTGGACCATGGACTCCTCCTACTCTAGTCATTGCAACGTCACTCGAGTAAGGAGAACAACAACATACCTGGTCCTCATCTCCAAGGTCCTCGGCTTCGGTATAGATACCCAAACGCACATCTCTACACCATGTCTTACAAAGGCCACTGCATCTGCGGTAGCATCCAGGTCTCGCTGAAGGAGCAGCCGCCAAACTCGCTGAGATGTTATTGGTATGCTCCCTGAGTTTCTGCCGTGGGATACTTGCTGACGATAACAGTCGAAACTGCGCTAGATCTGGTGGTGGTCAGTATCCATATGCCTTCTTCCACCGTTTGCCCTAAGCTTCAGCGCCAGTCGCTGAGTTGACGTTGGGCAGGCTCGTCTATCAACTACGTCGTCGACGAACCCGAGTTTAAACTCGACGGCACCAGTTCCCTTAAGTCGTTCGAAGACTCCCAGACACTGAGCGGGAACACCATTGTGGTGAGTCCTTGCCTTCACCTGCAACATTAGACCTACTAGGTATGGTAAATGCCGGCAATTAGCTGATCAGGGTATAAATGCAGCGTCAATTCTGCGGAAGCTGCGGCAGGTACGTTACGAAGTCATGCCATCCTACTCGATCTGAAGGCCAGTCCTAACTGAATCTAGCCCCGTGGCGACAAAAAGCCCCAAATTTCCCGGGAAAGCCCTCGTCAAGGCGTCTCTGTTCGACGCCATCTCGCCCCCGAAGGCGGAGGTCTTTACGGATCGACGGCAGGAGTGGCAGAGGCCGGTTGAGGGGGCTGAGCAGGCTTGATTTGGATGGAGGTGTGACAAGCATTGCATATCACATTGGAAGGGTGCTTTGAGTAGGTATGGTTTAGACGGGTGGGTTATCAATGGCTTCGTGCCTATTCGGGCTAATAGTTGAATCGACCTATCCATGCCTCTGTCTGGATTATCGAGAGGTGGACATTGCTCTTGAAGTAGGAATAGCGGCGTAGAACTTTCTCTTTAGACACTGCTGCATCAACATGCGGAGTACTGTTAGCGCTTGCAACGTGGCTGAGCCAGAAGCTGCAGCAGGCTATTGTTCTTATTGGCTAATTAGTATACGCGAGGCTGGGACATGAGCGCGCTTACGGACTATGGCCCCTTGCGGATAACAAGGCTACATCTTCCTGACCCAGGGACAGACTCGCGAGATCTCGAGAGCCTTATCGTTCCATTTCCCTCGAGCCTTTCCAGCATGTCAGGTCCGGATCCGGAGACAGACCATGGCCCCCAGCAATCCCAGCAGCGGCAACCACCTTTATATGTCAACATTGCACACTTCAGCATCTGCTCGGACGCAGAATGCCCGTTTGAGACGACCGAGGAGACCCATCTTTTGATCAACAAGCAGCGGGTCGATATCGCGGAGAGGTCAAATGCTGCGGTCGCTTTATCCTACGCCTGGGGTCATTTCGAGCACACCGAGAGACTGCTTGGACACACCCATGAAGGAAAACCGATGCATGTTGTCCTCGGCGCAGAATGGAATACTGGCGACTTTTCTCACACCTTGGTAAGGCTCTCCGCCGAGCAAGGAGGTTGCTGGATCGACCAGCTCTGCATGCCGCAAAAGGACGAGGAGGAGGTCAGAAAAACGCTGTCCAGTATTCCGTCTGTGTACCGCACTCTAGACGTTGTCGTGCTCTTTCCCGGAGCACCCTGCAAGTGTCTGCGTGAGCAGCTCGATGAGATGAACCGCGCCAAAGAAGATGGGACGTACGAAGAGTACATGCAGGCCCGACCGCCACGCATAATCGATACGCTCCATGACAGTTGCATGAATATCATCCCTGTATCTTCTTGGTTTACGAGGGTTTGGACGCGCCAGGAGATGATCTATGCCCGAAGGATAAAAGTGGTATGGACCAAGGTGGGGGTTTCGCCATGCGCCGAGGAGTTGGACCTGATGGATGGATCAGAGCTGGCAGAAGAGCTGGACAGATTCTCTCCGTTCCTACGTCTGCAGCAGCGTGAGCATGCAAGGAGCTCATACGACACTAACTACGCGCCGATCTTCGACAAGGGCTTATGGTTCTGTCTTCGACATGCTCTGAGAGTCGGGACGGTGCTCAGCAGACAACACTTTCTAATGGCCATTTACATATCAGCTGGCCGATTAAAGAGTGCCATATACAAGGCTTTGACTCGGAGGGACAGTTCCAGTGACCCCTACGAAGGTTCAAAGCAACGGGCATTACAGAAAAGCAACAGACATGGGTGTGCTGCTGCGCGAACTAGCCGGGGGATCTTCCTCCAGTCAGCCGTGTGGGCGTTTATGTTCTGGACCAGGCGAGACGAGGGCTGGACCGACTTGACTGTCGAGCATGAGATCTACCTGTTCTTTGCCGGCGAGCAGCTGACAGTTCCGCCTCCTCGGTATCCCGACTTGAAGAGGAATCCCCTCCGCCAGTTTCTCTATGACCTGGAAGCTAGCTCGTCGTCAGCCCGGTCATGCACCCAGCCAAAGGACTACGTCAATTCAGTCTGGGCTGATTGTCCGGACTATGTCTTAAGGACGGCCAGTATGAAAGCCAAGCTACCGACCCTTCTTGACGACGCATTGAGCCAGCTGCGTTTAAATCATGGCTGTGCGCCAGTGACGAGCGCCCCGTCAGGCGTGTTCGGTGCCCAGGTTTCAACGGGACTCTGGGTGCCATCGAAATATCTTCTGGAAGACGAGGTACACACTGACGGTGACGTGTATAAACCGATCCAAAGCACGGTGTCTCTACCCATAACCAACACCGGGTCCATACCTCTGCGGCTGACAGGTCAAGGCGGCATCTCGCTATCAGACATGGCTGTTGACTACGAAACCGAGTACGGCAAGCTGTCAACAAAGGCCGCCTGGGAGATGATCCACAGAATAGCACGCGCCTGGTCAGTCATCCAGGTCCCAAACCGCCTTTCCTACCTGACCGGGCCCACCGGCGTCCGTTCAGCAAGGGAGGAACAAGCCGTCAAAGAGAACCGCAGTGTGAGTCTCAGCGCGATCCTCCACAATGTAAAGACCCTAGCCGGGTTTCTGTACCGGACCGTATTCAAAGTCCTGATTGCCGGCGGCTCGCCCCTATCCAGCAAAGCCTTCGCCGAGGAAGCCAATCACCCCGGCAGCGAGAACGAAAATCTGGACAGAGAGGCAGAGTTCGTAAAGAAGATTGAAACCTCCGTTGGCGACGAGGAACCCCCGACGGACTACGCCTGGATCAAGAAGGACCTCGACCACGGCCATCTGCTGTATATCGCTGTTTCACGCGCACTGGGGCTCTGGGATTGGCAGGTATGCCGGGTGAAGGGCCTGCGGTTGATGGTTTCGCTCGCTTCGGATCCACCGTGCATTGGCTTTGCGCATCCGGACTTCTTCCGCATATGGAAGGGCCGGAAGGAGACTGTTACCCGCACGGTTAGAGTTCTGTCTGGGTTGATGTATGAGGTCGTGCAGGTGCCTGGGACTGGAATGGGAGGGGAAGAGGCAGCTGGAGAGCAGGAGCAGTATCGGGTTTTTGGGGTGTGGGTGCCCGTGAATCGCATTCCGAAAGAGAATGTGTATGCTGAGGTGAAAAGGGGGGCGTCGGATGCATTTATCATATAGGTGATTGTCTCAACAGCTTGGAAGAGGCGGTTGAGATGAGCCTACCTTCCTGTAATGCTCACTAGACTTGGAGAACTTGGTATACCGTCTCGCTCACGTAGTTTGCTTCTCAATGTGTGTCAAGCTGTTGATCGCGGTCCTGGTATCGGCGTAAAGAACGCCAGAAATGGCCCAGCGAGATGCTTTTCGGTGTCATTTCAATGCCTAGGTAGGTAGTCAGTTTTGCCGTGGCCCATACCAGCCAAGCCCTAACTCGGCACGGGCTTGCCACGCGATGCCATATTCTAGACCCATGCAACCGCGTAGGCAACAGATGCCGAGCATAAAGGATGCCCATTGAGCGCTGGGCTATTGATAATCGGCCACTAACTATCTGACGCTCGAGACGAGGCCTGTATCTATTTTCTTGGCCATTAGCGACAGTCAGTAATTTTCAGCGCAACGGAAGGAGATGATAGAAGCACATCAAGCAAATAAGACCGACTAATCACGGAGCAGAAATCCCCCAGGCGACATGAGCCCTCAAAGACCCAGCATCGCTGTAGGTAGCTAGCCTCCTACGCCATCCTCCATAGCTGGTATTGTACACCCTTCGACACCCCCGTAAACTCCTCACCGCGTGGCAAGACAGGGATAGAGCCAAGCAGGAGACAGATCTAGCTCCGCTTATCAGTCGGGCCCAGAAGTGTGTCCCGTGTTGAGTATTGGCTTGCCCGTCTAACCAGTAGATAAAGGACTAAGTTTCCTATCAGATAGCACAGCTTATCAAGGTTATCTCGCTGTGGGGGAAACCCGGGGCGTCGGATGAGACCCGGCCGGCCTGCTAGGGCTCCAATATATGGCCTTGCGCCGGCGAGAATGGATGGTTTAAACGAACTGGTGTAGTGAGCTTTACCACCAAAGCTCTCTGCTACTGCTACACTAGTTGGGAGCATCTACTAGCAAGGGAAGCAAAATGAACACCAAATCCACCACCGTCGACATGGCGCCCACCCCGGCCGACAAAGACATCGAGCTATCCAAGCCCGACCAAGACGACCTCGTAACCGGCATCATCCTCCCCAATTACAGCGAAACCTACCTACGCCGCCTCCGCTGGAAAATCGACCTCTTCCTCCTCCCACTAATGTGGCTCTGCTACGGCACGCAACAAGCCGACAAAACCAGCCTGTCCATCCAAGCCGTCTTCGGCATCCGCGAAGACACGCACCTCGTCGGCGACCAGTTCAACTGGCTCACGACGATCTTCTACCTGGCCTACATGGTCTGCGAGTTCCCAGGCAACTGGGCGATGCAGAAGCTGCACACGGGCAAGTTTCTGTCCGTCGTGATCGTCACCTGGGGCGTGGTCGTGCTGTGTATTGCGTTCGCGAAGAACTGGGCGCATCTTATGGTTCTGCGCACGCTGCAGGGCGGCCTGGAGTGCACGATTAGTCCGACGTTTATGCTGCTTACCGGGAGCTGGTATACGAGTCGGGAGCATACGTTGCGCTCGTTGATTTGGGGGACGAGTAATGCGGGCATGAATATCATTGCGGGCTTGAGTATGTATGGGATTGGGCTGAGGGCGCAGAGGAATCCGGATGGGTTGGCGGCTGTATGTTTCCCTTCCTCTTCATAACACTAGTTCCTGATGTAGATGCTGATGCTAAGATGATGGCAGTGGAAAGGAATCTCCTTCTTCCTCGGCGGGTTGACCATCTTCTGCGGGATCCTGGTCTGGTTCATCCTCGGCACGCCGCGCGAGGTGAGCTGGCTGTCGGAGGAAGAGAAGGACGCGGCCATCGCGCGGGTCATGGCGAACCAGACGGGCTCGGACAGGGAGAAGCGCTCCGAGTTCAAGTGGGAGCAGGTCTGGTCGACGTTCAAGGATCCGCAGACGTACTTCTTCTTCTTCGTGACTATCGTCAATGCCCTCCCCAACGGCGCGAACACGACCTTTTCCAAACTCATCTGGAAGTCCTTTGGGTTCTCCAGTCTGGAGACCCTGCTTAAGGGGAGCACGCCGTACTATGCCATTAGTATTGTGTGGTTTGTCACGGTGGGCGCGATTACGTTTAGATGGCCGAACTTTCGGTGTGAGTGGCCTCGACCTCCGTACATCGAACACTGACAGTAGGGCTAACTTGCGCAGTCCTCATGATGATGTTCTCCCTCGTCCCAGCCTTCATCGGCATGATCGCGCTCTCCCAGCTCCCAACAGACAGCATGCAGTGGACCCGCTGGGGCATGTACATCATGCAGGTGTTCGGCACCCTGCCTGGGCTGAGTACGTCTTCCTTCCTTCCCACCCCTTCTTTTCCTACCCTCCCCTCTAAAAAGACTGATGAATGTGACAGTGATCTGGACCTTCCTCCCCTCCAACATCGCCGGCCGCACCAAGAAAACCGTCACCTCAACCATCCTGTTCGTCGCATACTGCGTCGGGAACGCCGTCGGCGCGCAGATGATGGTTCCCTCCGATGCACCCAAGTATACGCGCGGTATCACGGCGTGTGGTGTGTTGTATGTGGTTGAGTTTTGCTCGATGGGGGCGTGGAGGTTCTACTGTATGTCTTGCTTGCTCTTTCTGTGTCTGATTGGTGGAAGTGTCTTTGGTGAGTGATTGCTAACATGGGTGTGTAGACATCTGGGAGAATAAGCGGAGAGACAGGATTGTCGCGGGCATGGGGCTTTCGGAGGAGGAGTGTGAGAGGCTGGGACGGGTGAATGCGGAGGAGGATATGACGGATCGGGAGAATATTCATTTTAGATATAAGTATTAGAGGGTCCAGGGGATTGGCTGGGTTATATGCTAAAAGGTAGGTACTTCGGGTTGATCGAATTAATGGATTTGTCTTTATTTTCATCCACTTTCCTAGCTAAGGTACCATATAGGTATGCATGCAGTCATTCAACTCAGCCGGTCTTTCGATCAAGGTTATTGACCAGCATAATCATCGGAGGAAGGGGTCCAGAGAGCTAGCCCAATCTCTGCTCCATAGATGTCTCTACGAACTCCAGCACTGTCTACGGTCGTATCGAGTAAGCAGCCCTAGTTGCCCTGACAAGACCGCGTGCACCTAGACGGGTGGACGAAAGCCACGAAGTGTGAACTAAAGGGGACCCTAAACTAGGCAGATAACTCTTCCAAAGTCTTCGTAGTTGTATGGATTGTCTTACTTATATTTATTTTACCAGGAGGGCCAAGTAGTTGAAGCATAAAATCTATCCTATTTTCTTCCATAGCCAATCTATATACAAAGTCCAAACAAGAAACCACCATCTAGACCCAAAACCTCTCAACAACCCTCCTCACCCTCTCAACCGCAAGCCCAATCTGCTCCTCCGTCGGCGTCGCAAACGAGAACCTGAAATGCGCCGTGCCCTCCTCCGCCCCCCTCTCCCTCGTGCTAACCTTATCACCCCCCTGCCACGGGTGATAGTACGAGCCGGGCGTCAGCAAAACCAGCTCAGCCGCCAGCGCCTCCCAGAGCTCCGTCGCGAACATCTGCTCGGGGTCGACATTTCCAGAATCAGACGAGAGCACGCTGAACCGTTTCACGCCGGAAAAGTACCACTTCGACCACACGAACATCCCGGCTTCCGGGTCAATGAAGCTGAAGACGGGCTTTAGGCCGGTGGCGGACTCAAGACACGCAACGAACCCCTCAGCGTTGGGGAGCGGTGATTCCGCCGCTGGAAGGACGACGAAGGACTTGTAGAACGCACGCACCAGCCAATCCCGTCGAACGCGGTACTCCTCTTGCAGGCGCTGCAGCCACTGCAGATACCCGTCAACGCCCCATTTCCTCAGCAGGGCCAGGATGAATGCTTGGCTTAGGCCGGCGGGGTCCTGCGTTTCGACTTCTGTGGCGCGCAGGAGACGTTCGGTGAAGAGGGGGTTTGCGATGAAATAGCCTAGTCGTAGGCCGGGGAAGAGGGTTTTGGAGAAAGATTCGAGCCGGATTACGCGGCCTTGCGTGTCGAGGGAGAGGAAGGAGGGGGTTAGGGTTTGTAGGAAGGTGGGTGTGGAGAGGGGGGTGAATTCTTGGGTGGTGTGGGAAGGGTTGTAGGAGGGGTATTGGAGGAAGTAGTAGGGGTCGTCTTCGACGAGGATGATGTCTATTGACTCGTTAGGGCGGTTGGGGACAGAGGCCTGGGGTTTAGGGTGCGTACCGAACTCAACGCAGACATCGTATATCTCCTTCCTTCGTTCCGTTGAGATGGAGAGGCCTGTTGGGTTGGAACCCACGGCGACAAGGTACAGCCTGTCCACCATTAGTCGCTCGCACTCTTCTCAAGTAAGATAGATGGTTTTGGCTGGAATACTCACACCCTCGGCCTCCTCGCCCCCCTAGCCTCCCCATCCCAACCGGCAAGCGTATCCCTAAGCACGCTCGCCGAAATTCCCTGGGCATCCGCGGAAACAGGGACAGCCCTCACACCCAGTGGAATCCAGAGCGCCTGCGCAGACGGGTAGGTGTACTCTTCCACGAGAACGAAGTCGTCGTCCTCGCAGAGCATGCCTACGACCTTGGCCCAGGCGTTTGTATTGCCCGGGTGCAGGAGGCATTCGTATTCGCAGGGTGGGGAGTGCACGACGTCCGTTAGCTCTTTGCAGAGGGTTAGAAGTTGTTTGTTTCCTGTGCCGGAGCCTGATATAGCACAGTTAGACTCGTCTGATTTCGGATGCGAAGGCGGGGTGGTACCGTATTGCAGGAACTGGGTCAGATCAAGGTCACCCGGGTTCGAACCCCGACCGAGCGTGAGGGATATCAGATCATCAGCTAGATCGCCGTTGTCAACGTCTGGCATTGACGATGACGGAGGAAGACAGTCGAATCTTGCCCCGTGGAGGGGGAAGAGCGAGGGATGGGGGAGGCCTGCAGTATTGTCAATATAGGAGATGCTGAAGACCTCAGAGAATTGCCACATACCTCCAGCCAGACTAATCATCCCATCCTGGCCCATAAACTTGATGATATCTTTCAATGGCGACGGATGGCGAGCCTTGCTCTTCCGATTGATGTGGTGGGAGAGGTCCACCGGACCTGTTCCAATGCTGCCCATTCTACTGGCTGGTCTTATCTTCTCGTCTCTGGGCTATGCAAGACTTCAGTGTCAATCCGTCGAGTACTTGTAGTGCGAGGTCCCCCGACGGCCCGGGATCCGGCCGTGCGTGGAGTTGTCGTGGAGTTTGCCCGGGGAGTTGGAGTCGAGAGATGACTCGATAAGATAAGGGGATATGGTCCAAGAGAATTATTGGAAATTGGAATAAAAATTTGTAGTCATGAGAATGAGGCCCGGGGGAATCGCAGAATGACTTGCAAACGATACGCGGCCAAGGTCTCATGTTTCTCTTGGACTGTCCCTCTCCCACCACACCACCCTGACACCGCACCACAATGGGAAACACAATCTCCTACACCAAAACCCCAGTCGACCTCCCCCTCGGCCCCAAAGGCACAATCCGCGGCCTACAATTCGACACCAAATCCCGCCGCTACGCCGGAATCCCCTACGCCCTCCCACCCACCGGCTCGCACCGCTGGCGCAAGCCGCGCCCCCTCCCACCAAACCACACCTACAGCAGCAATCCCAACACCCCCTACGACGCAACGCAATTCAAACCCATCTGCCCGCAAAAGGCCTACCACGTCGGCGGGAGCGCCGAAGGCGGCAACGGCGCCTACAGCGAGGACTGCCTATTCGTGAACATCTGGACGCCTGTCCCAGACCCTTCGAGCCCCGACAAAAAATGGCCCGTCATGCTCTGGCTACATGGGGGTTGGTTCCAGATGGGCGACCCCAGCCAAGAAGCCGGCATGGACCCGACGGAGCTGATCGCGACGGGGAAGCTGGATGCGATCGTGGTTGCGATCGGGTATCGACTGAACGTGTTTGGGTTCCTTGCGGGCCCGGATTTGTTAGAGGATGAGGACGAGAATGGGATCTCGGCGGGGAACTTCGGGCTCTGGGATCAGCGCCTTGCGGCGGAGTGGGTGTATGAGAATATTGGGCTTTTTGGGGGAGATCGGGAGAATATTACCCTTGCTGGACGGAGCGCTGGGGCGTATAGTGTTGAGGCGCAGATGTTGTATGAGTTTCGGGGAGATGGAGCTGGAGAAAGAACCGGTGGGCGAGCGCTGTATAGGCGGTTCTTCATGGATTCGAATGCCATCCCCGCGCAGCCGAAATCGTTGAGGGATGCGAAGGAGCAGTTTGATGAGCTCTGCTCGTACTTCAATATTGACTTGGGGAGCTCGAGTGCGGAGAAGCTTGCGAAATTACGCCAGAAGACACCCCAGGAGCTTGTTGCTGCCATTCCTAATCTGAAGAACCATACCTTCCGGCCTGTTACCGACGATCTCTTTATCCACCAGGGAATGGCCGAGTATCTCGCAAGCAAGGAGTTTGCCTCAGAGTTCAAGACGCGAAAAGCGCGGCTGTTGATCGGCGAGGTCCTGAACGAGGAGACGCTATACTCGACGTATAACAGCCCAACGGAGCCCACGGTTGAAGCACTGCGCACGCAAATCGGTAACTACTACGCACCCGACGTGACGGAGAGGGCATTGCAGTGCTATAAGCTGCCGGAGTCGAAGGATCTGGACGAGTGGAAGAAGTTGTTTGGTATGCACGGCCCGGATCCCTTGAAGGACTGATGAAGTACTAGCCCTAACGCTGAAATGCAGGCCAAATTATATCCGACGGCCAAGTCCGCGCCCCTTCTCGCGCTCTCGTCTCAAATCTCGTCTCCAACGGCGTCGACTTGGCCGATATATGGCGGTACCAGATTGCCTACCGACTGTCGTTCATCAATGAAAAAGTAGCCCCGATGTCCTTCGGCGTCGCGCATGCCATGGATAAGCCTTTCTGGAAGTAAGCATCCCCATCCCTGTTCCATTGGATAGTAGTTGCTAATACAGCGGTCATCAGCTTCTCAATCTGCTACGGTCCGACATCCGGAGAAAGGAAACTGATGGAAGACTGGATCGAGAATCTCGTTGCGTTTGTGAATGATAAACAAGAGTTTGAGTTTGGGACGAAGACCGCGCAGGAGATGAAGGTTGTTACGCCTGAAGGGAGGATTGAGGTTAGGAGTGATGAGCGGTGGGAGGAGTTGTTGAGGATTGGGGAAATGTTTGCTCAGTAGGGAAATGATATTACCCATCAATGATATAGGGTAACCGGAATGCGATTGTGGAGATCCACAATGGTTATGATGACCTTTCGGCGCGCTGATGGTGATGTATAGCGTTTTGTCTGGCTTGAGAACCTGATGACATTTGGCAGCTCCATATAGTAGCCTCTGTATACCTATGGTAGGTAGTTATTGTCATGTCTACGTAAGCGCTTGGGCAGGGTCCTGGCCTACCTTGCGGATTGGAGGGATACTCGGTAAGGAAGCTTGGACCAGCCCTACCACAGTGCGAAACGAGATCTACTAGGCAGTTACATTCTATCCCTGCTCTACTCATAATTCAGATTGGTCAGCATATCGTAATCCCATCGCAGCATGGGGAGTGTGGCGCAGTTTGTCAAACAGCCAATCAGCACCCAGGAGTTAGGTGCATAGGTTCACTGGACATTGACATCAGGGCAATAATGGCCGCGTGGATATAGATTTGCATGCAGGCGGTTTTCATTGTCTATTGAATCCCACGAAGTATGTGGCTCAGCCCGTTGATCAGCCAATCAACCTGCATGGTTTGGATATGCTCACTAGATTGGATGTCCAAGGTAAGGGCCGCGCGGACATATACCCTTATGCATACAGAAACGGTCCTCATTGTCTAGCCTCTCCCGTCTACGCATATGGCCGGCCTGTAGCATTCTCCAGGAAGAAGGGTTACGTAGATCTCGCCAGCCACAATCGGTGACCCTAACTCAGTAACTCTACGCACAAGCCACGTGTTTCATGTAACGTTTCACTCGAAAATAAGGTTCACAGGGCTATAGAACATCGGCCAATCAGAACCCGGTAAGCAGTATATTCACTGCCATAGGCGGCGACGTCACCCTGGACAGACAGAGCACGGCGATAGATCCGACGGTGAATGGGATGAGTGAAGGATGGCAGTGCACCTTATTTACGGCGGGGCCTTTCGAGGATTTATATATCTTTCGCGCGATCCCCAGGTTTCTTTTCCTCTGTCCTACCATACCCTACATTTTCCAACCAACAGTCTCGACAAGATGCATCTCTCAAACATCTTCTCTTCCACCTTGCTCGTCCCTGCATTGGCAAGCCTAGCGTTCGCGCAGTCCTTCAACCTCTACGCGTACGGGACGGGGATCGGAGGCCTTCCTGTGCATTATGCCGACGGTAAGCGCTCCCAATGGATGTCGGTCTAGGCGAGCGGGGAATTAACAACCAATTTATAGGAAACGCCGTTGTCAACAAGGGGGCCGTAAACGCAGTCACTGATGCAGTTGTCTCATGTATGTCTCCTACCCATAGAATACCGCTCTTTACACAAATCCTTTTGAACATGGACAATTGACTAATTCACCGAACCAGTCACAAAAGACAACGCCCGTCTCATCGGCAACCCCGACTCATCCGGTGCCGCAGGATCCTTCTCAAACGTGCTCCTCTACGTCCCTGGATCCTCGTCAAGCTCGCACAATGTCGGCTTCACTACCGACCAGACCTCCACAGCCGACCGAGTCACCGACAAGTTCGTATGGTATGGGGCTACGCTGCTCATTAAGAGCGACGACGGCCAGTTGACCTCGTCGTTTTACCTTAAGGAGAGCGATGCGGCGAGCGGACAGTATGAGTTGCTCTGGGGGGTTTCGGGGGATGAGTATATTAGTGTTGGGTTGCGGTCTGTGGCGCCGGCGACGTAGGGGACTTGGTAATTAGGTAGTGTAAGGATAAGCTGTGCTTACTCTGCATCAATTACGGGGAAGGCATTGAGAGGGCTTAAAGTTTTCAATTCTGTTGCGAAGCTTCACAGTACCATGTCATATTGTTTTGGAGATCTATGTAAATTATTGTGAAAATATCATAGCTCTCAGAAGCAATAAAAGGGGTATCACCAAACTCACTTATCAGTAGATGGAGGTTATGGACCGTTGCGCTGTAGAATTCATTGAGTACATTCCGATCCACTCGTCAAAAGGAACTATATAGGGCTACGAGGCCTCGATGTACTAGAACTATATAGGAAATAGGCTAGCGCATGGATTTAGGACAACCTTGACGTCCCGAGAGCAAGGAGCAAGACTGGAAATCTTCCGCATAATCTATATCTCGCAAATAGAATGAACCGCGTTGCATACATAGGTAGTCTAGTCGGGGCCTCTTTAGGGCTATCGTCCAAGTTGGATGGACGCCGCCGTACAGGTGACCGAGAGAGAGGAACAACGGCACTTGAACTGACCCATGCCCTAAGATGACGCTTACTGGGCATTTTGATCTGACCAGAGCTACTGATGACATCCATATATGTCTTTTGATGTGTCTTGCCTGGCATGAAATAGAATTCAAATGTACCTGTTCCTTGAGCCAATATATAAGCAGACATTGCAGTCTTGGCTAATTCAACAGGCATTGGTCCCTGGCATAACTAGAGTGCAAACAGTGCAGACCAAAACCCACTCAAGCTAGAGCAAGAAAGGCTAGCGCCATCACATGACAGCGTATTTCCCATCGCGTCCCAGCGCGTCGTGCTTTTCTACCGCGTCAAAACTTGAAGCTATCCAAAACGCCCTCCCGTTGGTATACGCGTCTACTCCTCCCATGATGGCCCTCAACACTGCGCTAGAGAGGCGCTGCAGGCGCCGCAAGCCCCTCATCGCGGCGAGCGTCCTCGTTCTGATGATGGCCTGGAACTACTGGTACCGCGTTCGCCCGCGCGGTCTTCGACGTGAAGCTCGAGCTGCGAGACGACGCGGACGGCCTCGTGGGTTGTCTCGGTCTCGGCGTCCGTCGTGGCTCAAAACTAGGTCTCCTCTGTCACGGAGTTGTTCGATCTTTACTCCTAGTGGGTCTGAGGCGCCGAGTACGCCGTGTCCGACATAGATGCTGGCTGGAGATTAGGCAGAATCCATTCAACTACGGCATTTTTTGACGGTTCAAAAACTGAAACTGGACGTACGGTCGGCACGCTTTTCTGGTTCACTGGCGGGTGTCTTCCAATTACTCCCACGATTGAACTTGATTGCCCTCACGGTGAAGTTCGAGCTCTTGAATTTTCACATGGTCAGCTTCTTCGACCTCCGTGATCCCGACACATCCCACAGCGCAACTAAACGACTCCGCCTTGGATCCTAAATGCTCAGCTATAACCAACCGTCAGGCCCCTCGCTCAGCCACTACTAAGCGAGCCGCTTGTGACTGCCTATAAAGGAGGCCATAGCCCCTCGCTAGAGCTAGACTCGGACATACCATACACAACTTTAGTGCTATGCAGGCCAGAAGAGGATCTTCCACCTCCAGGATGCCGCTAGAGCACCTCCCCAACGAAATCATCGAGACCATTCTGTCCCATCTGGCTCTACATGATATCCGCAATTTTCGTCTCACCAGCCGAGCTTCAGCCTCCACATCCAGCCACCATTTCAAGTCCTTCCTCCGCCGCAAGCACGTGGACGTCACGGAATCCTCCCTTCGCAGCTTCCTGCAGGCAACAAATCCCGGCCATATCGGGAGCTTCGTGACAGACGTCGTCCTCGTCGGCGTCGTCAACAACCCAAAGTGGCTCAACCGGCGGATAAAGGACCCCACTGATGGTCACAAGTGTGATATGCCGGGCGTTGGTCCAGAAGGGCAAGCCAGGGCACAAGCGGACCTGGACCTCCTGATGCAGCGACAAAGAGACTACGAGAGAATGCGCGCGACCGGCACGGATGTAACGCTGCTCGCGGAAGCATTTACTAATCTTATGGTACCCAACCATGATGAAAGACCGGGGCTCCGATCTCTGACGCTGGAAGTGGTGGTGTACCGCCTCGACGCTGAACAGAGGCTCCCCCCTGCTGATGGCGGCAGCTGGACACTCATCTGGCAAGCCGCAGCGGCGACATTCCACACCGCAATGCGCGCACTGGCCGCTAGTCAAATGCCGCTCCAGGAACTCGACGTCTACAGTCATCTGTCACGCTGCAGCCTAGCGTGCACGGAGCTGAGCGCCGTGGACATCGAATCCAATGGCCTCACTGCATCTCTAGCATCCTTGCGAAGCCTATCCATCAGCTTCTCCGACCGCATCGTCGACATGCGCAAGCACCACTTCGACATCACCGGCGATTCGGCAGACGACGTCGACTGGGGCGACCCGGCGCAAGACGAGGAGCGCTCAGACGACGAGATCGAAGCCGAGCTGCTTGACACCTCGAATTTCACGGGCCTCGCGCGCTTCCTGCACCGCTGCACGGCTCTCGAAGATCTAGAGCTGCACGTCTTCAAGCTCATCACCTCCGGTCTCGACAACCTCTACGTCCGCCGCGACGCCTATCTACACTCCATTCTCGCAATCAACACGCCATTCCCTTACCTCCGACGCCTTACGCTCCGGGGCGTGCGTGCTCGAGGGCCAGACCTCCTGGCATTCATCAAGGCCCTCCCCATCCGCGAGCTCCGCATGGTCAACGTGAAGCTCCTGGTGGGAACATTTGCACCCATCTTCGACTACTGCGTTAGCCATGAGGCCGCGTTGGAAAGACTGTACTTGGACGACCTGTTTGACCCTAACCCCCTGGCGCATGTCTATTTCGATGGCGAGACGGGCAAGCCCACGCGCATTGACTTTAAACGACCCTGTAGCAATCTGCTGGAGAGGACGGGAATGGACGTACGCCGGGCGATCCCTTACTTCACGCCCGTTGGGACCAGGCTGACCGAGAATCCGCGGGCGAGGAGGATGTGGAAGTGGCGGCGGAGGGCGGAGTATGGGCCGCCGTAGGTCTACGTGTATGGTACTTACGACTCTCCATTCGTGGTGCTGCGGTGGCCTTTTATGCATTTGTACCTTGAGTTGCCATGCACATATTGATTCGAGTGAGCCCTAGAGAAAGAAATCTATGAAGGTTTAATACCGCATTAACGTTGGTTCTCTCTTTGAATCACTTCAAGGGAGCAGTGACCCATCCGGCATTGCCCGCCTGGTTGTTCTGATGTCGGGAATGGAATCTAGAGATTGGAATTTTATCGGATGCTGTGTTGCTGGAGCCACTCTGTCGAAGGACTAGTCGGTAAGCATGAGTGTCCACTAGGTATTTGGAGAACCATATGCGATTCCCTCGGTTCAGAGTAGTGACAATGTAGCGGCCAGAGTTGCTGGCAAAGCACTGCCAGCTCAACATTTTGTCAGCCACTGATCATGCGTACTAATTCACGAGCGACAGATTTCATTTCTGCTCTTGATCAGCACTGGTTGAGAAGTGAGCTCGCTGATTTGGACATTGCCCTACTAGATCTTTAGACAGGCGCATACAGTGGCCACAATGTCAAGTGAGTGTTGATTCTTTTCTAGTCCAATAGCAGGTCCCAGAGAAGATAGCCTTGGTCTCATCCCCCCTCTAATCAATAGGGAGTAGGATGCCTCCAGCCTTTCAGGCGTTATCCTGTTCTGTGGTGCTGCTTGTGTGTGATTGGCTTGGTCGAGGTAGTATAGTAAACAATGGATTTGTTGTAACAATTATGTCATGGCAAGTACTGTACAACCAACCTGCGGCGACCCCTTAAAAGCAAAGCTAATCCCGCCAATCACTCAACTCAATAACTAACTGTCCTTTGAGAAGAGGCTCTTGGATCTCGTTAACAAAGCTTGGCCTTGTCCTTATCTGGAATTGGAAAGAACACCGTGCTGTGTGCAGTTGAGGCATCACGATGTCTTGGCAACCCCGCGAGCTACGTCATCGGTACCGCTTTCCTAAACGCCAAACCTTCCACCGCCATTTGCAGCTAACAAGTCGCTGTCATGAGCAGAAATACAGCGCACTCGCCGCCTGGAGAGGCAATCCCACTGGAACCATATGGGAGCGACGATGAACAGCCCGACTCGCCGCTGGATATGCAGCCACCGCAGCCGCAGCCGAAATGGATGACCGACTCCCGGCACGGCTCCTGGCTGTCAGCCATCGCTGCTCTCCCCATCCGCCTACTCCGTCCGCGGCTCACTTGGCGATATATCGTCTTTAGCGCGTTTTGTTTATACGCTTTCTACTGCTTACTCCGGGGCTCGCCGCTCTTTGCTTCCCCGCTGCCGTCCTACGCCGGGCCCCACCGTGTCGGCGCCGTTGATCTAGAAGTGCCCCTGGCCGGCGGGCCTCTACGCGTCGCTGACGGTGTCTTAACGAGTACTGGCAAACCAGCCTTTGAAGTTGAGACTCTTCTGGCGACAGTCTACTATCCGACCGAACGAAGCTTCCGCTCCCGCAAGCCGCGGTATCCGTGGATTCCGCGCCCGATCAGTCTCACTGCAAAGGGGTACGCTCGCTTTGCTCATGTAGACAATTTTCTCATCCGGCCTATCTTCACATTCGCCTTGTGGGCTATCGGCGGTTCCATCACTATCCCTGCTGAGGTTGATGCCCCGCTGCTCACCGAGAAGGGTGCTGAGACCTTCCCTGTTACCGTCTTCTCTCACGGCGATGCCAGCTCGCGAACGGACTACACTCACTTCCTTGGGGAGCTCGCTAGTCGCGGGCATGTCCTTGTCGCCATTGAGCACCGGGATGGCAGCGGGCCTGGTTCCCTGGTCAAGACCTCTGCCAACACTCCCGCCCGCCAAGTCCTCCCGTTCCGCCCCGCCGATCTCCAAGAGGACATCGATCATGACACCTTCAAACGTTCCCAACTCGCCTTTCGCGACGCAGAAATCCATGCCGCTATCGCTCTTCTCCACTCTATCAACAAGGGCGACCCCGTTCTTAACACCCGCGACACAATTACAACCCTCACCGACTGGACCGGCCGATTGAATCTCACGCAGCTGACCGTAGGCGGCCACTCCTTCGGCGCAACGGGCGCCCTCCAAGCACTCACAAACTCCGATGCCCCAGCCGGCGGTTTAATCTTCGACCCCGGCAAGTCCAGCGGCCCGCTCAACCCCAACGCCACCGTGCCAATCCTAGTCGTGCACTCCAACTCCTGGTCTCGCAAAGTCAGCCCATTCTACAACCGCCCGCACTTCGACACCGTCCGCGATCTTGTCCGCGCCATTCCCGCCCCGTCCTGGTTCCTCACCAGCATCGGCACCGCGCACCCTAGTGTCACTGACGCGCCGCTTCTCGAGCCTTTGCTACTGAGTTGGACGACCGGGGCGACCCTCGACGTTAAGGAAGCCTTGCGGGAGTATGTCCGCGTGGCCGACGACTTCTCGACATTTGTCCGTAGTGGTGAGCGAAAGGGCATTCTCAAGGAGAGGACGACTCACGAGCAGTACGGTGTATGGGTGAGTGAGGAGCGGGAGAAGGAGTTCCCGAAGGACCTGGCGAGACTCTGGGAGGTGCATGTTACGCCGGAAGATCAAGACCGTCCCTTAGAGGAGCCTGTGGAGCTTTGATCAAGCATGTTTATTTTAAGAAGACCCTTTTATAGAATCCATTCGCTCGGCTTAAGCATGTCTACCCCGTCCCAAAGATATATATTATGATCTCCAGTTATCCAACCTCTATTTGAAAGCAGCGGCTGCTCTTAGGCGTTTGAATCGGACCCTGTCTTTGGAGCAATACCGAATGCCTGTGGTCTTCTGCATTCCACTGTCTACAGACAAAGATATATTAAGGCAAAACCAATGCTGCCTGGGGCATTGGGCATACCGGGTATATCTTGTCTCCGGGAAATCCATGGTAGGTTGGGAATGAAGTTCCGGCCATGATAAACGCGGTGGTTTCCATCCACTGCCATGAGTCAGGATTTGACTTTAGAACATGCTTTTGGAAAGTCTAATGTTGGTAATCTTCCCAGGTCCTTCTGCAGGATTCTTCTTACCAATCTATAATTACCAATTCTTGTCTTCTAAGGTTTTCGCTGCCTATTTATTGTGTCTATTCTGCCTTTGCTTCCTGTCTTCCTCCATCCTTCCTCCATCTACCTAGTCTCCCTACTCTTCCTTTCTATATGTATTTCCTTTCTTTTTTTCTTTCTTCTTTCTTTCTTTTCTTTCTTTTCTTTCCTTTTCTTCTTCTCCCTCCCTTCTCCCTCTCCCTTCTCCCTCTCCCTTCTCCCTCTTCCTTCTTCCTCTCCCTTCCTACTCTCCCTTCTCCCTCTCCCTTCTTCCTCTCCCTTCCTTCTCCCATGTCCTGGTAGGGTGGTAGGGACGGGCATGGGCCACACCACTTCCACGTAGCTTACTTCCTCTTCTTCCTCTGCTGGTTTCACCATCCTCCAGCCACCTTAGCCGCTCCCTTCTAGCTGGTCCGACCCTACCCAGCTTTTACCATACCACTTCCACGTAGCTTCTCCTTCTCTTCTCCCTCTGCTGGTTCCATCATCCTCCAGCTACCTTGCCTATCCCTTCTTGCTGGACCGTCCTCATCTAGCTTTTACCATACCACTTCCACGTAACTTCTCCTTCTCTTCTTCCCCTGCTGGTTTCATCATCCTCCAGCTACCTTGCCTATCCCTTCTTGCTGGACCGTCCTCATCCAGCTTTTATCATACCACTTCCACGTAGCTTCTCCTTCTCTTCTTCCCCTGCTGGTTCCACCATCTTCCAGCTACCTAGGCCCTAAGGGTTCCCTTCTAGCTGGACCGTCCTCATCTAGCTTTTACCATACCACTTCCACGCATCTCCTCTCTCTTCTACCTCTGCTGGCTCCATCATCCTCCAGCTACCTCTCCTCCCTTCTTGCTGGACCGTCCTCACCCAGCTTTACCATACCACTTCCACGTATCTCTTTGCTCCTCTTCCTCTGCTGGCTCCATCATCCTCCAGCTACCTCTCCTCCCTCCTTGCTGGATCGACCTCATCCAGCTTCCCATGCCCTGGTAGGGTGGCAGGGACGGGCAATGGGACTCACCACTTCCACGCATCTTTTTCTCTTCTTACTCTGCTGGTTCCATCATCCTCCAGCTACCTCTTCTCCCCTCTCGCTGGACCGACCTCATCCAGCCCCCCATGTCCTGGCAGGGTGGTAGGGACGGGCAATGGGACTCACCACTTCCACGTATTTTTCTCTTCCTCCTCTGCTGGTTCCATCATCCTCCAGCCACCTAATCCTTCCTCCTCTCGCTGGACCGACCTCATCCAGTTAATCTCACCACTCCCACGCACCTCTTTATCCTGCTGGTTTCGTCCTCATCCAGCTGGTCTCACCACTTCCACGCACCTCCCTGTCCTGCTGGTTTCGTCCTCCTCCAGCTCCAATCATTCAGTACCTCACTGAGGTTTTTTTCTTGCCTCGCTGTCCACTCCATTAAGATGGGCTTGCTTGACGGCGTTTTCTTTGCGGTCTGGATGCTTATCAAGCAGCACCCATCCCGCAGTCGGCTGGTTCGTCAACATGCTGGAGCTAGCGTGTTGTTATACTGAAATCCAGTGGATACGTTGCCGCGATGTATCTGTTTTTTGGGTGTGCTAGGGTATGTACACCCAGATTTTACTAAGGGTGGCAACAAAAGCTTGGCTGGGTGGTAACAGTAAGGTTATGTATTAAGTTAGTAATATATATTATAAATACGCGCTATAATAGGTATAAGTGGTAGATCTAGCCTAAATTTAGTAATATTATAGTAGTAATACAGTAAATTTTTATTTTCACATATTTTACACCTAGCTCCAGCGTATCTTCGCCGGGTGTTCATACTCTAGCATGTTGGCGAACCAGTAGTAGTAGTAGTAGTAGTGATATTTAACGCCCCGGGGATTACTAGGCGTACGCCTATTATTCTAGACCTTCCTTGGGGTATAGGGGCGTGCCGCTACTAGGTAAGTAACTTATTTAAATAATCTATATATAAAAGGCTTTTTATTTTAAAGGGTAACTTTTACTAAAGCTTATAAGCCAGTGCCTGTTATTTACGCACTATTTTTATATATAATTATTAATAGGTATTATTTATTATATATCTAGGGTTTTAGTTATAAAGGGTCTTAAGAACCTGCCTTATTATAAAAAAAATATATTAGCTAAAGCTAGTTACGTTAAAAAAGGGTATTTTAAAATAAAAAAAAAAAAAGCGTAATAAAATAAAAAAAAAAACTATTTAATATTAAACTAGGTAGTTTTAGTAGTGCTAGGGCGTGGGGTGCCCTAGCAAGGGTAAATAAACTTATAAAAGTTTATAATTTTAAGTAATAATATAAAGCCCTTAGGCTTTAGTTTATAAAGGTACTTTAAGGCCTTAGCCTTAATTATTAATAATATTATAAAACACTAGGGCTATTATAAAAAGCATTATTTAAAGTAATAATAAAAAACCAGGTATTTAGGGCTCTTGCTTATCCTATAAAAATAAGTAAGCTTAATATTTTTATATTAAAAGTGCTTATAATATTACTTAAAGTTTTTATATAAAAACTAAAGGGCAAGTTAATAATACAAGACTAGTTATTTTAATATTAGCTTTAATAATAGCTTAACCTAGTAAGGCTTTAACTTTATAGCAAGCTATTATTTATATTAGGTAAATAATTTTATAAACATGCCTTTTTATTACTTAGCTTAGGCCATGCGGTATATTTATTTATATAAGCTATATATTTTATTTATAATAGGTTAAGCCTTTAAAAAGTTAATATTTAAAAATTATATTTTTATAAAGGCTACCTTATTAGCTAGCCTATTAACTAGCTTATTTTTTTTAATATTTATATAGCCTAGGGATTATTATAAATAAATTATATACTAGTTTATAAGTTAGTATAGTGCTTAAAAGGCCTAGTTTAAAAATAATAAAGGCTACCCGCGTGTATATTAAATTATTAAAATATTATTAATATAAAGCTAGTAGCACGGTGCTTTAAAAAGCTTTTTAATTACTATTTTTAATTTTTAAAGTACGCTAATAGCCTTGGTATTATAAATATAGGATTAGGTATTAATTATTAATAGTCTTTATATTTAAAGGTATTATTTATAGTATATTATAAAGCTATAGCCTATATAATAAACCCCTTAGTATATTTACTTAAAATTATTACTAAAAATTACTACCTTTATTATTAATAAAGCTTACTATTATTATTTAAACTTTTTTATAGCTAGCTTCTTAGTCTTGCCACTAGTAAAATTTTTTAGGTATTTTTAAAAGTAATAAAAATATATTAAAACTAGCCTAGGAGTCTCCGGGAGAAGTATTTTTATTATTTATATTTTTATTTTAGGCCTTTAATATAAACTAGCGCCCTTACCATGCAAGATTTTTAGTAATATTACTTATATTATTAGCAGGTTTTAGCTATTAACCAGCCTTAGTTTTAAAATAAAATATAATTATACTTTTTTTAGTATTATTACTATAAAAAAAAGCCTAGTATTTTTAAAAAAGGTTATTATAAATATTATTTAAAAAACTAGGAGTACACCGCAAGTAACTAATACTAAAGTTTTTTTAATTATTTTAATATACTAGCCTAGTTAGGTATTAACTTTTAGGTTTTATACATGTCTTTTAGGCTTAATTTTACTATTATATCACGCCTTTATACTATATAATAAGTTAAAAATAATATAAGTAATAACTACCTTGCAAAGAAAGTTTGCGGGCAGGTTATATACTATATATATTAAATTATAAATATATTAAATTATTACACGGGCTTTAACTACCCGCTTAGTAATATATTATTATTAAAAAAGCTATTTATTAAAAAAAATATTTAGCCAGCATAACACGGGCTGTTTTTAGCCTAATATTATAATAATAAAAGTAATTATTAGCTAGTTATTAATTACTAGCAAGGGTAATTTACCATGCTATTTTTAGGTAATATATAATATTTTTAGTTTTTTAAGTATAAAGGCTATTTTATTTTATTTTTTTTAGGCTAGCATGCCGCGGATATTTTTTATTAAAAGTTTATAATTTATATAAAGGGAGTTACTCGCGCAGCTAAGGTAAAAGTTATTTATATAATTAAAGTATAAAATTAGGTTTACTAGTAGTAGCTTAATAATATATAATAAAAATAATACTAAAAAAAGGGGTAAGCCTTATAATATATTATAGTATACTAAATATATTATTATTATAATAAATTTTAGGCGTATTTTTATACTTTATTTACTAAAAAAGCTTGTAATTAGGGCTAAGAATACACAAGGCCAGCCTTATTTTACTATTTTTTAAAGTAAGTATTATGGCAGGATAGTATTAAAAGCACCTAAAATATTTATAGTAATTATAGTAACTTCCTAGTTTTATAAAAGTATTATTTTTATGTTATAAGTAAAAAAGGCTATTAAATTTATAGCTAAGTACTTAAGTAAAGTACTATATTATTATAAGCTTAGCACCCTTTATACTAGCGTAGTAAAAGTAATATAACATGCTATAATTTATTTAAATTTTTTTTTTAATACTAAAAGCAGCGCTATAGGGCGCCAGGATTAAAATAAAAACTTATTTTTTTTATTATTTTTTAAAAGTATTACCACCTTCACAAGCTTTTATAATAAAAAAAAGTATTTTAATTATAAATATTAATTATATAGCCTATATATAGCCCGCCTAATATACTTTTAATAAGCTTTTAAAATATAGATTATTACTTAGTCCGCCCTAGGGGAGGTGTTGCTTATACTAATAATATTTTTTTTAACCTTTTTTAGTAAAATTTTTTTTAATTAATAAAAATACTTATTACCTTGCTAGTACTCCGGTGCTAGGGGATTAAAGTTTAAGTTATTATTTATATTAAAATACTTTAATATTATTTTTTATAAAATATTAGCCTTTTCCCGCGTGTTTTTAATTACTTTATTATTTATTAATAATAAAAAAGTTTTAAGCCTAGGCTCTAGCTTATACTATATTATTATTTAATATAATTTTTAATTATTTTTAATACTATTAATTATTTTAGTTTAATATATATACTTAGTTTTATAAACTATAGCCAAAAACTACTTTTTTTATTTTAGGGTAGGGTTTACTATCTAGGCTTGGTAATTTTTTATATATTTAATTAATTATTAAGGGGTGCTATAGCTCCCTAGGTTAGGGTATTTATTAATTACTTATATAACTTCCGCGATAATATTACTAAGGGATTTAATATATTAATTTAGTATTTTTATATTTTTAAGTTTCCCGGGCTAAAAAAGGTATATTATTTTATTTTTTATTAGCCTAGCTAGGTATTTAAGCTTGTGGTTTAATATATTATAATAATATTATTTTAATATTTTTTTCCCGCGCCCTAGTATTATAGTAATTAAAATTTAATAATTAAAGTTATTATATAACTTAGGTATTACTAGCGTGCGGGTAAAAAAAATATTTAAAAAGGTTAAATTAAAAATATGGCTGGCTTTATATATAGCTATACTTAGCTTATTAATATAATTAATATTATTATTACTAGCCTACCTAGTAATTTTACTACTATAATATAGGTTATTTACCCCGGGCTTAAAGGTATTATAAGTAGTATTAAAATTCTTGCTAATTATATAGTTTAGGGTAGGAATTAATATAATTAAATAATTTATTATTTTATAGGTAATTAGTTCTTAATATATATTTAAAACCTTAATATTATTTATTATAAGCTATAGCATATTTTAGCTTTATACTAGGTAATATTATTTAGCATGTAATACTTTTTTTTTATAAATATAGGTAAGTACTTTAGGGCGCTTTTTTAACTAGTTTTTATAATTATTTTAGGTATTTACTAGCGTGTAGTACTTATATACTAAATAATTTTAGGTTTTTATACCTATGGTAGTCCAGGGCTCCTAAATATAAGTAATATTATAGTTTTACTTATAGGCTAGTTATAAAATTATAATATAATTAGGTATAAACTTATTTATATTAACCTAGTAAATAGTAAAATCCCGTTATTACTAGGTATTATTTTAATAGTAATTACCATGGTTTTTTTTTTAGTACTTTATTATTAAAGCTTAAAAAAAACTTAATATTAACCTTTATTACCTAGGGTAAAAAAGGCATGCCCGCAATAGCTAGTATAAGTTAAATTAATTTAATAAAAAGCTACCTAAGGTTTTAATTACTAGTAAAAGTGTTAAACTATAGGGTGTAGTAATTAATAACTAGTATAAAGCCTTATTTATTAATTTTTAACTTTTTTATAACATGCTTCTAGGGGTTTTCCTAGGGTAAAAACTACTTAGTTTTAGCCTAAAGTTAGGTATTTATATTAGCTTAGGCATGCATGTTTTAGTATTAGCAAGTGCTATAACAGCACATGCTATTAAGTTTTTTTTTAAATAAGTAAACTAGCTTTTTATTTTTATGTTTAAGGGCTATTAAATAATTATTATATTTTATTAGCTAGGGGCCTAGGTAGTTCGCGTAGCGCGTGGGATTTTTATAATTTAGGTTAATAGGGCCTAGGTGGTCCATAGCTATTATATTATATTATATATAATATATTATATAGTTATATTATGCTAGGTAGTAGTATTTTTAATAACTAGGGTTATATTAAAAAACTAGCTAGTATTTTTTAATAAGCTAGTAGCGCTTGCTTTAGTTAAATAAAGTAAAAATTTTAGGCTACTTTAAAAAAAATACTACCTAAGTAGTGCGCTTAGTATTAAAATTAGGTTTATATTTTAAAAAAGCAAGCTTAACTAGCTTTAATTTAGTTTAAGCTATAATTTTATTTTTAATTAACTTAGTAATATTTATTTTATTATTATTATATATTAAAATAGTATTAAACACTTCTTACACTGCGTAGTTATATTATTTTTAAAAAATATATATATTAATAGTGCTTAGGGTGCGGTAAATTATATTAATTACTTTATTAATTATTAAAAAATTTTTAGTAAAAAGGTTATTAAAAATAATAGCCTAGCCTATACAAGTGGTATTAATTTTAGGGATAACTATTATTATAGTTAGTTTTAGTATGTACTTAATAAAGGCTTACTAAATAATATATACCTTAAGGCGTGTTATTAGCTTATTATTAAAAAAAATAATTAGTATTTTATGGTTATCTTGCGTAATTAAGGCTATAATAAAATTATTATATATTAATTAAGCTATTAATACACTTAATAAGGGTACCTTGCCTAAAATAGTGTTAATTAAGGTAGAAAAACTTGCTTTAAAAAGGGTGGGTTAAGCCCTTAAGTTTTTAAAAATTAAACTTATTCCCCCCTAGGCAATAGTTTTATTAAAAATTATTATAATAATAGGCTAGTTATATATATATAAAAAAATATAATTAATATTATTAATATTAGCGTAGCCCTTTAAAAAAATAAAGTATATAAACTTATTATAAATATTATAGGTAAAGGTTTTTTAATTTTAAGTTTTTTACCTAGCTATAAAGCTATTAATAATAATTATAAAGCTTATAAAAACTTTACGCTTAATATATACTTAATATTTTTACTTATTAAGCTAATTATAAAGGGCTTTTATAGCCAGGCTAGGCTAAAAAGTTAGTATATTATTATTTTTAGTAATAAAAAAAAAATAGGCTTGCTAGGGCCCTTTTTTTTTTATTTTTTTATAATATAAAAGTTAAAGGGGGATAGGGGGTTTTATAACCATGTAAAATTAACTAAGTTAATACTTATAGGTTAATTAAGAGTGCACGCCTTAGTTTTAGCTATTATACCGCGGGGAGTAATAAAAAAGAAAAAAAAAAATTAAAAATAAAATTAAAATAGTAAAAATATATATTTATAAAACTTTTAAAGCATCTAGAGCCCTTATTTAAAGGTACCCCTAGATTGCTAAGAGTTATAAAGGTGTTGGCGAACCAGCCGACTGCGGGATGGACCATTATTCATCACGGATGGATAGCCCGGCCGCGGATTCAAGATCCGTAACCTTAAGATATTCTTAGAGTCCTTCTAACTCCTGCGCTCCCGAGCCATGCTTTGGTAGAGTGACTGGAGATCATAATGCATTCCTTTCTCCATCAATTAGTTGGGCCCTCTATCTTCGTAGTTCTAGAATGCCCAAGTAAATGGCCGACAGTTCGCCGATCAGTAACGACCTCCAATTCTCCGCAGATAAGAGTCGAGCGAGTCGACAAGGATGTGACGATAGTGAGCACTGCTATCAGCCAACCATGGCCTGGTTACTCCATGTGTGCAGAATACTCCAACTCAACCGCACCATAAAACCCGGTTGTACGCCGTCGGCATTCCTAGCAAATGCTGCTAGACTGAACAGATACCACCATGGGGGTGACTAAAATACTGGCCAAAATATCACTGCCCCACGAGTCGCGATGGATCGTGAGATCCCGACCCCCAAGCCTTGATACTTGGATTCACCCCGTTAACTGAGGTCATACAGAACGACGATATCCGCCCTGTAGATGCAGAACGCCGGACGTGGGGGTTTTTGACGTTCCATAACTTTTGTATGTTGTATTCCTAACTCTGCAGCAGTTCTTGGTTTCTGATGGCGATTAGGGCTCTTGATCAACTGCAATATATCCAGCTACCTCACCGGCAGCTCACTGATACCGCTCGGCCTGACTTGGTGGCAAGCTTTCATCGGTAGGATTTCATTGCGGTCATACTTCTCTCGCTGATCGCAATATAGCAATCGTGATTGGAAATATCCTGGCAACTTTGGCTCTGATCGCTAGCTCGCTGGCGGGTGCATACTACCACAGTGAGTCCTTCACAACCTTTCGATATTCAACCTTCCGAGACGCATCGCTAAGAGCATGATAGTCGGCTTCCCAGTCTTCAGCCGCGCAGTCTGGGGCCTCTGGGGCTCGCAATTCGTCATCTGGAACCGCATCTTCTTAGGCATCGGTAAGCCCTCAACCATCCCATCCTTCAGGATCCTCTAATATCCATCTACATACAGTATGGTACGGCTTCCAATCCTGGGTGGGCGGGCAATGCATCTACCTGATCCTGCTTTCATGGGACCCAACCTTCGCAACCGACATCCCCAACACCATCCCCTCCACCACCGGCACCACAACCGCCGAATTCCTCTGCTACATCATCTTCTGCATGCTCAGTCTCCCGGCACTCTGGATCCGCCCGCACCGGATCCAATCCTTCTTCTACATCTCCAGCACCATCACAATCATCTTCTTCCTCGTCGTCCTGACCTGGTCCCTAACAACCATGGGCCCCGCCGGCTTCGGCGCCACACTGTCCAGCAGCACCTCGATCCCGCCAACCGGCGGCCCAAACAGCACAGCCTGGCTCATGCTCTACGGCACAATGAGCACAATCGGCTCCATCGCCGCCGGCATCCTCAACCAAAACGACTACGCGCGTCTGTCGGCGCACCCCCGCGACGCAATCTGGGGCCAGGCACTCGCGTTCCCGTTCTACGGCGTCGTCGGCGCGACGATTGGGATTTTGGTCACGGCCGCAACGCAGATTCGGCTGGGTGGTGAGGCGGTTTGGAATCCGCCGACCCTGTTTGTGGCCCTGCTGCGGGGGGATACGACGTCTGGGACGCGCGCTGCGGTCTTCTTTGCGGGTCTGGCGTTGTCGGTTTCGCAGCTTGGTACGAATCTACCGGGGAATGCGTTGCCGGGGGGTTTGGATCTGGCGTCTGTGTTTCCGGGGTACGTTAATATAAGACGGGGGGCGTATGTTATTGCGCTTGTTAGTCCGGTTGTTAATCCGTGGCGGCTTGTTAATACGGCCACGACGTTTTTGACGGTTCTTTCGGGGTATGGTGTCTTTCTAGCGCCTATGACGGGTCTCATGGCAGCGCATTATCTGGTTGTTTGTCGACAGAAGGTCAATGTTGATGATCTATTCACTGGTGACAAGAGCAGTATATACTGGTATACAGGCGGTATCAACTGGCGAGCACCGATTGCAGTATGACCCTACCCTACCCCTCCACCTGCCGTTTCCTGCTCAACTGACTAACCTTTGTACGGTAGTGGATCATCGGCGTCGTCCCAACAATGCCGGGCTTCGTTGCGGCCGTGAACACATCAATCCATGTCTCCGACGAAGCAACAGAGATATACTACATCAACTATCTCTACGGGTTCTTGGTTAGTGCTGCGGTGCATGCGTTCTTGCACTGGGCCGTTCCAGATAGTAAGCTTGATGCGTTTGTTAAGGGTGATATGTCTGCGAGGGAGGTCCAGGCGCTGTATCAGGAGCGGTGGGAGGTTTTTGGGCAGCAGGGGCGGGTTGCTGGTGAGGTTCATGTGGTGAAGGGGGTCTGAATTGTTAGAAGCAAATAAGAATCTTGGAATGGAGGACAACAATCTGCAAAGACAATAACTGGGTAAGTGATGATTATCCCTATCTCATCAGGACATACCCTACTGTTTGAGATCATGGTTATACTATAGGGCACTTTGGATAGCCTTTGGTGAACTTCCTACAGAGCAAAAATACAAGCACCAAGGCCATTGCCCTTCCTGTTTCAGTAGGTGAGCAGTGCTAATCTGGGTGAGCGAGGTGAGTGGGGAGGGTGAGTGGGTAAGGAGTCGGGGTGAGCATTACTCACCTCAATCACATACTGTAGCACCAATACTGGCGAGAGTAGGGCGGACTATAAGAAGGGCAGCCCCCCTTCTTCCGACTTCTCCCCTGATCGCTCTTCCTCCCGCTGTCTCCAGGGAAGAACCAAGAACAAACCCTAATGAGCATGACCACAGCCCCGGTTTGTTATCGTTTCATATTCGCTGTCCATTTGGTTGTCTTGCTTTCGTCTGCTAGGGTATATTGGCCATTGATGATTCGGGTAAGATATGGTATCTCGATGTCTGCTTTTCGGAGCCAAAGCATCCCGAGGTCTATATTTAATTCGGACACGACAAGTTTGCCGTACATGATACGTTCCCTCATTTCTCCCTGGCCAAACCAATTCGCCCAGACCCATGGGTCTATTGCCTCTGCATATTAAATATCACTAGTATTGAGCTACCTACCTCGGCCTGACGCGCCGCGGATATTCGGATATATTCCTCTGCTGCTTTATGCGGTTCATGGTCCGGCGGCGCTGAGCAGTGGGCCGACTTCGATTGAGATGCAGGGAAACTGGATCGTTGATGCGATTGTAAGATGGATAGGTGTGGCCTTACTTAAATTAAACCTACTGAGGAGGCGGAGAAGGGCTGGAAGGAGACTGTCGACAACATTACGAATATGACGCTCTTCCCCAAGGCGGACTCGTGGTATATGGGGGCTAATATTCCGAGGAAGAAGAGGGAGATGTTGAATTTCCCGGGGGGCTGCAGATGTATGAAGAGATGACGAGGAGGGCGTTGGAGGATTGGGAGGGTCTGATAACGGTTTGGACATTGGGACGGGGAGTCCCAGGTGAGACCAGTTCATTACGGATTAGCTCAAACGTACATGATAGTCGCCGTGACGCCGTCCAGCACAGCTGCGCATACTAGCATGGGACTGAATTTGGTGGAGTGGGCCCTGGTGATAGCCATGCTAAGACGTTTCAAGAGAGGGCCTGGATGGTAATGTTATAAGACCTGCTACATCCTACATGTGGTATGGATGGTACCCTCCCTTCACCCATTATACCTAGACCCTTACAGAACACAAATGCGCCCATCTTCTCCCAATCCGCATCAAGTCTAGCGCCAGAGGCCTATTATCGAAGCCGTCTGGTGCCGTCCTCTGCAACCGATCAGCCGGGCCCGTCGTGGAGATGACATAGGCGTAGTCGCTGAAGAACTGCATGCGGGCAACTGCAAAATCCTTATATGCCGGCAGGCTTCTCTGGCCACCGCGTTTATCGAGTGACTCTTGTGCAGCCATGAGCGTGGCACAAACATTACCGTAGAGCTTTTTGAACCCGCCCTCGTAGTTGATGATCGTGGCAATCTCAATCCACTTCAGACAGTGCTCGCGGCTTGAGAGCAGGAAGTCCGTTAGTTCGTTCATGAGCACAGAGGCGCTCTCGAGGTCGCTCTCGTCTAGGCCTGCTGGGAGGTCGCGCAGGAAGAATGCGTCCCAGAGAGCGTATGCCATTTCGAAGTAGCAACTCTCTTTCGAGTAGTAGTACCGGGCTCGGTTCGCGGTGAGGAAGTGTAGGAGGGAAGTGGCCTTGTCGCTGTTGCTGAAATACCACACTGCGGTTCTTGCCCGGTACAGAGCCTTTAATACTTGGGGCTTGAGAATTGTTGGCGTTGGTGATAGCGGATCTCTCTCGGCGCTCTGACGGACGAACTGCATTGCGGTGTGGTGGACGAGTGTGACTCGGACTGCTGTCTCGGTGCTATTGTGACCCTGTTTGTGTATCGTCCTGAGCGCAACCAAGGGCGCGCAAAGGGCTTTGGCAAGTTCGATCGGATCGAATACCTTTTCGCCCGAGTCCGCGGCTTGAAAGACGATGTCCAGGATCTCTGCATCCAATTCGCCCCTGCCCACCTGAACAAAGTCTTGCAAGTCAATCCACAGGAAAAGCTGCTGAGAGAAGTTGAGCTCGACTGAAGAAAATGTGTTCTCGAGTGTTGAGAATATCGTTCTGTATAAGTCGACCAGCCCGCCAGGGATAGCGCGTAGATGACGAACAACGGACGCCGCACTTGGTAAGCGTTGTATCTCGTCGATCATGAGTCGGGCATATAGCCAGGAGCCATCCGCTGCAGCTGCAACCTCGACTATCACTTCTGGACCCAGCGCCGTAGTCTTTATGTGCCGAATCTGAGATATCCTTTGCTTGACATATGCTGTAACGGGACGTCTCACGTAGGACGGGAGGATACTCAGCTCGAGCACTTCAGCGTGTTTCAACGTAGCAACTTGTTCGTCCAGCCGACGAAAAACGTCCAAGATGTCTGGCTCTTCGCGACTGGCAAATAAAAGTTTGAATGGACGTCTGGTTGCGTTCAGACTATCGGCCAAGGCCGCTGCTAGGAGACAGCCATTGTTGCACTCGTCAAGGCCATCTATCACGACCCAGAACGGGAGGCCAGCGTCGGGCAGAAAGGTCAGAGCATGTTGGAAAGCCCCGAGGAGAGTTGCCACCGATTTCGCGTGTTTCTGGCCGCTTTGAACCCTCAGTTTATCCATCGAACCGTATAGATGATCTCCGTCAACAAGAACGAGAAGCTGGGAAAGAAGAGTGCGCAATGCCTGGAACGGCTCACTTCTCCCTTCTCCCGTATCCTTGCAGAAGAAGTATATGACAGGGCCAGTGGAAGAGCCGATGATATTGCGGATGAGGAACGCAGTGAGGGTGGATTTCCCACTCCCTGGAGCGCCGCCTATTCTCAGGATATTTGAAGCTCTTGAGGTCAGGAAGGTCTGGACTTGGTATTTTGCCAGCGACCAGTCGCAGCTTCCGTCCATGCACTCCTTCTCGTGATTGTATAGGTCATCTGTGAAACTGGCAGGCGACAGCCATTCTTGCACGCGGAAGCGAACATCGACCGCACCTGTTGTTGAATCTACCCCTTTACCAAAAATGGAGTGGGCACTTCTCTCTGCGGGCATGACCTGCATCAACTCCTTCGCATATGCAGCGGCAGTCGCTGCGGCATACCCTTGCCAGAGATCATTCTTGTGAGAGTCCGCATAGTCGCTGATCCCTCTGATCACCAAGCACGGAAAACTGTCAACCAGCCCTGCTGCTTCCATCTCAAAGCATAGCACGTCGAGCTCCCTGCGCAGCTTGTCCCTCATTCCCCCGTTTTTGACGACTTGGTCCCCGGAAGCGATGAGACCGTAGTGAATATACGGTTGCATTACTTTCGAATCCCGCAATGGGCGAAGCACTGCCTGCTCAGAACCACAAGACGAACATGTTGCTTGGCTTTCTGGATGTTCGTAGTCTGACCGGTACAACCGGTCAGTCTCCTCCGCAGGCCGTGCATATTGAAAGCCCATGAGCGGATACTTGGCAACCATCTCTCGGATAGTGGTCTCAATCTTATGGCCCTCCATATAGTGCCGTGCCTGGATATTACTCAAGGCCGTCAACAGCACCTCTGGCGGTTTATTCAGCATCCCCGTGCGCTCGAACCGGCCATGCTGCAGCGTCTTGCCAAAGTCATACTGGATGACTCCGCCGTGCAGTCCCCGCGGACTTCCGACGACGATGTCACCGAGTCGAATGTCATTTGCGCTACTAGGTGCCCCTCCGCCAATCCCAATCATGAGGCCAAACTTGATGTACCGGAATGTCGACAGCATCTGGTTGACCAGCCTTGCCGCGGAGACGGTTCCGGTCACACCGTATGGCAAGCAGGCGACGACGACATTGTGGTCTTTCACGCGGCCGAGCACGTAGTTGTTGTTGTCGCGAGAGTTTGGCTCGAGGGGTAATGGGTCATGGCGCTCGTCTAGCATTGCGCAGGCCGCCGCCAGCTCCAGCGGCAGCGCGCATATGCATGCGGCTGTGTAGTCGTCCCGGCTTCTTGATGCCATGAATCAAATTCTTTCTCGAGGCCCTCTTTGAACGAAATGATCTCTTGCTGGTGGTAGATACGTAAGCATCTAAAGACTCCAGCTGGGCAGCTCAGCCACACCCTGCCCCGCACTAAATCCTGCAGCTGTTCCAAGCTGGAGGTTATACCCCCCCACCTGCACTTGTCTTGACGCACCTGCAGTTATTGTAGCCACTCGTAGTATGGTGATTCCTATAGTACTAGGTATCGCGGTTCGCGATGGTGGCTTGAAGTTAGGTCGCAATAGGGCACGGTGAATAAAGAACTTACCTTTGAGTTGGGTTTTTATGATAAACAAAACAAATGCTGCTAAACCTCATTCTCGCATAGGAAAGAATGGGACATTTTAGTAGGACAGGGACATCAAGCAGCATGCGCCTTCTTTTGCATGCATGCGTTCCGGATCGCGTGGACAAGACTGAAACCAACATCCCGAGAGCTCAATCAGTAAACAGGCATATCAAACGCATCAAAATCCCACATCCAACTCCCACCCTAATCGAAGCCTCATCGTACTCGCACTCCCTCCTCGTCCCATTGTCATACCACATCGGTCGCAGGGGCCAAGCACAGATTACCTGCTGTTCACCTTCCAGACTACCCTCAATGGGATAGTGTCGTTCAATCTGGTAGAAACATCGCCCTCCTCAACCCAGGCAATCAAGCTCAGCAACGATGTCTGCGGAAACGGGCCGTTCGGCTGGAGATTGTTGTTCATGCAGTGCGAAGCCCCTGCGACCAGGAACAGGCGGTACCAGTCGCCCATCGCCTCGTTGCTGGCATCCATTTGTACGAGAGGCCAGGGCACATTGTCTTGCGGACGGACTCGTAGTAGTGGACTGACGAGGCAGTCGGGATACTCCCGTCTTGTTCGCCGTGGTAGGTGAGGATCTTGCCGCCGGCTTGCTGGAAGGGTGTCAGGTCAGGCCAGGTGGTGTGCAGCGTGTCGGCGTATGTCTGCCAGCCGTACTGGATCCATTCTTTGAGAGTGTCGTAGGTGACGTTCTCCAGGGAAGGCAGATTTTCGAGATCGCGCAGCTGCAGGAATCGCGTCACGTATTCGCCGCCGAAGGAGTTGATGTTTAGACCCCAGGTTTGGGAGGCGCTGTTGTATGTCCCCTGTGCATCGTAGAATAGAGCCCCAGGCTGATAGGACAGGTAGACCTGGTTCCCCTCGAGATCTTGCATACCACCAAGCACCGTCTCCACGACCTGCACCGCCTCAGCCGAGACAGTACTGTTCTGCTCCGGGACACCACCACTCGCAGCGCAATAGTAAGGCTTCCCACTGTCTCGGTCAGATTAAAACGCATCTTACACAGATCAGACCTTGAAATCACCCTATCAACCCTCCCATCCAACCCATCGCACGCCGCAATATTCGCATTGACTATGCCCTCAACCTCGCACTGCGACGGGTAATACCCCAGCCTTGCCTCAACAACATTCGCCCACAAATGCGCGACCATCTGGAAACAATACCTCATAGCCGGAGCCCCAATAACGACTCCATCGAACTGATCCCCAAACCGCTGCACCTGGCTCCATCCCTCCCGTCCCCCCTCCGAGCAACTCTGATAGTACGCATACAGCTTCTCGTCATCCGTCATATTGGACATATTCCGCGTGAATGCTTCTCGCTGGTTCTGATGCGGCGCTCAGATTGGAGGGGCCTGGCGCCCCCGGCCGGGCGTGGTCGAGGACGGAAACGGTCACTGATGCGCGTCCCGGGCTCAGTCGCGGCGACGAGGAGATGGTGTATTGCCGCGGTCGAAGCGGAGGGAGCGTGTGGACCGGATGTACTGCTCAGTTCCAAATGCCGGGATCTGGTGGTTTTCTAGGATGTCCAGGAGCGATTGATGCTTTTCACGGACGTCCGCGATATATCGATCCGTGGCTAGGGATGCCAGGTGCTTTGCTGTTTTTTTTTTTTCGTTGGTCGCTCTCGCAGCAGGGCTTTGAAGTTCTGTGGGAAGGCTTGTATCAGTTTGGAATAGGGTCAGGTCGGTTTGAGAGACTTACAGACGGTGTCGCTACTTGATTCAGATCCACGTACCCGCTCAGAAGGTCATGGGCGGAGATGGGTGTGTCGGTAGGCAAGGCTGTGGCGCTCGCTGAGGAAATGTAGATAATGCTGTCTGGGCCTACGTGAAACCAGGAAAGCACTTGCTACACAGTCCCGGGGAGATCGAGAGGCAAGACTGCAAGATGGCCACCAGGCTTGTAACTATTAGTATCTGGCAGGAGTAGCTTAACGTGGACTTTTCTACTTGTTCACCTGGACGTGATGTAAACCTCTTGAACAATTGTACTTTTATAGCCCGCGCGCAGCGTGTGCGGCGCTGTAACCACAGCGCTCGCTTATTCATAACGTTTATGGACGCGCTTGGCTAGGTCAAGTTAAAGGATGTCTTAAGACCTGGCCACAGGCTGGTTTCTGTCCACGCCTTAAGTTCAGCAAATAGGTCATCCTCTGCCATATCTGCGGATCCTCGCGGTGCAATCCCAGCCCCTCCATGCGCAGCCAGCAAATCATTAACCAAAGTGAAGATCCGGTGGAAGGTTTTTGTCCAGTTGTGATATCCTGTCTAATGGGTTAGTTAGGTTTATTCTGTTGGTGCCCTAGCTAAAGCAACTAGAATTACTATATCCAAAGACAGTAAACTAAACCCCGGTGAGCTTGTTCTTTGTTAGAGTCTTAAGCTATTTAACAAACCGCCGCGTGTTATTGGGAGGCCTTCTGTTGTAGGGTAGGACCCTGTGATAATGATGACTGGTTGGCCTTGTGGTAGGTTGTGGCCAACAGCGTCCATTGTCTTTTCCTGGCACTTGAACGATGCTTTGGTATTCATCTTGACGGCCAGTCGGTGAGCCAATGCCTCGCAGTTCCCGCTGTTAGAGCCATACAAGATCATTGCCGGCCGAGTTGCTCCAGTCTCCTCGACTGGCATGGGACTGCCAACTTGTAGCCCTCAACGGACACGGATAAACCCCCGTTGCCCTAATATGGTAAGAAGCGCTCGAGTTAATTAGGGTAGTCAGCCAACGCCAATCGCCCGTCGTCGATTCTGTTCAAATGGTGTAACCGCGCCTTCAAGCGCTCGTAATCCTTGCCCTTCACCTCCGCGCAATCGGCAAAGACCAGTGTTTCAATATATGGAAACTCATTCTGCGCACGCACACCCTACCATGGTTAGCGCACCAAGACCTTATGGTATTCTTGATGAGCAGACAGGGAACGAAAGAGGAAGGAAAGACATACGCCAATGCGCTCAAACACGCTGCCCATGGTCGCCGCATCGACTACCTGATCCGGATAGCATTCAGTACGCGGATCGATCGTTAGCTCGCGCAGTCCAGGGGCCCTGAAATCCGGTATCTCGGCCGCGAGAAAATCAACTTGCAGCCGCAATGACTTTAGTCGCGGAAACTCCACGTCGCTGACGTGTGGCACATGGCTACTCCAACTCTGGTGTGTTGTGACAGTCGTCTCCTCAACCATATCGGCATAGAACCTCCGCCGCGCGGAATGGATATTTTGGAGACGCCAGAAGTGGTCGTTTTCGTAGGCGGGGTTGTCGCAGCGCCAGAGAATGCGCAGGGCGAGGGTGCACCATACTGTATTTACCAGCGCGCAAGAACGTAATGTCCACTCGCGGTCCCGGTAAATCTCATCATCGGGGTCTTCGGGCGGATGGAATACAGTAACATCGTCGTCGGTATATATTTGCTCAAAGATGGGGATGATGAGTTCAGGGAGGGAAAGGGCTTTTTGAGCTGCTGTGGGGAGGTGTCGGTCCATGACAATATTCCAACTGTTATTTTGGTGCAATCGAGAAAGGTGTTTTTTTGTGTCGAATGCCGTGATTCAATTGTCCATGGTAGCAGACCTATATACACGTCGAGGACCCTCCAGCTGATGACTCACGGGGCGCAGCGCAGTGGGCTCGAAATCGAATTTGCTGATTCCAATAGGTATACTTCATAGCCCGATTAGGGCAAATCAATCCGATGCCCTAACCTTGGATGGGTTTCTTTGCCACCCTTCAGGGCTGTCAGCCTTCATAGTTTTATCAAATTATATTTTGATTAATTTCATAATCTAACTTTTGATTCTGCGCTACAAAGATCCATCTATACTTTAGTTAGCAGAGAAAGAGATAATACAATCAAAAACTCCACAGTATCGCACTCAGGCAGCAGTATCTCCGGCCTGCCATTGTTATCCGGCGGCTTACCTATCGGCCTCCCTATTAATGACAGAAATAAGGTATAGCATTTACATGTATTCCAACCATGGCAGATTAAGCGGGGATATTCAACTCAGGCCCATGGAAATGGCCAACTCGGGCAACGCTTGCATGAGCCTCATATTCCGATCCACCGAGACAGGGCTGAGGGAGGTGAGGGATTCTATTTATGTATCGAGTTAGCAGCAGAGCCAAGGCCAGGCTATACGAACTGTACTATTGTGCTGTTACACAGAGCCCTGGCAATGTCACGGGATAGCTCCTGCCTCTCGTGTCTCGTGGATGACAACCCCGCTGACAATGATCACCCTCTTTCCTTCACTCCCCATTGCCTTCCTGCTGCCTACCATGCAGGCGCTGGGGGGGGTTGTGATACCGTATCAGCACGCCCACATTCGTATCCGCCGGCGAATACATATCAGAGCTTAATATAATCGAAAAGTCATATTAAAGAAGATTTAAATTATTAAAATTAATATATATTTAATAATAATATATATTATTATATAATAATTTATCTTTATAATAATATATATTAGTAAGCCTTATATATTAGTAAGCCTAATATATATTATAATATAATAATATATATTAAAAAACTTAATATTTTATAAAATTTAAAAATAATAATAAAATATTTT